TATATTGTAAAACACAAACACAACGGCGTGGTGTTACAAACAATTCCACGGAGGGTGCTTTATTTACACGGTGAACAAATGTGAACAGTGTAAATACGGTGCTCTTCTTGGGATAGGTGCTCAGGTGCTCCGGGGAAGTGGCGAGGTAGTGTAAGAGTTCGGGTGCTGGATCGATCAGTAGCTGGAGTTCACTGTGTGTTCACTAAGAGACAGAAAGACACAAGCGTTAGCGCAGGTAGTCATGAAAGAATGAAGCTCGTCTTCCTCGTGTGTGGGGCTGGCTTATGTGTGTCTCCTCTTGATTAGCTCCAGCTGAGATCGATCCAGTGTTGATGAGGTGCCAGCTGGGGTGAATCCTTGACCAGGGCGACGTGGCACCGGTATACTCGCTACAATATATATACATATAGTATGTATATATTAGGGCTTCACAATATATCATTTGAGCATCGATATTACAATGCGTACATCCGCAATAGTTTTTTTCACATTTATTTTAGTTTTATTGTGTTCATCTATGCTTGTAGTTTGTTTACAACGCACACACACACACACACACACACACACACACACACTCCCCAAATGTGGAAACACTCATTTCTTTACTGATCTCTAAGCAATCATTGCTTTAATATAGTATACAGTAGGCCTATAAATTGGTCAAAGTTGACAGGACTCTTAAAAAAACAGGTTTTCCACCCTATTGACCTTTTCTAAATCGTAAATTCTAAATTCATCTAAAAAGAATAGAAGAAATCTGCTCAGCCTAGTACTGGAAAGTGTATGATGGCCAACCCTACAGTATGCCTGCATGGTGCATCTCCAGGCATAGACGATTTTCTCCCCGAAACCCTACAAGAGTATACTTTTGCTTTACACATGTTTGTTTTTTTTTTGCTTTTTACTTTTCCATGTCCATATCTTTTGCAGTCTATGCTACTAACACTACTATTAATATTGCTGTTTATAACTATTATTTTATTTTTCTTATAACATGAGGTTCAAACCAGTGGCAGATGATTATACTAGCTTGCTTAACCTCTTATGGAAATGATTATTTTATTAATTTCTTAATTCAGCATTTATCAGTTTTTGTAAGATTAAAGTTATTATAGTTCTAGTATTACTATTGACTTGTACCTGTTTCATATTTTGGCTTATTATTGTTTTCTTTATTACCCAGCAACAAATCAGGAAATCATTTATCTTCTAAACCATTCTCTGACTTCCCCATTTATCTCAATGACTTAAAGGGAGCGCTCACATAAAAAGGAACATTTACTCACTGTTTACTCTCCCTCAATGATTCCAAACTTGTGAGTTTCTTTATTCTGTTGAACACAGAAGATTTTTTGAAGAAAGATGAAAACCTTTAAGCATTCGCTTTCATATTAGGAAAAACAAATACAGTTTTCTTCTATTTTATTTTTCTTTCGTGTTCAACAGAAGAAATAGTCAAAGAGGTTATGACAAAAGTAAAGGGGGATAAACAATGACAGAATTGTCAGTTTTGTGTGAACTATCCCTTCAACTATAAAAGAGATGGTACACGCTAGGGGTAGTACACACTATCAGTTAAAGTTGTGGAGACATTGGTATTGCTGTATTTTGTTTCTTAAATGTTATGGAATAAGTTTTTTTTGTTTTTAATCAGACTTTGAGTCTGTAATAAAGTTTGGATGAATAAATATACTGAACTGATAATCTTTAAATAAAAATCTTTCAATCTTTTTAGTTTTTATCTTTACAGTGACCATGTTTTCTTTGTGTTCTGCAGGGTATTTTCTCCGTCACAAACCCTCACGCTGACATCTTCCTGTTGGCCCGAGTGGAGAAGGTTTTGCAGAACGGCATCACTCATTGCGCTGATCCCTACATCAAGCCCTCCGACATCAGCAAGGTCTGATGCTGAATCACACACAGTACAATAACAAACACATGCTCAAAGAGGACTGTAAAAACACTTCTTAGGCATGACGTCTTTCGCCTCAAATAGAGAACTGTGCAACGCCAACAAGCTGCTTAGTGCACTGAAAAAAGCAAAGTAAAGTTAGTTAAGTAAAAGTAAATTAGAAAAGTAAAATTAGTATTTTTTTTATCTTGAGTTACAGCATGTAAAAGGTACATTGTTTGTATCTTTTACTTAGTTGTTTGTAGTCATCCTTTTTTTACAAGTGTATTTTACTCATATTAGTTTGTATGTTTTCCTGTGGCACTTCATATAGATTTTTTTTTTAAGTTTATGTGTTGCTTGAAAATGTAAGTAAACAACATATCAGTAGATTTGTATGATAACATCTCAACATAACAAAAACAGAGACGTCAGTACTTGGCGGATTAAATGCATTGACAGTAACAAATCTTTTTTTAAATTATGAATGTGTTATTTTGAGACAAAAAGAAAAAAGCAAAATGACATAAAACAGTAAGATGACATGAAACAGCCTAACCCAACAGCAAGATACAATACTGGTTTAACTCCAACTGTAAAGCACTAAAAAAGTACTAAATGCCGCTGTTCATCAGCAAAACGACACAATGTTGCTCTGAGATGCACATGTACATATCTGGATTTGTTTGAAATCATTTTTATTGTTGAAATGAAAAATGAAAGACCATATTTTTTCTAAAAGGTAACTTATTACTTTTAGTTTAGTTTATTCATTAGTTAGTTTAGTAGCGTAAAATCAGTATTTGAGATATATATTTAAGGTTTTGCACTCTTGCTTTTACAACATTTTTTAACTTTATTTTAAATTCAATAAAAAAATTGTATGTTTTTTTTCAATATATTTTGAATTTGTAAGTGTATTTAAAATTATAGGGTCATTCTAAGTACATCTTTATACACTCTAAAAATGCTGGGTTTAGACAAACCCAACATTGGACAAATGTTTTCTAATTATATTTTAATTAAAACCCAAAAGTTTGGTTTGTCTATAAATTGAAATAAAAAATATTGCATCCTGTACTCCTCTGCATTTTGGATGCATTTTATCTAGAGACGCGCTGAAGTATTGGCTGCTGATATATATTGTCCAATATTGGATCCATTTGAAGTTATCTGCAATAACAATAAATCCTAGAGAGGAGTACAGGATGCAATATTTTCATTTAAATTTGTGGACAAATGGGTTAAAATGAGCTAAATGTATAATGTATATATAGTTACAGAACTGCCTTTGTTTGTTAAGTTTACTAAATAAATATGTTCTGAAATGTGTCTAATAAAATTTACTGTTGTTAAAAGAAATCACATTTGAAGATTGTCATATTTTCAGACTAGCTAGTAATGTATGCATTTGACCAGAATCAGTATTGGAACTATTAATTCTGATTTAGGTGCTTTCAGAATGTTGGGTTGAATATTTCTGTTTTTTTCTATCTGCCTGTTTCTCAGACGGTACAGAAAGTGTTGAAGACTGCCAAGCAGACATGCCAACGGCTGGGCCAATACCGGATGCCTTTCGCTTGGGCTGCCAAGTAAGGCAGAAAATCACTCCTCCATTCACTTTCATGAATTAATTTCAGTTTTAAGTATTTAAGTTCAGTTTATGTGTCTTTTACATTGAATTGTCGCAGTCTTGCTCTTTGGAATTATCTGGTGATTATTACATGTTTGCGTGTTATAAAGTAGATTTTTGGTGATGAGGATATTTGTGTTGTACTTCAGGCAGGTGTTTAAAGATTCCCAAGGCACTTTAGACACGGATGGCAAATTTTCTCCACTCTACCGTCAAGACAGTAGCAAGATATCAACAGAAGACCTCATCAAACTGTTGACAGATCTCAAGAAGTAAGTTATAATATCTATATTATAATTATAATCATTACAGCTATCATGCATTTACAGTGTAATGTAGAAATAAATATATATTTTATATAATATATATTATGATCTGCACACATTGCATCTGATTTCATTTTACATGTTTATGTGTGTGTGTGGGTTTGTTGTTTGTATTCCTTATGTTTCGCAATTGTCCCCACAAGTATAGGAATATCAATCCATTTTGACCTAGTGGGCACATTTTTTGGTTCCTATGAGGAAAGCTGCTCACACAAAATAAAGATTTCTGAAAATGTTAAAGTACAAATTGTTTCCTGTGAGTGTTGGGTTAAGGATTAGGATGAGGCAGAGGGATTGAATATAAAGTTTGAACAGTATAGCTGGAAGGGCATCCGCTGCATAAAACATTTGCTGGATAAGTTGGCGGTCAGGGGCGGACTGGCCATCTGGCAATTCTGGCAAATGCCAGAAGGGCCGGACCAATTTTTAAATGTGGGCCGGTCAGTTTTTTTTTTTTTTTAATATGTATTGTTCTTACGTGCAGGCAGCTTTTATGTCTTGCTAGATGTGATATTATGATGATGATAATAAAAATAATAATAATAAATGTTAAGCATTTGGCCCAACTGGTGACGGCCGCCTGATTTCAAGATGGGCCGACCCAATCCGAGGTTACCCGGACATAATCAAAATCCGGCAAGAATGTCATATTATTTCACCATCTGTACACCAAAATAAATAGTAAATGTCTGTGTCCGTGGGTGGGTTGTGTCGGTGTGGTAATGTGGGCTGATGTGGCTACAATGCCAGGGCTGAATTTTTGTCCCAGTCCGCCCCTGTTGGCGGTTCATTCCGCTGTGGCGACCTCGGATTAATAAAGGGACTAAGACTAAAAGAAAAAAAATTAATTAATTTATTCAGTGGCAGAATTGTAGTCTGGGTGCATATTTTTCAGTGATCTGCATAGCCTAGATCACTGGTGATTGTTACAAAGAGTATCTTATAGAAAAGATGGCACAAATGCATTAAAATGTATTAAAATGTATTAAAATTACTTTAATAAAGCTAAATATTGCATTCTAAATAATAAAAATGCTTCTTAACAGAAAAAAGTTTATTTCTGACTTAGTCTTCTTGTGCCTGCTTTTTTAAAATTAGTTATTGGGAATGATGTATCCTTGTCATCAATCGACTTTGTATATCTTTGTCAGTCAGTTTATTGCATACAGTGTTTTTTTTAAGAGACATGTTTTCTTTTCACAGACCAGAGAAGAACAAACTGCAGATAATCCCTGGACAAATTAACATCACTGTTGAATGTGTACCTCCAGACTTGTCAAGTGAGTCTGCTTGTTGTTTTAATTCATTTGCATTTAATAATTGATAACTGAATATCTGCATGATCACTTTCAGAATCTAGAAAGCATTGAAGCGTTTACTTCACTGCAGGGTTTATTATACGATATATATAAGCCTTTAAATGTCACTTTAAGCTGTTTAGAAGTGTCTTGAAACATATCTAGTTAAATATTATTTACTGTCATCATGGCAAAGATGTAAGTTTTAAGTTTTTTTTTAATTCACAAAATTATTTAAAGCACATTATTTATGAAAATGTTTTAAATACAGTTGAAGTCTGAATTATTTTCCCCTTGTGTATTTTCCTTAATTTCTGTTTACTGGAAAGAAAATGTAATAGTTTGGATTATAAATAGTTTAACTGATTTATTTTATCTTTGCTATGATGATAGAACATAATATTTTACTAGCAGGGTCTCCACAGGGTCTTAAAGTCTTAAAATATCTTAAATTTAGGCCTTAAAAATCTTAAATTCACTGCAATATGGTGTTATGGTATGTCATAAATAGTTTTTAACAGATCTGAATTTCTCTTTGTCAATGTAAAGCTACCCAACTGCTACAACCAACAATCTATTAAAAAATAAATAAATAAAATTTGTAAACTCCATTTAATTATCATCCTTACATCCTTACTATAACATTTGTTTACAAGTTATACATGTATGCATAAATGTATGTTGTGCATTTAGTTCATTATAGTTTTTTAAACTTAAAAAAAGAAAAATATATATGTGTGTGTGTGTATACATAGCTGGAGTTTGTTTCTTTTGTTTCGACAAATTATTTACAATATCTGAGTTTTATCTGTTTAGACATATTATTTAAAATCTCTGAGTTTTAATTTTAATGGGGCAAGTAAAAGTCTTAAATTTAACTTGGCAGAAACCCTGTGCAAGATATTTTTCAAGATACTAGTATTCAGCTTAAAATGCAATTTAAAGGCTTAACTAGGTTGATTAGGCAAAATAAGGTAAATAAGCAAATTTACTGCTTAAAAGGGCCAATAATAGTGACCTTAAAAAAAATTGAAAAATTAAAAAACACTTTTATTCTAGCAGAAATAAAAAATAAATAAGACTTTTTCCTGAAGAAAAAATATTATAGGAAATACTGTGAAAAATCCCTTGATCTGTTCAAGATCATTTGGAAAATATTTGAAAAAGAAAAAAAATCACCGGAGGGCGAATAATTTTGACTTCAACTGTATACATCGTCATCTTCACAGACTCTGTCACATCGTCTTACATTCCCGTAAAGCCATTTGCGGATCAGTGTGACAGCGTGTCGGTGGAAGTGGAGGAATTTGTCCCGGAAGAGGCTCGATTCAACCACCCGTTCACCATCTACAACAACCACCTCTACATCTATCCTCAGCAGCTCAAATATGACAGTCAGAAGGCCTTCGACAAAGTAAGTTTCCTTTTACGTCTAACAGAACAAGGTTATTAAAGATTGAAGAAAATGTTCTCTTGTGAGGGCTGAAATAATTAAACATTAGCTTGCTTGCAGATACATTAAGGTGCAGTAGGTGATCTGCCAAAATGCTAGCCGGTTAGTGTAATATCTTTGAAACAGTCCCACCCCTGCCGTCCAAAACCAGCGGACAACCCACTAGACCATGTCATTTTCCACTTAGAAAACTTTATAGTACTTTATAAAACTACAATTTCAAACGAAAAACTGTATTACATCTAGATTACATTTTATGTTTTACATTCAAGACATTTAAAATTTTACATCTTTTCCAGCTTTAATAAAGGAAAAGTACAGCAGTTCTGTTGAAGCATTTAGTATATGAATTATTTTTATAATGTTTGTGTTTTCTCTTAGGCTCGAAACATTGCAGTGTGTGTTCAATTCAAGGATTCTGATGAGGAGGGATCAAGCCCACTAAAGGTAAATCCGTGATCATATTCAACTGCCGTCAATGTTGTTTCCACAGTTAGTTAATATTTAATAATCAGTATAGTTTTATGTATTTGTATAGTGAATTTTACAAACCACTGTTTTGCTTTTAGTGCATCTACGGCAAGCCAGGGGATCCACTATTCACCACCAGTGCTTTTGCTGCAGTTTTGCATCACAATCAATCTCCAGAGTTTTATGACGAGGTAATATTCATAAATCATCATACACACTATCATATAGTGTATTTTTCCCCTCAACTACACAGCAACATAGTCTCACACCTAAAATAAATCTGACTTCTGATACAATACAATAGGTAGATATGATAATGATCAAAATAGATTTAATGATCAAAACATCCTTATCATAAGCATTCATACATTTTTAAAATCACACATTTAGTAAAAACCTCTTAATTATTGAATGCATCTATGAATAATGTACATTGTTAATAATATAAACTGTTATCATAATTTATATATTTCTTAGAACAAAAAAAGCTCCTAATACTGTATGAGAGCACAGTCTTGGGTTTAATATTGAGACCCATAACCGTCATTGGCATGATGTTACGCAACTTTTTTGGTCAGACTGATCTATAAACAACACAAAGCACTGGCTTTCTCGAGACAAGCGTATGAATATTTGAATCTTCCAGAGACAAATCCTGTTAGGCTTTCCCAGAGCCTCGGGCCGGGATATTAAAGACTAATTGTTTGTTCAATAGTTGAATGAGTCACAAGACATTGACACAGACATTGCGTATTGTATAATTTGCTTGATGACAGCCTAATGACGTCATCAGCTTGATAGACATCTTAAAGCAAGACATTGCAAGAGGATAGGGATAAAAATAAAGTAATGGTTTTCAAGTTTTGACAATTTTTGACTATTTTTGAGTCAAAGTTTTTTTTTTTTTTTTTAGTGATGAGGTTTTGGGAATCTCTTTTTATCACTCCACAATTCAGAGAATACAGTAAATAACCAGAAAATAAATACATTTTTTTACATTTAATCAATCAGTTTATCTGTGAACAAATCCCAATGTAATAACCATCAGAATAAATATATAAATAATATTATTTATAAGATTTATGGCACTTTGCAGGAGATTTTTTTAAGAAATTGGCCTTGGTATTGTAAATTTATTGTAATTGAAATGTGCAAATAAAGCTGATAAAGTGCTGTAAATGGGGCAGTTTTAATGTGCATTTTGGATGTTTTCTTTTTTATTAGAATGCAAAATCACTTTATGAAAAGCCAAAAAGCCCAGTATCGACAGGTGCACCTTAATAGAGTCATTCTGCAAAACTGTAAAGATGTGTTATTAATTGTTCCAAGGTGTTGAGTTGTAATCATTAGGACATGTTTCACTGTTCTTTTGGATATTATCACAGTTGACTTGAATTAAACCTGTCACGTTTACCTTGATGCTAAAGTATTTTCTTTTCTTCAACAGATAAAAATTGAGCTTCCTGTGCATATCCATGAGAAGCACCATATTCTCTTTACTTTTTACCATATCAGTTGTGACCTTGGCACCAAAACCACCAGTAAGAAGAGAGAAGGAGTGGAGACACTGGGTGAGTGTGTGCTTGTGTGCAATATACGCTACACAATAGGACTGCACCATATGGCCATAAAAGTTATCACAATAAGTTTTTTATGTCATTTGATAATATTATTTGACAATAATTATCATAATAAATGTCATATATATATATATATATATATATATATATATATATATATATATATATATATATATATATATATATATATATATATATATACACACAGTACATTTCTGCCAAGTTCAAAAGCAGATTTTTTGCTCTTGAGTGAAAGTTTTTAAAGGTGATTTGAGATGGCCATTTTTACAAATCTAGTTGATGAGAATTCTTTAAGTTACCTCGTTTAAATTTTCCCTGCGGTAATGTAAATTAACATCCTTTTTACCCTGTCACAAACACCTCAGTTCACAGCGACCGGTTTTGATGCATGTCTCTTTAAATGATGATAAACTAATTACATTCAAACTCATTTTCGTGTATAACCACCTGACTGCTTGTTTTCTTTTGAAATTTTCTGAGCTGCCAGATATAGCAGAAACCTTCCAATATTTAAAAAGTAAACATTTCTATAAAAATTTAAAATTTCATCCAATGTTATTGCAAGCTTAATGCCTTGTCAGTTTAAAACTCCTAATATATATTTTGGTAACAGTTTAGTTGAAGTAAAAGTTCACATCATTTACCACTGACGTATTACCTGTCTATTATTAAATTAGTAACTGTTTAATAGTACTTATTTTACATCCCTAAACCTACCTAATACCTAAACCAAATTACTACCTTAATAACTAATAAGAAGCTAATTAGTAGTTTATTGAGCTAAAAGTCTTAAATAAAGGCTTCTGAAGGGTTTGTTAATAGAGTGAATTGTTGCTTAAAATAAAAGTATGAAGTAATGAAGTAGATACACAAAAATCCGCTTTCAGAAGTTTTCTTTCACACAACAAACTGCACAGAAGTTTTAAAGGGATAGTTCACCCAAAAAATGAAAATGTATTCTCTTTTTTTTTACTCCCCCTTCTAAACATTTATAAATTTCTTTCTTTTGTTGAACAAAAAGAAGATATTTTTAAGAATGCTGAAAACCTGTAACCATCAAAGGGCACATAGTTTATCCCTTTTTTTATGATTTTATAATTTAATAATATGATTTTATAATTTAAGTGCCGAGCTTGCACACCGAGACTAATAACCACACACACTGAATTAACTTTGACTGAGGCACCGAATGCGCCGCGACACGGCACACCAGACACTCTCAGTGGCGCGGCAGAAACATGAAGTGTCCCGAATCGTCGCGCCACGCATTCCAGAACTAAAACACAGGCTTTTACTAGAACAAACACAACGTCGCCGAGCCGCCGACCCGAAGCTCCGCCACATGCACCACGACAGAAACCCACGCCCAGAACTCCTAAATGCATGGCGCTGCGACACACAAAAGGTACAAGCAATAATTCCGATTAGAGCGATAACATGGAGAATATTTATCTTGTGTTGAACCCAATGAGCCTTTCGTCTAAAAATAGAGCAAGGGTGTTCCTTTAGTGATATTGCTTTAACTCGCACGCTGAAAATGGCAGACGTGAAACAAAAAAATTGAGGATATGATCGTGACGCGAGGCTGTCAATCAATATTGGTAGGCGGGGGGACCGCTCTCCTACAAAAGTTGGTCCACCGTTTATGTTGTTAAATTGAATAAAAAAAAGGACTGTGTGTGTTTATATCACCCCATTATGAAGGTCTATACACTATATACACACACATGTCTGTCCAAACAGCTTGAAAAGGAGATTTTTCACTATAGGTGCCCTTTAACTTCCATAGTAGAAAAAAATACTATAGAAGTCAATGGTTTCTAAATAATTATTTTGTGTTCAACTGAAAAAAGAAACTTTGTTTGAAACAAGTAGAGAGTGAGTAGATGATGGTAGAATAAAATGTTTGTGTCTAACTATCTCTTTAAGTAAAAACATACAAGTTCATATAATGTAAATTATTTCTGTAAATGCACAGTTAGGAAAGAAATGTCATATGTATCATTAAATTAGCTCTGTGAAATCTAATCTCTTGAATGTGAAGACAACACGCTGTGAAAACAATGCTGGTCTGGAATTATGTAATTGTTTAGAAATTATTACAATGATTACTAAAAACTGAAAACTCAGTAATACAGTCAAGGCAATTAGGGCAGTTCATAAATTGCGTCTTTGTGCTATTTAACTTTGCAGAATCTATTTTATTTATTTATTTCAAGCGCAAATAAATCAAAACCCAAAGAAAGTCCTAAACATAATAATCTCCTTTAAACTTTTTTCCCCACAGTGGGTTACTCCTGGACTCCATTATTAAAGGATGGCAGAATAAAGTCCTCGGATCTGCAGCTCCCTGTTTCTGCCAATCTGCTCGCTGGTTACTTGTGTGACAAAAGCCAAGACATAAAAAAGGTTACACCTTCCTTTCAGCAACACTATCGCTAATTTTTAAAACAAGTGCTGGTTGCTTAGCTTATTGATCATTTCACTAGTTTGTCTGATTGATTTGATATAGTCAATTTGTGTTTGTTTTTTCAGGTTTTTCCATACATCAAATGGGTGGATAACGCCAAACCTTTATTTAAAGTGCGGGCGTATGTAGCATCAACAATTTACACTCAGGTATCACTCAATCTAATAACTGTTTAGCTGACTTGTCATTCTACTGAACAGAAAAGAATCCTGTATAATGTAAAATAAAGCATTAAATCTCTCACCTCCTCCAGGATTTGCACCTTCACAATTTCTTCCAGCACTGTCAGCTGATGAGATCAACATCACAGGGCAATCCTGCTGAACTCATCAAATATCTAAAGGTCAGAATTACACATCTGTCAATCAGGGATGATGCAGATATCATCACTTAATTTACTTCACGCACAATATGCACCTTAACAGGCACACGCGTGTGTGTGTGTGTTAAAGTGCACATAATATTCGCACATTTCAAACCATTTTATTTTGTAAAAATATGTTGAACCTCTTTATATTTAGCACATATTGGGAATAAATATATATTGCTGGTTAAAAAAAATGTAATATAAGAATTTTGTTAATATTTTTGACCGATGCATTTAACATACCTTCTAATTGAATCTTTTGCTATTTGAATATGTCTTAAAAATGTCATTTATTGCTGTGATGCAAGGCTGAATTTAAGCAGCCATTCCTTTATTTAGGTCAACTTATTTTAATATGCTAATTATGTGCTTAAAAGAAGCATTTATTATCATAATCGTTGAAAAGAGTTGTTTTATAGATTTGGTACACGTTTTTACACAAAGCTTGATTAATAGAAAGCAGAAAAACTAGAATTTTATTATTATTATTAAATGTTATAATTTATATGAGCTTTGATATTAAAGTGTATCTTCCCTGAACAAAAGTATTGATTTAATTTTAGAAAAGTAATGCTCACCCCAATGGTAGTCAGTGCGTTTCAAAATGTTTTGTATTTTCTTCCTTTGTCTCCAAGTGCCTGCATGCGGTTGAGACTCAGGTTGTCATCAAGTTTCTTCCTACGGTTCTCGTTCAACTCTTTGAAGTCCTTAGTATGGCAAGCAAAGAGGGTCAAGATGTTGCCGTCAACTCCACACGGTGATATTACTACCTAATTCATTAAATGTGACAATTCTGCATGCAAACCAGTGTTGCCAATTATTTTCTTAATAAAAAGATGCTAAGCTCTTCCCGAAAAGTTTCTAAATGTTACTAGATTACGTCATATGGCAATTTGCATAATACTGACATCATCACGTCCAACTGTTTTTGTTTGTTTAACAGCTTATGGTTAATAAAGGGGTGTTTATATTTGAACTACACTTTATGTATGCATATCCACTTAACTACATTTATTGCTATATGTATATGCTATATGTTTGAATACAGTACATCATGATACAGTACATCATGTGTAGTGAATTTGCAGTAATTTCTCAGACATAATAAGCTCAGACAAGTTCCAAAACTGTCTCTAAAATATCTGTGATTATGAACTAGAAAAGAATAAACAATTAAATTAACAGTACGGTACAGTAACACATAAGAGTCTATAAAAAACACCAAAAAAAAGTCACTAGATTTGTTGCTAGTTGCTTTTTTGAAAATTTGTTGCTAAGGGGGTCTGAAAAGGCGCTAAGATGGCAACACTGATGCAAAAAAAAAACTGGTCTATTAATTTGTTAAAAAGTGATGTAACGAATGCAGGTTCTGCCTTGTAAGCACTAGTTCCACCTAGTGGAGAAATACAAATAAAGCACATTCTCCACATTTGCAAATGACTCAATACACTTACTGCACTCTTGCATATAAAGATACATCTTCTTAAGATTATTCTGACATTTTTTACAGTATTATAAGATATCCTACTTTAAAATAGTTCTTACATACATCACCTTTTAAGGTTTTAGACATTAATCCTTTTTTATATCATTCTTTATTTGTTGTGTTTTTGTAAAATGATGTAAATGATCGAAATGTTTCCTCCCGTTGACATTACTGATGTCTTGTTTTTTCTCACAGTGTAATCATTCACATTGTGTCTCAGTGTCATGAAGAGGGTCTGGAGCATTACCTGCGCTCTTTTTTGAAGGTACGACTCTTATTAAACCTCATGTTTCTATGTTTTTTTTTACACAGATTGCACTCGACCACAATTAAAAAAGTCAGGTTTGTAGAGTTTAGATAAAAAAAAAACATGAAAAATATCAATGTCAAAAATTACAATAATTATTTTGTAGTTATTTTTATTTGTTTATTGCAACAAGTGCATGAACAGCAGATTGCGGTGTCACTATGTTATTGCACTATACTTTTTTTTGTTAAAACGTTAAATTACTGTGTCATTTGCTCTAGGTTTTGTTCTTCATTATATACAGTGCTCAGCATATATGAGTACATCCCTAACAAGTCTATATTTTAAATACATTTTTTCTATAGGAAGCTATACAATATTGTATTTGTACTTATACATAAGACTAGTCAGTACTGAAGGCAAATCTGGAGCATATCTAACTAAATATCTTACGATAACAGTCCAAAAGTTAGTACACCCAAATTTATTTGTTAAACTTTGGAAAAGCACTTTGAAGAATATGGGAAAAAACATTGGATAAAAATATTGAAAAAATAAGAAATCATAAAAAAATGAAATATATACAATTTAGTTGAGATTTTGTAGTTTGTTGGATTTTAAATGTATTATTTCTTTATTTCTGAAAATATTTAGTGACTATCTGTGTTTAATAAACTTGTTTAGTTCAAATATACCAAAATATATTGCCTATATTCACTGAGAAATGGATAAAATATTCATTTGCAAAATGTATACTGAGCATAGTTGTGTGTTATGTTATGTGCAAAGTTTAAGGCAGATGTTTGTTTTTTTAATAAGAACTAATGCATGGAACTGGAGTCACATTTATCACATTAATATTTGATGCTCAACAACTACAAAAACCCATGAAATTTAGCCTCAACAGAGCATGTGATTGTGTTACTGAACTAACTTGTAGACCGATATTTTTAAGCAGCATCCTAAAAGCTTTTCAAATGTTTCATATAAGTTCACAACTTTAGATGGACACTGCATTATGTTATTTATACAGCATTGCTAGATTTTGTTACAAGTGTTTTAAAAACCTTTAATGAATTTTTTACAAACAAAAGCAACGTTTCCTTTGCAGTATGTGTTTCGTATCAACAACGCAACTTCCGAAAACTCTGTGACAACACATGAAGTTTTGGCTACGGCTGTGACTGTCATCCTCAAACAAACCGCTGATATCAACACCTGCAACAAACTTCTCAAGGTGACCAAATCATGCATTACTCTCTATCTATACACAGCAGATGGCGCTGTTAGGCTATTTTCTGCTCTCTTGAGTCACTGAAGAGGATTAATGTCGGAGTAAATTATTTGGAAATGGGGGGTGGTTTCCAAGGAACGATCATCATCATCATACATACACAAGAACCAGTTTACTTTATTATGCTTTAGTACTCTGTATATTTCATTCATTATACCCACTTTCTCTCACGTGGTCTTAGCATGTTCAAGGAGCTTCCTCAATATTTTTTTGCTCAGGGCTGCTTTTAGTACTGAATTTTAGGGATGTTGCTTTTACACATTATGGTTACTGACTACTCATTTGACTGTGCCTGGTTTCAGAGATTATATTATAGTGTGGTTGAATTACTGTATTGTTTTGCTTTAGTTGTGGTAGTGGCAGTGTATATTTATATGTTGTTTGGAGTAGCACACATTTACAAAATTTCCATGATTATATATGGTAAACGTTAGTATAATGATTAATTTGGGATGTTATAAAATTCTATGAGCCACACAGTGGCGCAGTGGGTAGCAATGTCACCTCACCGCAAGAAGGTCGCTGGTTTGATTTAGGATTAATAATCATTGTAAAAAAAATTTTAACTTTTTGCTAATGTGTAATGATTTTTGTTTTTGTCACTGTATATATAAAATTTGCATTACAACATTCCTTATTGCCACTGTGTTAATGAATTTTTCCTGCTATACAGTATTCCTGGTTCTTCTTTGAGACCATGGCCAGGTCAATGGCTCAATACCTCATGGATGGCAACAGAATGAAAGTAAGTCTTATTTTTACCTTCCACTTGCTTTTCCTCATCATCATTATCATCAGTAAAAAGATTAAATAATTAAACACAAAGCAGCTGGGTGTAAATATCCCTAAGCTGCCAAGTTTTATTTTTATTTATTTATCTTTTGGCATTTGAGCATAGAATGTGGTTTGACTTCCTCATTCTTCATAAAGTGAATGATCAAAGGTAAAAAAAAAAAAAGAAAAACACGCCCTTATAAACACCAAACACTGTAGCGTCACTCTACTGTTGACACAGGGTTGCCTTTTGCATGTGTGATGTTTGTTTACCAGCTTCAGCTTTCCTTCAGCGCTTTTCAAACATGTTCAGACATATTAAAACATGCCACCAGTCTCATTTGCATAACAGAAACCATGTCTTAATCATGTTGTTTAGAAGTCGGTGTGTATCTGATGTTCAAACATGCTCTCACCTCAGTCAATTATGATCACAAGCCTAAAATTAGTCTATGTGTTTTGGCATAGACGGTCATATTGAAAGCTGAAATTTAACCGTAAGTTGCATATAATTGAGCTGAAAGTAATTTACTGTCACTAGTGAAACTACGTGGTGTTAATGCCATTGATATGTGATGGCTAATGAAGTGAACCTGCTTGACCTACAGATGCCACGAGCACAGAGGTTTCCAGAGTCTTTCCAGCAGGCCCTGCAGTGTCTGCTGTTGTCCATAATGCCACACATCACTATCCGCTATGTGGAGATTCCAGAGGAGGCTCGCTGTGTCAACTTCAGCCTGGCCTGCTTCATTAAGGTCAGGCCTTACACTAAATTTTAAGACAGAGCCTAACATTCACTAGTGCTACAGTTAGGGACTTTCACACGGTGTGCTTTTTAGGTTGTCATTCTAAATGTCACTTCAAACTCTTGGTTAATGAACTGTTTACATTTGTAGTTATTTTATATTTATAGTAATAAAATATGTAGATATGCCACACAAAATGGGCTAAAAAAAATAATAAACCTACTAGTAGTACCACTTTTGCTGTGTTAATGGGATAATTGGCCCCAAAAATGAATATTTGCTATGGATAGTGGCTTATTTCACCTCAGGAAATCATTTAATCATTAAAAACAATCATTTGAGTTAGGTGTGCACAATATGTTGTTTCATCATGGAAATCACAATGTGCATCTGCAATAGTCATATCGCATTATCGGCAATGTTGAGTCTGAATGATAGTTGATCAGGAGCCACAGAACACATGTGGTTTGTAGAGTCACTGCTAAGTTTAAACATAACAGAGTGAAATTTTTTTTTTCATTTGCATGTGTTTTTAAGGCCTTTGACTAGGACTTTCAAGAGAATTTGGGCACAAAAAAGTATGTTTTGGGGGTGTAACAAAGATTAATTTTATTAAATTATTTATAAGATTTATGCTCAATAACTTGTAATTTTTGTCCTGTTTCTAGTCCAAATATCTACATTTCAAAGTGAAAATATGATTATTTTACCCTATTGGTAGATAATTCAGCTTGTTTTAAGGAAAAACTCCTAATTTTGACTTACTTCTTCTGAAGATGAATACAAAACAACACATTTTCACTTGATCTAAAGGATTTTTAGATACTTGGACTAGAAATGAGACATTTTTTGTTTTTGCATTGTTATTATTCTGGTCATAAGACCGTCAAATCAAACCATCTTGTCAAACTGTAGACTGTTTGCTTGTCAAATGATGTTTACATTTTGTGAAACTGTATACATATCGCAAACATTTATCGCAGAAAAAAAAAAACATTGCAATATAAGGATTTTTTTTTCAATGTCGTGCAGCTCTAATTTGAGTTTATAATTAATTAATAAGAAATTATTACTTTAGGCACTGGTGAACAAAAAAAAGCACCAATACGTTTATGATGGTACACAATAGTAATATTTCAAATAAATGCTGTTTTTTGAACATTCTCTTTTTTCAAAGTATCCTGATAAACATTTGCCTTGAACAAAACTTTGCAAAGAGAATAAAAATCTGAAAACTCACTCTTTAAATTAATCTATAAATTAACACTGAAAATAAATCGGCATCGGCTTTACCAAAAAGAGTTTGAAAATATCAGCAAGAATCTAATATTGCGCATATATTTAACAAGGTCCAAATAAAAGAAAAATGGTAAAGTAGTTTTCATTTCTAGAGTATTCAAGTTTATTTATTACAACTCTTTTTGTAAATTTCTTTTGTGGAATATCAACCTGCTTAACACAGTGGATAGTGCTGTTGCCACACAGCAAGAAGGTCACTGGTTCGAGCCTCAGCTGGGTCAGTTGGCGTTTCTGTGTGGAGTTTGCATGTTCTCCCCGTGTTCGCATGGGTTTCCTCCGGGTGTTCCAGTTTCCCTCACAAATCCAAAGACATGCGCTATAGGTGAATTGGGTAGGCTAAATTGTCTATAGTGTACAGTATGTGTGTGAATGAGTGTCTGTGGGTGTTTCCCAGTGAAGGGTTGCAGCTGGAAGTGCATCTGCTGTGTAAAACATATGCTGGATAAGTTGGAGGTTCAAACATGTGGCGACCCCAGATTATAGGACTAAACCGAAAAGAAAATGAATGAATGAATGATGCAAACTACAGAATTTCAACTAACTTTAATATTTCGTATGTTTCTTTTGATTTAATGTTTCCCCCAACATGTTCATTTGGGTTTACAAATTTTTGGACTGTGATCTAAAGTTTCTTTTTTTATTTCCAGTTTTGCATTAACTACTAACTAATCTAATTTATATACACAAATATATTATTGTAAAGCGTCCTATAGAAAATATAAACTTAAAAGAGAGACCTGTGAGGGGTGTACTGTATGCTGAGCACTGTGAAATAAAATGATTAGACTTTTACACAGAAGTCTGTAATGAACTGTGTGTTGTGACACATTGCCCTGGTCACCACTGTTGTATCTGCTTGTTATTTGTTGCACTGTGGACCTGCAGTTGCTGTGATCAATGCTAAATAGTCTACTTGTTATCTACTTGCATCTCATTATTTGGCCATCCCTGCACCACCTTTTATATATTCAAGGAACAACCCAGTAGATCAGAGATGGTGGTCCAGCTACACAGTTTGCCTTTTCATCAAACTCTTATAAATCTGCAGTTCTTTCCATTCTAACAGTGAAATCCTGCCCCCTGAGAGTATATGCTACCCTGTAAATGCCACAAGTGTAACAATTTGGTTCTCAGGCGCACTCATTGCTACTGTATAGTCTGGGAATTATCATAATGTCATGCCTATTCTGTGTATGCTCTGGAAAATTCAGATTTTTCCCCCGTGTTTTTGCATAAGTTAAATTGACTGATTGCAGATTCACTGATTTGAAAATCTTATCATGATCTCTGATTGATCAGTGCCTTAGCCGTGAAAGCATCTTGTGTGGTTTGTGCCACTTGAAGTCTCGCATGATAGAAGGGCAGAATAGTTAGTGGAACGCTGGGCACCGCCCTTGTTTTTTTCCATCTGCCTCATTGACAATGAAATGGAAGCTCATAGTTTACCATGTCAATGTAAATGTAAAATGTCTATTGCTCTTGAATGCTTCACTGGAATCTGGTTTGGATTCAAGACATATTTAAATAGTTTACCTTCATTATCTCATGTTTTTATTTTTAATAGAATTTGCTAATGAATGTCAGACTGATATGTGAAGTATTTTAACTCCTGTTGAACTTTCACATTTAATCATCTTTCAGATGCCATTCACATTAATAACTACACTCAAATGATACGTGTGAGGTTGAGGTTGATGATTCACATTTTTTTTTTATGGTAAAAAAGTACTAATATTAACAATTCACCTTTTGCTGAAGCTAATAGTTGATCTATTAAAGTGTGTTTCAGGCTTGTAAGTGGATTTAAAGTTATGTTTTATTATTAAGGCTTCCTTATCACAGCATAAATCAAGGACATTGTAAATACTTATTTTAAGGTTAGGGTTGGTTTAAGGGATTGGTTCAGGGATATTACATAGCAATTATGCAAATGTTCATGTAATGGGTTGCATCTGAAAATAAGGTGTTACTTGTGTTTATCGTTTTCTGCTTCCTGCAGTTGCTACAGTAGCAGTTATGAATCTTTAATTATGGATAGTATATTAATGTTTAAAGTTAAAAAGTGAGGTAAAAGTGTTTAAAAGTAGTTTAAAGTTATTTATAGTGCATTTTTGCTTCATTCTTTATGTACATTTACTGTAATATATTTGTAAATCATTTTATGTTATTTTGTTGACATATTATTAGTGCATTTTGTTTTGTTTTATTTGAGACCAATTTGATTATTTTAATATATATATTTTTTAATTTTTGACAATTCTTTTTTTGTCATTTTTTATTTTTTATTTTATCGTTTTATTTTTGTTTGAATTTCAGTGTTTTATATTATTTGAATTTTTTATTTAATTTATTTTATTTGAATTTTATTTTATAAATTTATTTTTGTTTTAACTTTTGTATTTAATATTTTTTGACATTTCTTTTTGAATTTATTTATTTGAATTTATTTTATTATTTTATTTTATTTTATTTTAAATTTTTGTATTTAATTTTATTTGACATTATTTTTTTATTATTTTTTTTTATTTTTTGGTCCTAATTTTTGTATTTTAGATTATTTGACATTTTTATTTGAATTTATTTTATTTTAAAATGTTATTTTTGTTTTAATGTTTGTATTTTATATTATTTGACATTTTCATTTGAATTTGTTTTATTTTAATTTTACCTATGTACTTTCATGCAATTCTATGGCATTATGTTGTCCTGACTGAAACTTTCTACCATAAACAGCGCTGCCTGACGTTTATGAATCGAGGATTTGCTTTCAGCTTGATAAATGACTACATGTGTGGCTTCAGCCTGAAAGATCCAAAGGTAGGCCAAATTTACTACATCAATGCTACGACCATTCACTCAACAATCTACAAATACTACCTGTACAAGCAAGTTTTATGACCAATTAACACTTGACTATTCAATTCTCCAATACAATACAGTCATTTTACATTTGCCCACACAACTCATACTAAAACTATGTCAAATTAGATTAATACAGTAACTCTACTGTATATTCTCCATTCAGAAGGACTGTTTGCTTGGGCTTAAGGCCACTTTGTCATGCCTAGGAAGGGTTTTTCCTGTTGTGATCTAAATAGATTGACTTCTCTGTGAGTGCTAAATGATGGGTGTGATTAATTTTTTTGGAGGAATATCTTCTCTGCGCACATCTTCAGTGTTGTTGATATCTGAGAGGGTGGTTCTGCTGTTGTACAACATCTCATCATAAAATCGTGGATGACTCTGTTTTACTTCTGTCTAGTCTGACTGTCCTTGGAATACACATTGCATGCATTGATAAGCCATAAATTATGAGATTGTAATATCAAAACCATAGCTGATAAGATTCAGGAAAAAGGGTGAACGTTAAACACTAAAAATACCAATTCCATAGATTAAAAGTGGTCCATTTATTTCATTTCATGCATTTATTCTTTTATATATTTTATGAATATTAAACATGGTGCCCTTTTAATGAAACCTTGGGCATACTGCAATAGATATGGTTATTAGTGTACAGAAATGTCAGTAATGCACACAATATAACATTTATATTTTTAGATTCTCTTTAGGCCCCGTTTACACTAATGCGTTTTAGTTTGAAAACCCATAAGTTTTGCTACGGTTACGCCATCCGTCCACACTACGCCGGAGTTCTCGAGCGCCGAAAACGGAGCTTTTTGAAAACGCTGGAAAGGCCGTTTTCATTCTGAAACGCTGCTGCTCCGTCTCAGTGTGGATGGGGAAAGACGGAGACATCTGAAAACGGAGGCGGGGCTTCAAACGTTCGCCTATCTGATTGGGGCTTTTCCTCAATATTAAGTAGCCTACACACAGTTCAGTCTCGCATCCTCTTCTTGTAAGTTAAGACTTCGCAAGTTTGATCAAGGCTGCAGTCTCCCCCTTCTCAGTTTGATATGGAAAACTTACCGAGGACATGGGTAAATCTTCACAGGGAACAGTGTACTTTATAACTTCATTCACATCACCTTGGCTACGTTGTTTCACTTTCTCAACAATAAAATGTAAACTTGATATAAGGAACTGCCTATTTTCTTTTTAATATTAGCAACTTAACAGACAGCAGAAATGTTGAGGCGTCGTGCTGCATATATGAGCGTCATCTTCACTGTGTGGATATTTATAACAAAACGGAGCCAATAACAACTGCCTCCTTTCAATTTCAGTGAAAATACGAAACGCACCCTCTCTTTTGCTGAATATCAGTTTTAATAATCGATAATTATAAAAGTATAACATACAATAAGTTTATACATTGTGGGAAATAAAGGCAAGCGATCAGTCAATGTACCTGGATTAATCATTAACTTGTCTTTGCGCTTAACCAAAACATGTTACCCGTGAACAAGTAACTTAATAGATTCCAATGACCAAAGTCAGGGAATTGGCCTATGTCGTTAGATAAAGACAACAACATGAATAAAATATCACGTTTAGCAAATATAGTGAGATTAGATGCAGCGGGAGATGCTTGATGAGCAGTCCGACAAGCAGAGCTCTCATCTGGGTAGAAATGCTGGAGCGCTTGCTCGAGAGTGTGTGTGTGGTCACGTGATGTGCGTTTTCAGCGTTTTGGTGTGGACTGAGAGCTGTTCAGAAACGCTGGGTAAAACGCGAGTGTGGACGCGGATCGTTTTCATTCTACAACGCCGTTTTAAAACTAAAACGCACTAGTGTAAACGGGGCCTAAGAATGCGCGAGTGATCTAAAGTGGTGTCGCACCTTACTAATGCATGACAAAGCACAACATGGTACAGTACAAGAAAGACATGACCAGCAGGGGGCAGTTGTGTAACGTAGTGAACATGCTGAACTGATACACTGTAACAGCCAGAGGCATGAAAGTAGAAGCAGAGAGGTGTGACGCTCCGCTAAGCATTACTCCATAGTCTTGCGAACCACCCAATGCAAGCGCTCCGTAACATTACGCTCACGCTCGCCGGTAAACCAATACAGGTCAGATCTGTGCGACATTAAAATTTTTCTAGCAGGCTTACTCTATTTTTTGTTACTAAAAAAATCTTAAATAACTGCCTAAAATTAAAGCACGTTAATAAAATAAGTTTCTATTTCAAAGCGACTTTCTTTCTTGTGCTTTTTTCTTTCAGTACAGTTTTTAAAAAAATGTTTTAATAGGCCTAAGTGATTAACTGTGCATTTTATAGCCTGTTATAAAGCTGTGTGTGTGTTATCTTATGCTAAGGTTTAACTGACTGTTAGCTTATTTTAAACTGTGGAGGTCTGAGCATAATTCAAATGACAAATTCGCTTGCACGATCACGTCTTATTAATGCATATCCTTGTTATAATTAATGTTATACTTTAATAAGTAATTATGAAATCAATAATTCGTTCCTCGATTAGTCCTACTAAAACCCTGAAACGAAAGAATTAATCTATAAATGGAATTCAAATGCAATAAATTCTAAAATAAATTTTTAATTTAGCATAATGTGTAGCTTAAAGAAGTATTCTAAATTCATTCTTGCTATTTGACGGATAGAAAAAAAAACATCCACTGTATTTACATTTATAATAACTCACATCAGGCAGGGCTCTGAGGTTTTATCAACCGCTTGAAGTGAGATTACATGTTGCACTGTAAAAAGTTACTTTTAGTTACTTCACCTAAAAAGGGAGTAAATCCATTAAAACATTAAATCAGCTTAACACAGTTTTTGAAAATGTGCTTTCCGTGCCAGAACGTCTGACTTTGTTTTGGCCTCTTTATAACCCGCCCAATGCCATTTGACCATAGCAAACTCAGAAATGAGACACGGATTTAGAGTTCCACATGAGGTTTTTATATAACAAATAATATAAAAATTACAAATGTAAACATTAGGTGAGCAGCTAATACATGACCCTGTGTCCTAACAACATGCTACATGACAAGATTTGCAGTGATAAGCAATTTGTCTGTTTGCACCAGATGAAAGGGGTCAGAAATTGAAATACATTGAAATACATCCATTCAGAAGCACATAATAGTGCACTTACTGCACTCCAATGAAATGCTAAGATTTACAATCTAATCAATACATAGTAAACCTCTTTAACATTATTAAATGACGATGCTGAATCACAGATATATGTTGGCTTCCACTGAGTCACAGTTCTAAAGTTCAATTTCAAGGTCTGAGGTGAACGGTCTGCTGCTGCTTTCAGCAGTATGGCAATAAATGTCATGTGAAATGGCATACAAACTCACATTATTAGCATTTAACACTGAATAAAGCACGAGGTGTACCTGAGGTGATCATTGTCACTTTTCTGTTGTACAGCTGTGAGAAATAGTAGCCGTTTCTAATATATGAATTTCAGGTGTTGGTTAGGACAAAAACATGTATGGAAAACATTACTTCTATCACATGCCAATGCTTGTAGTTAGAACATGACTTAAGTCAGCCTTTAGGCTCAAAAGTCAGACACACTGCTGTTGGTGCCATCAATTTGGCAACCTGTGCTTCAGTGTGTTTTGAACCAGCAGTGCATTACCTAGTTCAACCTTTGGGTATCAAAAAAATCTAAAATTTGTTTAATATTTAAAAAAAAATGCAGGTATCAAAAATAAAAATAAAGGTGACCTAATACACGTCTAAACAGCTTAACAACAATGTTGGATGTATAAACTGTACACATACTGTATAGTAGGATTGCAGAACTTGCCGAACATGTATGTCAAGACTTGTGTTTTTGTGTTTTTACTGTATACCCTGAAGGTACTTAAACCTACTGTTAATGCGCATTCAATCACGTGAATATGCACCTAAATGTGTACATGGGGGTCTGAATTGACATAAGATTGATTAAAAATAATTATGTTTATGGAGAGTGTGTGTGTGTGTGTGTGTGTGTATGTGTGTGCGTGCGCGTATGCGTGTGTGTGTGTGAGGGAGAGAGGAAGAGGAAAAAGAAAGCATTTTCTATTTTTGATCAAGGAAAGTGATTTCATCCAAGAGTCGTAAAATAAAAAGGAAGGCGTTACTGCATTCATTGAATCGCACGCACATTCACATTCCCTAGTAGCAAACAAACATGCTTACAGCGGGATCACATAATTTGCCTGGTAACAACAAATTCAAATTAACAGACTACACTGAAAAAAATTATTCGGTGTATTTACTAAAAAAAAAATGTAAGGTAAGTGATTGCAAACAATTTATTTGGGCTGAATTTAAACAAACAAATTAAATTTCATAATATTCACCTTAATTTATTTGTTTAAATTCAGCACATATACATTTTTTGCAACCACTTACCTTTTTTTTGTAAATCCAGTGAAAAAATAATTTTCAAGGCAAGTTTATTTATGTAGCACAATTCATACACAGTGGCAACTCAAAGTGCTTTACATAAACAGGAATAAAAGAGACAAGTATAAATAAAACAAAAACAAATAATATGAAAACAGTGTAACAGTCCGTATTCCAAAACACCGGTGTATCATATTTTCTCATTTTACTCTGGGATTTGCCCGTTGTGATGATCACCAGTTTTTAACGGTGTATATCTTAAGAGAACATCACTCCAAATTTAAATTCAACTTTTATTTGTCTCATACACAGTATAATATGAATCTCAATGATGAAGTGTGGGAAGCTAGCTCTCTGCAACTCTCACATGGTCACCCACTGAAGCTAAGCAGGGCTGCGCCCAGTCAGTACCTGGATGGGAGACCACGTGGGAAAGCTAGTTTGCTGCCGGAAGTGGTGTTAGTGAGGCCAGCTGGGGGCGCTCAACCTGTGGTCTGTGTGGGTCCCTAGTATAGTGACGGGGACTCGTATACTGCTCAGTGAGCACCGTCTTTCGGGTGAGACGTTAAACCAAGGTCCCGACTCTCTGTGGTTGTTAAAAATCCTAGGGTGTCCTTCGAAAAAGAGTAGGGGTTTAACCCCGGCATCCTGGCCAAATCTGCCCTCTGGCCTCTGTCCATCATGGCCTCCTAACCCTCCCCATATCATGATTGGCATATCATCACTCTGTCTCCTCTCCAGCAATCAGCTGGTGTGTGGTGTGCGGTCTGGTGCAAAATGGGTGCCGTCGCGTCATCCAGGTGGATGCTGCACACTGGTGGTGGATGAGGAGATTCCTCCCCATTGTGTAAAGCGCTTTGAGTGCTCAGAAAAGCGCTATATAAATGTAAGGAATTATTATTTTTATTATTAAGAAGTAAAAACGCAGATCATATTTGATATCGAAATAAAAGCTACAGCTATAAAAAAATAAGACCAAATATGACACATTTCCTGTAGCCAGTAGACTGGATATTTATTTAGAGCAATGGGGATTCATTCACAAACAAATCGCTCCCTCCGTTAGAATGAGAAGAAAAAGTAGAAGAGCAAGTGTGTTTTAGGACATGGGTTAGATCAAATTTAACAGTGTGGGAGGATCTTACATTTCCATGCACACAAACACATGCTCTTTGTCAGCAATGCCCATGCAATCACTCGTCCATCGATGTAGAAAAGTGATGTAAAATTGTAATTTTCCTAATTTAAAAAAAAATATTTACACACTGACCACCGGGAAAACTCCCAAAATGTATATATGTGTATATATCTCTGGCTCTGGATGGCCACAGTCCTCCACTGCACCTTGTTCACAAATTAATTTCAAAAGAGCGCTACCCTGTATTAAAATGGTGGCTCTAGTGACTCATTCCTTCCAATAGACAACAATAGCGTGGGCGACATCTAATGTAAATATCTACGAGTATATAGAACTAAATATTGAACAATTCTTAGCTTTACAAACAGACAAAGAAGTGTGTGTAATAAAGTGTCTGGTGTATAGAGAGGAAAGAGTATATTATACAGGTGGTTTGCCCTGAACCTCATTTATTAAGTTATCTCTTACTTCTCAGCGTGAGAAATAGTGTGTGAGCCATGTGAACTTACTGAAATGCCTGTCGGTGATTGTTTGAGACCAGTTTTAAGTCATGTAAAATGAATGTTTATATATTTGCTAATCATTTAATACTTTTTATCATTATTTTTCATACTGTACTAAACACAGCTATAAAATTCACTTTTAGCATAGTGACTAACTAATACTTGCTAAAAATGCTTGCATGATTTACCACATCGCTAGCCCAATTCACTCCTTGTTGTTTGCATGAATTAGCACTTGAGTAGCATGAAATTGGCGTTGACTAATTGAATTGGCATGTTTGTAGCATGTTTCAGTATGCGGATGCTTCTATTTATCTTTACACATTGCGAAGATATTTTAGCATGTTGTTAGCATGTTCTTGCATGATGTAGCTGGTTACTAGTACATTCAACTACCATGTTGTCGCCATGATTTATCATGCTGTTTACACGAAACACATACTAACACTTTAATATTATGATTCTAACATGAATGCTAACATAATGTAGCATGATTTAACTTATTGCTAAGATTTTCATGATTAAAAATATCATTAATTAAATAAATTAAAGTCACTTTCACTTTTTAAAATTAAAATATATACTGTAATAGTAATAATAATGCGGTACCAAAGAAATTGTGGTATGATCATATCAGCCAGGATTTAAATACGAGCCTGTCTAATTTGTATTTAACTGTCCCGTAGTAAAAACTCGTGTTGACTTTGAAATAAAGATGTTTGGCTTGTCAGAACTTGTGCAGATACGTCTCTGTGATAAATGAGTCTTATCTGTTGCTCTGAAGCCTATCTAGCTCTCTTAACCAACTTCTCCAACCGCTCAATGTTATGATGGCTTTTAGGTGCTTACGGAGATGAAGTTCGACTTCCTCATGACGGTCTGCAACCATGAGCACTACATTCCTCTGAATCTGCCCATGGCGTTCGGCCGGACCAAACTGCAGCGGGTCCAGGGTATGTCTGCATACACTCTTACTGCGCCTACCACCTTTGCCAGTGCTTTCTTTTGCCCCCATCATGCCCTCTCCATCCCAGTCTAACCACTGTTAGATTTTCTGCCATTTCTCAATCCATGTAACATGAAACCGACTATACAGAGATGTGAAAGTGACACTAAATGAGGCGCGATAGTCTTACCAATGTTTTTTCCCCCTAATGCACTGTATTTAACTATTTAATTTACTGCACTTATTACTACACTTATTAATGTCTGACAGCCTGCATTTCATCAGCATGGATCACTCCCATATTTCCCATCATCACTGTTTCTTAAACCCAGTTCAGAAAAAAGACCACATGATTAATGCTCTACCAAATACTCATGTGTAGTATAAAGTATGTATATAAAGTAAGCATATCCAGCATACAGGGTGATAAAAAAAATACCACAACTTTGAAAGTCTGTATTTCATCAAAGAAACATGATGGAACCTTGGGTAATTAACCAAAATTTTGTTTCAGTAGAAAGCAAGTTCATAGGTGTTTAATATGACCCCCTTCAGACACTTGAGTTACATCAAACCGGAAGTTGTGGTATTCTTTTTGAATCACTGTGTATATAAATATGTATATATATTTATATTTATATATTTTGTATCTTTAAAAAAATACATTTGTGTGTATATGTATATATACAGTTGAAACCAGCAGTTTACATACACTCTTATAAAAGGAACATAACCATTTAAAAAAAAAAGTCTGATAGTAAATCATACTAAACGTTTACTATTTTAGATCAGTTAGGATTACCTAAATGATTTACATTTGCTTATCGCCTGAATAATGATATTTTTTTCTTGATAATTTTTAATTAATTTCTAGACTGTCAAAAGTTTACATATGTTTCCTTGTTTTTTTTTTTAGCTTTGCTTTTAAACTGTATAACTTTGGTCAAATGTTTTGGTTATCCTTTCTCAAGCTTCTCACTATAGTTTGAAGGAATTTTTGCCCATTCCTCCTGACAGAACTGGTGTAACTGAGTCAGATTTGTAGGCTGTCTTGCTCGCACAAGCTTTTTCAACTCTGCCCACAACTTTTTTTATAGGATTGAGGTCAGGGCTTTGTGATGGCCACTCCAAAACATTTACTTTATTGACCATAAAGCAGTTTTTAACTAATTTAGGAGCATGCTTAGAGTCATGGTCTATTTGGAAGACCTATTTGTTGCTTTAGTATTTCTACATAATGTTCTTTCTTAATGATGCCATCTATGCTGTGAAGTGGATCAGTCCCTCCTGCAGCAAAACAGCCCCACAACATGATGCTGCTGCCCCCATACTTCACAGTTGGGAAGGTGTTTCTAGGCTTGTAAGGTTTCCCCTTTGTCCTCCAAATGTAACACTGGTCATTATGGCCAAACAGTTCAATCTTAGTTTCATCAGACCACAGGACATGTCTCCAAAAATTATTATTGTTCCCAGTGTAATTTAGCGAGTTGTAATCTGGCTTTTTTGTTGATTCTTTCTTGTTGATTTTTTCATGTTGTCACACAAGGAAGCAGTGTGTTTGAGGTTTTCCTTAAATACTATACTACAGTTGTGCCTTCAATTAACTCAAATGTTGTCAATTAGCCAATCAGAAACTTCCAAAACCTTGACACCATCATCTGAGCATTTGAGCTTTTTTTGATAATAGTACCTTACCTAAAAGAGAAAAAGTTTAGTCACATTAACATCTGACTTTTTTTTAATTGTTATTGTTATACAGTGTATGGACAGTAAACTTCTGGTTTCAACTGTATGTAGATATTTAAAAATATATATATTTATAATGATTTTTATTGTATTTATACATACATTTAATGTATACATTTACACATTTAAAAAATTGGCAAATAAAAGAGCATGTCGTATTAATTTAACTCTGTCGAGTAATCAAATTGGTCTGTTAATTGAAACTGGTTCAATTTAAATGTTAGGAACCAAATAAAACCAGTTAAAAAGCATCTGATCTTAGTGATATTCATTTTGTTTCCACAAGTTGTGCATTTTACTGGCATCATGTCAATATTAAAATTACACTTTTACAATAGTTTGATAAAATACAGTAAAATAAATCTAAGACTATTGACTAAATACATACTGTATAGCCCGGTTGTATAATGCATGCAGCCAGCCACTTTTAGAAAAAAATAAAAGAAATACAAGAAAGTATGAAGTGAATATACACTACCTGACTAAAGTCTTGTGGTCGATCCCAGTTGTAAGAGGAACAAATAATAACTCGACTTTTGGTTGATTGTTTAGAAAAGTGGCAGAAGGTAGATTTTTCAGATGAATCATCTGTTGAACTGCATCCCAATCATCACAAATACTTTAGAAGACCTATTGGAACATGCATGGACTCAAGATTCTCATAGAAATCAGGCAAGTTTGGTTAAGGAAAAATGATGGTCACACCTTACTGACCTAATTAAATAATTAAAAATCAAAATGATCATATTTTATTTTGGTAAAATAAGTGTAATCTAGAAGCCTTTGCCTTTCATATAAGCCACTTTTGATCCCAAATGATCAACCACAAGTCAAGTTATTATTTGCTGTTCCTAAAACTTGCATAGGTGACAAGACTTTTTGTCAGGTAGCGTATGACGTGTATATTGTTCATTAGTAAAGTAGTATTTCATTCAAACACAGTTAAACATCCTCACAGCTTCACACCCCCACCACTGATGATGGCGATCCTGCATGATTGCTTCCTTTATTCATTATTTCAGATTTTATTTCGTATGCGGCGGAGTGTTTCGGTGTCGTAGGTAGGTTCCTACCGCTTCCCGTTGCCAGATAATCATCCTGATAACCCCACTAATTGCTTTTGCTGTGCTCCCGCATCACTCATAAATCCCCATCTAACATCATTTGGGTTCACCTGGGGTTGGGGTTTTGCTTTTTCTGTCACCGAGCGTCTCATATTTGCTTTGCTCTGATGATTTTCAATGACTTTGTAATGTGAAACAAGATTGTTTGGATGCGTTCATGTTCTAGGAATGTAAAGGGAAATGTTTCTTACTGACCTAGTTTGTTTGTCGCTCTTACATCAGAATGTTTTAATGAAGTGTATCTTGTATTCGTCTTCACGTCCTGTCCTTTCTAAGCTATATATTATATTGTATATTGTACATGCAGAAGGAGTGCGGAAACCTCTTGTGTGCACTTTTCAAAATCTGATTCATATTGGGATTGTAGGAAATAGTGGGGTTTTGGCTGCTCTGTTTACAGTTTTGATGACAGGAAACTCAAGTTTTGTACTTTTTTTTTTCATTTACTCACCTTCATGTTTTTCCAAAGCCAAATCACTTTTGGTAGCACTTTACTTTATACAGTGTCTTTGATGCATGTTATATGTACTTATTATTGTAGTAACGGTAAATTATGCATAATTAAATTCAATAATGTTTAACCAGACCCTAATCCTCACATTAATGTTAATCAATATTACAAGAACATTGTAAAATGAAGTGTAACCTTACTTTTAGTGTCATGCTTTCAATTAAGTAGCAAGTTCTATTGTTTAGAAAATGACTGTGATTTTCTGTAGATAAAGTACTGACATTTAAACGTTTGTGGTCAGTTTTCTGAAAAGATATTTTAGGCTGCATTTATGTGATCCAAAATCTGAAATATTGCTGTTTAAAAATATTTGTACTGCTTTTGAATATTATATAATAAGAATTACATTGTGTTATAATAACAGCACAAGCATGTAAAAACACACAAATGTACTCATATACACAAACCCCATTTTGAAAATTAATAATTTTTATCAATTTCGCCGTGAATATGGGTATTATATGTTGGTGTATTTGAAAAAAACAGATTTATTAAACAGATATATTTATTAAAATAATATTTTAGTCACAGAACATCTTTAGAAATGGAAATATAATGCATTTAAACTCATGCAAAATATTGCAAAAAATATTACAAATTACAACATTTCAACAAAATTGTATATATTTTTCGTTCTCTTGTTGTTTGATATTTTTTTAAATGTTATATACATGTAACATATACATTTAGAGTTTTGAACCATAGTTGTAAGTTATTTTGTTACATCAGCTCTCGATTTTGCTTCAGTACTGACTAAACTAATGTATATGCACAAATAAAATATTTAAGTAAGATATTTTGTTATATTAGCTTCTGATTTTGCTTCAGTACTGACTAATGTAAATGCACAAATAAAATATTGTTAAGCATTCTATAGAAAATCTTAATTTAAATGAGAGATTTGTAAGAGATTTGTGAGGGGTGTACTCATAAGTTGAGCACTGTATATGTACGCATCTATTTTTAAGTGTGTATATATATTATTTTACTTGCTGTTCTGTGTATATGAATGCATTTTTGTGTCTTTTAAATGCTTGTGCTGCTGTAAAGTGCAAAGATTCCAATATATACAATTTATATCCAATATATTCATCCATACATGTACGTAAAAAAAGATTTGTGAATAAATAAATATAAATAAGATTTAATAATTAATATTTATTTATTTAAAATGTATTTATTTAATAATATAATTATGAATAACCAATATAATAATTATAATATAATTAACACAATTTTAAGGTCAATATTTTTAGCCCCTTTAAGCTATATATTTTTTGATAGTCTACAGAACAGACCATCGTTATACAATAACTTGCCTAATTACCTTAACCTGCCTAGTTAACCTGATTAACCTAGTTAAGCCTTTAAATGTCACTTTAATCTGTATAGAAGTGTCTTAAAAAATATCTAGCCAAATATTATTTACTGTCATCATGGCAAAGATAAAATAAATCAGTTATTAGAGATGAGTTATTAAAACTATTATGTTTAGAAATTTGTTGATAAAATCTTCTCTCCGTTAAACAAAAATTAGGCACAAAGTAAACAGGGGGGCAAATAATTCTGACTTTAACTGCATGTATTGCACAATATTTTTAGTTTTTCTATATTTTTGATCACATAAATGCAGCTCCTTAATCCATGTTTTAGCATTTATGAAACTCTTTAATGTCTGTTTTTTGGTTTGCGTCTTGAATAAAAGTATTTTTCATTTACACAAAAAAAAACAAAAGTTAATGACCCTAAACATTTGAATGGCCAGAAAACCACCAAAACTAAATCAGTAACTGGTCTCTGAGTAATCAAGTCCATTTGAAAAAGACTCAAAAGAACTGTGTTCACTGATTCACTCTTCAGCGCATGGATATTTATTTTTTTTTCTTCCAAAATTCTGGCCCTTGTATTTCAAGGAAAGCACATGAAAGTGAGTAAAAAAAAACTGGATTAATTTTAATTCCTGTGCGAGAAACTTGTCTTCAAGAATAATCCTCAAAACAGTTATTCAGAATCGCCCAACCTGTTTGCCCAGCAAAAGCATTGCTGAGGCATCAAACACAAGGCTTTTCTATCACTCTTTGCTTTCTGTTTCTGCCGCTGTCAGATGTCTGGAATGCAGTGAAGTCTGCTTTCACAACATTTCAGTTTAGTCAGCCATCAAATCCTAGACATGCTGTTTTCATTCGAATGCTTTTCACTATCACAAATATCTCAAGGACTGTTTCTACTGTATGTTAAGCATCATTTGCATATATGCATCTTTAATACTATTGCGTCTTCAGGATGCATGGAAAAAAATGTTGCTTGTTTCTTTCTACTGAAAGGCCATACAGATTAAAAAGTGCATCATAATGAATGTGAAATCAAATATAGTGAGTAAAAAGCAATCTCTGACCTGAAAAAACATGTTTTAGATCAGAGTCTGGAGTACAGCTTGACTGAAGATTACTGCAAGAATCATTTTCTGGTGGGTTTGCTTCTGCGCGAGGTGGCTGATGGACTTCAGGCCTGCCCAGAGATTAGACAGCTGGCTGTGGCTGTGCTTAAAAATCTCATGATCAAACACGCCATGGATGACCGGTACAATGCCTTTAAGGTAAGGTATGGCATATTAAAAACTTGTGATGCTCATGATTTGGTTGGTATTACAATCTTAGGGTCACTGTTTCATTGGTCCCTACCAATATCAACAGCAAACCTATGCTTTTTTTGTTTGAAAGCAGAGGGTTGGTTCATTATTTTGATATATAATATGGTCATATATTAGCAAAAAAATTCTGAGGACTGTCAAATTTAGATGAAACTCGTAAAAAATGCTGTCAGTGGCTGGCAACTTTTTAAAAAAATGCTGGTAGTGAAAGAATGAACTGCTCCTTCAGACAAAAAAACAGCGGTATGGCAGCATTTTTAGCTTTCAAACGCACGTTGTAAATGGTACTGATGCATACTAAACACATATTTAAGATGTTATGCTGAAAAACAATTCAACTCGCTTCATTGACTTTCTATTGTGGGAGGGAGACTCTCTGTCATTTCAGACTTATAACTTGAGACAAAAGAAGCTTCTGTGCGACATGGTGTAGAGTAAACAAGTTTAATAAACCCAGAACTCATTTTTTATAAGTAACGAACTGTGAAAGCCAGCCTTTAAAGTCACAAATGTGGATATTGTGACTGACACTTGGTATGCCTGTGTGAGGTGAACAGTTGGTTACTGGTCAGATCTCTTAGGTTCACATAGGGTGGTGAAATAAACCTGGTTAAAAGAAATGAATATATTCTGTTGGATAATACATTTCATTCCAGCAGGTGTAACTGTAGTTCTGTAATATTACATGCTGCACTCTGCATTTGTGTGCTTAAATGCTCATTTTTAAGGGGATTGACAGCTTATAAAAACATAATTCTGGGTTCATTAGACACTGTTTTATTTGTTGTTATTTGTCAGAAATGACAGAGAGGCAGCTTCCCACAATACAAAGTCAATGGGGCGGTTTAAATCGTTTTTCCTCCTTGCGGGTATGGCCTTCAGATTATTAAATGTTGCACTCTGCCTCTATGATATGAGACAGGCATTTTAAATTTGACTATCAGATTAGAGCGGTAGTTAAATCTAGCTTTTTTCAATTAAGACAACCTGTAAAAATAAAGCAATATACACCAAAACAACAGTTTGAGAGAGTCGTCATGCTTTTGTGACCACTCAGTTAGATTACTGTAATGCGCTGTACAGTATGTGGGGAGTAGCGGGTCAGCTATTGCATATTTGCAAATGGTGCAAAATGCTGCTGCAGCATGCCTGTAACCTGTACTCACCAATATGACCACATTTCCCCCGTGTTTGCTTAGCATAATGGGTTGCCTGTTCATTTTAGAATACAGTTTAAGATTCTTATATTTGTTTTTTAATCTCTAATATCTGGTCCTGTCCCATCTTAAATCTCTGGGCTGATAAACCCCTATAAGCCCACTCATTCTCTAAGGTCAGCTGATCAGCTTTTTCTGATTGTGCCAAAAGAAAAGCGTAAGCATAGATAAGCTTGTGCTTTCGCTGTGGTAGGTCCGGTCCTAGACTTTGGAATAATTTGCCACTGCCCATTAGACAGGCCTCTACCATGTTCTCTTTTAAATCAGCTCTTAAAATGTTTTTATTTTTTCATTGGCATTTGATAATCGATCTTAATAACCAGTTATTTTAATTCAAATGCCTTTTTAGGTAGGTTAGCTATTTTTGTCTCGTATTTTATGTATTTTATAGACTATTTTGCTTATTTTTTGCATTTATTTACGCATATTTCTGTTCAGCACTTTATCTCACTTCTGTGTTTTTATAGTGCTCTATTAAAAAGTTTGACTGCTGTATAGTTTTAACACAAATTAAAACTATACAGCAGTGATACAGGTAAAATAATCAGTGCTTTTCAGGTATCGAAACTGAACCAATCGTAACACTGCAAACTGTATAGGAACTTTACTGTATGCAATAAATAAAGATGAAACTTTATTAAAGTTACTACAGCTATTCAGTCAAGAGCAGTGACTGATTTTATTGTCTTTTGTTTGATTAACTTTGGAACACAGGTATCAAAAACAAGAGGTTTGAAGCAATCCACCAATGAGGCACATTGATAAAGTTACTGACAACACATCACTTCTCAAATGTTTAATTACCTTCTAAGTAGAGGTGTGACGAGATCTTCGTGTTATAAAATTCCAGAGATTAATCATGACAAGATTTTTTTCAAGTTGAATAAAAGACCCATTCAGATTTCCATTTATATATTTTATCATTGGGGATTTCTTAAAAAACTGTGTAAAATTCTTGTCTCGTTCTCGTAAACCCAATCTCGTGTCTTGTCTTGTGGAGTAAGTGTATCATCACGCTTCTAGTTCTAAAGCATAATCTTTATAGGGAATATTTAACCCTAATCAAAATAATTCCCACTTGGTTGAGTTGTGTTAGTATTTTGTTGTTGTCCAAGAGATGCTTATTCACGGATCTAATATATTGATATGCATGCGATTTTTATTTTTTATTTATTTATAAATAAAATTATTTATATTTTTATTTTTTAAAAAAATTTCAGCTCTTCACATTTACAGACATCTTTAAAATTGTAAACTTTATTTGAGCTTTTATACCAAATCTTGCATGTCTTTGACAATGATGTGAAAGAGGACTTGGTTTAACACTTAAGGCTGATATATACTTCTGTGTCAAGCGCACACGTATGCTACGACATGGCCTACGCGTAGACACATAGCCCTAGGTTGCTTCTTCAAGTGCAAATACAAACATTACTTTCATTTTTTTGATCATTAAAACAAAAATATTGTTATAAAATGCAGTCTAAAGAACTTTCTACTGCTTTAAACTCGACCAACAACTTGTTCAGCACTAGAACAAAACGCATTCTACGACAGTACTTGTCACCAAAAAGGACACCAGCACCCAAAAACACAGTGGCCCAACTCAGCCCAAACTTAAGGCTAAACTGAATTTTTGGGCAGGATCCAGAGTGACTGTACCTTCTGAATGTGAAGAGAAGCGTAAATGCTTATGGGGCCTTCACATGTCATATCTTTTGCATGTGTGGGCATTAGGAGCACATATTGCGTGCACATTTTCCAGGCGTGCCCAGTTGAAAACCACAAGTCACGTGACAAGAACTGACCGATCAGCTTTATATTTTGGAATATACACATTTAGGTAGACTATTACAAACACAGAACACCCAAACACTGTAGTGCTTTTCATACTGTGGATGTCAATGATTGTATCCAGTTTTTTTGTGTGTAAGAAAAAGACAAACGGGAATGGAAAAAGTGAATAATGAGAGAATTTTAAGTTTTGGGCGAACTCTTTAAGTAATTTGAATATGTCAAGCTGCTGTGATTAAATTACTGAAAGAACTGCAGTGTATTTTGTATGTTTTATATGTTTTAAAATTAACTTTAAAGTTAAGTAATAAGTAATCTGATTACTTTTTACATGAAGTAATTAGTAATGTAATCGGAGTACAATTTTCCAGTAGTAGATCAGTAATTTGTAATCTATTACTTTTTTAAGTAACTTACCCAACACTGCTGGCGTCTGTGTGCTCCAAAATCTTCATATCAGGCATTAAAACTGACAAAGCTTTTAAACATATGCAGATGTGTTGTTTGTTTTTGGCAGAGTAACCGGTGCATGAAGCTGTAAAGGCTTCGCCCTATTGTGCTGAAGGGGAGGGAAACAACAGCTCATTTGCATCTATAGAGACACACAAAAACAGCACGCATTTGCTTCTACCCATCGTGGTGCAGCGTTGTATAGTAAATGATCCATGTGATATTTTGAGTAGGACCGCACAGCCACATTCTTGGGACACCTGAGAGTTATATTGCAGTACATCTTGTAAAAAAAGCACACAATATGACCCCACTGAAAACCAAGCACCACAAATTTGTTTAAGCTAATCTGTACACCACACGCAGGATATCTGGAGTTTATAAAGCATGTTGGTGTTATTGAAATTTGTGACATTTGCATTTTATCTCTTACCAACAAAGGTGGCCAGCAACAATGCAAAGAAATCCTTGAGTTATGTCCATTTCATTGATGCCACAGCAACTAACTGTCAGACATCTGTCTGTTATGCAAATGCCAGACTCGGTGCGTCCAGATCATTGCCACAGATACAAAGCTCCCAAGCTCACTCTGCAATCGCATTTCTCGAGAAGCCACTATGATCTGTTTGCTCAGAACAACATGTTTATTTTGTTTTTTACGTGTCGCGAGTGAGTCATAGTAAGGCTGTCAGAACTCTTCACTTTTTTTGTTGTCACAATCTCTGTAAGAGCAATCATAATATGACAATAGACATTGTGCTAATATTGTTAGCTTTTTGCTGATTTTTAAATTGAAAACTTCCATTAGTTCTGTAGGAACAGCGTCACAAAAATGACAAGAATGATTTTTTTTTTTTTTTTCAAACTTGGAAAGCACCCTTCTAGAAATATTTCCTAGAAATTTTGTTCAACTGCAAAGTTTGTATACTGTATAATGCACAGTATAATGCTATACTGATAATTATTCATGCTATTTTAGTAATTATTTATATTTTGAATTTGTTTATTTGTGTATTTTAAGCTTTTAGCGGTTAAACGTTCATAAATGTTACATGCTGTTAATAGTGTTCTCTTGTTTACATTTCTTTTTACACTGTAAAAACATCACAAGTGATATGATTTACAAGTATTTTCCTTTTATTTACGATTGTGAATTGCATTATGGGATGTTGATCTCTACTCTGTTGAATTTTGATGTTGATTATTCAACTCTACAGTTTAACAAAGTGACTTTTATTGACTATTAGCAGTTTGAAATAATACTGTATATTGTTTTAGAAATAACATATAGAGAAATAAGTCTGCAAAATAACAGAAAATGTTCTGACAGTTTATTGCAAGGTTTTTGTAATATACATTATATATGTATACAATGCCAACCCAGACAATATATTACTTTAAACTGTTAAATATGTTAATAAAAGTCTTTTTTTTTTTTTTTTTACTTTTCAAGATTAAAAGTTGTTGGAAGAACAATCAAGGTCCCATAATGCAATTCAAAATCATAAACAAATGAGGGAAAAATAACAACATATCACAACAAGCAACCATATCCGAACTAGCAACAACCGGGTCCGAGATCAGGTAGTTCTCGAGAGCTACCCCTGGTAAATTATGAAAAAGGGGGTGATGATGTGGATGAGGGGATTCTTCCAAAACGGAAGATAAGAGAAGTAGGGTGAAATGGGCTATTTATTTTAGGTTTGGATTAATTCAGTTGGTTTATCGATGATGGCAGATGAGAGACCAGCTGCGATCAATCATATCACATGTTCCTTTTAGAAATTAGTTTATAAAACTTGCCTTAATGAAACTTATTGTAAACATTCAACAGTTGAAGTAAAACTACCATTCTAGTCATTTGTGAGAGACCTACAATGCCTTCCATTCTTTTATTCTGCGATGTTTCATAATTCTTCATTTACTCGTTTTCCTCATGCCAGAACCAACAGGCCCGCATCTGCCTGCTGTACCTGCCTCTGTTTGAGCTGCTCTACCAGAACCTGAGTCAGATGAACAGCCCCAGACAGATGTGCAGGAATGGCCTCGGCCTGATGGTAAACATCCATTCCTCTCTTATCTGAGATCTCCAACGGCTCGGTCTTCATCTGGGATCTTCATCTCAGTCTTTCACAATGTTTTGTGAAATGAGTCTTGCTTAATGGATCAAAAATATTCTTAAATGTCAGTCCAAACGGATTAGAAACACCTGAGGGATTTGGGGAAGTATTTCTTCATATGTTTTGTTGTGATCTTAAAGGAATGGCTTCATTTCCCCCCAAAAAAGAGATTCAATAATTGACTTAACTCTAAAGCTATTCTAGGTGAAAATCCCTTACTTCTTTTAGATTAGCACTCGGAATTATATCAAATAATATTCTGCTTCTATAATCTATATTGGCAGTGCCCAATTTGAAGCTTAAAAATAGCACCCTTCATCCATTCATACATCCATTTATCCATACATCCATTCATTCTTGCATCTAACCATCCATCTGTACATCCATTCATTTATATGTCCATCAGTCCATCCATCCATGCGTACATTTATCATTAAAGGGCACCTATGGTGAAAAATCTACTTTTCAAGCTGTTTGGACATACATGTGTGTAAGTATAGTGTATATACTGTCCTATTGGGGTGAAATAAACACACCCAGTCCTTTTTTTTTTTTCAAATTTAACAACATAAAAACGGTGGACCAATTGGAGCGGTTTTCAGATCGACCACAACTTTATGTAGGAGTGCGGCCCCCCCGCCCTCCAATATTGATTGACAGCTGCGCGCATTAACATGTGTCCGTAGTAATGCATATACTCATATCGACAAGACAGGACGAGTGCAAAGCAACCGGGAATAAAAGGTCTGTTCAGTTTGCTAGGATCATCAATCATCATCAGATGTGATCAAGAGTGAGTTTTACAAGTTTAACATGTTTTAAAATGTGTGCACGTGTGTAATGAAGTACAGCCATTCACTTCAGATTTACTTCATCAGCCGCGTGTCTCTCTCACTGTGTGTGTGTGTGTGTGTGTGTGTGTGTGTGTGTGTGTGTGTGTGTGTGTGTGTGTGTGTGTGTTTGCGCTATGTATGTATGTGTGTGTGTGTGTGTGTCTGCGTGTCTGCACTATGTATGTGTGTGTGTGTCTGCGCTACTTGTCTATGCTGTGTGTGTGTTTGTCTGCCTGCGTGTCTATGCTATGTAGGTGCGTGTGTGTCTGTCTGCCTGCGTGTCTATGCTAAGTAGGTGCGTGTGTGTCTGCGCTACTTGTCTGTGCTATGTGTGTGTGTGTCTGCCTGCGTGTCTACGCTATGTATGTGCATGTGTGTCTGCGCTACTTCTCTGTGCTATGTGTGTGTGTGTGTGTGTGTGTGTGTGTGTGTGTGTGTGTGTGTGTGTGTCTGCATGTCTGTGCTGTGTGTATTCTTACTGTAGTATTTCTCACAAATGTTACGTGAGTTCTGCTTCCTGAGGCAGCCGAGGGCGTGTTGAGGCATATTGCTGACAGGCACATGGGATCGGTGGGCGGGGATGACTCGCCTTAAAGGCCCAGTGCAAAAAAACAGCAACAACCTTTTCCCAGCTATAATACAGACACTTCAAACAGCTATAATAAATACTCTGATGGGTGTTTTGAGCTAAAACTTTACAGACACATTCTGGGGACGCAAAAGACTTATAATAAATATGAAAAGAGGCGTAACCTATGTGCCCTTTAATAATACATTTATCATTCATTTATTCGTCCATCCATTCATCCGTCAGTCCATTCATTCATACATCCATCCATCTCTACATCTATTCATTGTACACCCATCCATCCATTCATATATCCATTCAATCATACTTGCATCCATCCATTCCTTTGTACTGTATACATCCAGTCATCCATACGTCCAACCAAACATCCATCCGTCCATCCATCCATTTTTACATCCAACCATCTGTCTGTCTCTCAATCCATCCATCGATCAGTTCATCCATCCATTCATTTGTACATTCATTATTTTGTCCATCTATCCGTACATCCATTCAATCGTACATTTAACCATCCATCTATTCGTACATCCATCAATCCGTACATCTCCTTAATATCCTTAATTAAATCTTCAATAACTATTATCATTGACTTCTGTTGTACATGCATTTATTAGGGAGTCAAGTTTCTGTGTTAGACATACTGTAAGAGGTGTGTGTAATCGACACTACTGGATACACAGTTTTTCCAAACTCACTTTTTAAAGACAAAAGATAGCAAACTAATACTAGTATACAGTATTACCAGAACAACTTAAAACTTGCCATTTTTCACAGCTCACCCCAAAGAGAAACATCAAGAAAAACTAACTTCAGCTTCAGCTACACCTACACCATTTGTTGTAACTTATCTATAAGAAGAAAGGTTTATACACTTAGAATGGCTTGAGAGTGAGTAAATTGTCTGATAGTGTGATAGTATTTTTGGGTGAACCATTCCTTTAAATCATCAATAAAGTAGAATTCTACATGACATTCTCTCAGTTTTACGTTTTGATTCTGTATGCTAGTGTAAATATTAACCTTGTAAGCTCTTTGATTGAGATTTGTCTGAGTGTTTCCTATTCTCCTTTAGTACCGTGATGATTTGTCAGTGGACAGTCGGAGAAGCAGCACCATTGTTGATAAGGAACCTTGTAAGTATCAAAGTGTTTGGCACCAAAAAGTGATATAGAGTATGCACACAGTTAGTTCATTTTTTTTGGCATTTGTGTGTTTCACAGCCGGTTCTGTCACCCAGAATGGACTCAGTAGGAGAGGAGAGTCCAGAGGCTCCATGTATGGAGATCCGGGAACTCCAGACATCAATGAGGTGAAACTAACACAACCATGATTTCTTTATAGATGGCCAGTCTTTTAAAGAGATACTTTCAAAAGAAATGTTACAGTATAACATTATTAAAGAAACAATTATTATGTTTTGGAGAAATGTTATTTCTTTTTTTAAAGTTAAAGAAGGTTATTATTTGTTTATATAACAAGGATGGATTTTTCTTGATTAAAAGCATCAGTAATCTCATTTATAATTTTGCAAAAACTTTCTGTGTTCATAAATGCTCTTCAAATTATCCTGACAAAGAAATTTTGAAAATATTATGCAGCATATCTGTTTTATAATAAGTTATTTTTGAGCACCAAGTAAATGTAGCCTTAGTGAGCATAAAAATAGCTTAACATAAACTTTTGACTTGGAGTGTATTATATATGAACATAATGATCACATTTAGGTAATAGTATCAAGTTAATATAATAGATTTTTGTTGTTTTTATCTGTTTAAAGAAAACAAGACACTGTATACTTTCAATGTAATATTGTATTTTTTTTATAATAGAAACTTTCTATAATATTTTATTATAATACTTTAACACTTTAATACTTCAAGTTTGAAAAAGTAAAACCTTAATCAAACATACTTTTGTACCAGTTTTCAAAATGTGTGGAAGTGAAAGGTTTGCAATTATTTTTTTTAAATGCTTTATTAATTATATAAGAACATTCATTAACACATTTGTCAATGCATTTAAAATTAATTTTAATGATTGAATTTTTTTCATATATTTTTGCATATTTTCATTAATAAATATTTAAATGGATTAAAAACAACTATGTGTAATATTATGTATTTTTAATTATTTTATATCTGTTATGAATTATATAATAACATTGATTAACACATTTTTTAATCTAAGGCATTAATTATTACATGGAAAAAACAATTTAATATTACCCTTTTTGAAAGTGAAGGTTTACACTGCATGTATTTTTTAATGCACTTTGCATTTTTTTTGTATAGTTGCACAGGCGTGGTTCCACTATGAGCACTGTACCTGCTGCTGGACGTTTGGGCCAATATGAAATCAGAGGGCTGCTGCTGTGTTACCTGCACATCGTAAGAACTTTGTCAGATGGTAAGCACACTTTAGATTATTATCAACATCATAAAACACCTCCAGGTATATGCTCATGTTTGCAGCTTAACCGTCAGATCAGCTTTAAAAGGATGGTTCACTCAAAAATGAACATTTACTCACTCTGTACTCACCCTCAAGTGATTCCGAAACTGTTTGACTTTTTTTCGTCTGTTGAACATGAACAGTTATTTCGAAGAAAGCTGAAAACCATCGACATCCATATTAGGAAAAACAAATACTGAGGAATTCAGTGGTTTTTAGCTTTCTTCAAAATATCTTTGTTTGTGTTCAACAGACGAAAGAAAGTCAAACAGGTTTGAGTGCTACTACGTGATGGCAGAATCTTCAGTTTTTGGTGAACTATCCCAAAACTCTCATCTGTCGTTATTGGTTATCTTAAATCAAATCACTTTTATTGTCACATCAGCAGCAGCATGTGTACTGTGATGAGTGAAAAGCTTAGGTGCTGGCTCCAGACAGTGCAAAATACAACAACATACTCCCAAAAAAAACAAAACAATATACAATTTGCGATGTTGACAGTAATACATTATATGTAAAAGACTATAAATGTATCAAGAAAAACACACTACACACTTTTAGGCACAGATAGACAAGTACACAGTCAAAAATGTGTACCCATAGTTTGACTGTTGATGGAAAATTATTGTAGGCAATATTGTTTTAGGTAAGTGAGTACGGTTTTGGTGCTTTGAAAAACTACTAGGAGCTACCAAGAATTTTCCTCAAAACCAAGTAAACAACTAATCGAGCTTAATGGTCAGATTTCTGAAATAAAAACTTTTTTCATAGGGAAATTGATTTTTGACTGCACCTAACGAACCTTTTGTAAACCCTGAGGTTGTTAAACTATTGTACATGTTATGTTGAACATGCTTTTTTAAAACTCTTAGTGATTAATAGTGGATTTTGTGCAGACAAACTACATTTCCCATCATGCTCTACAGTAAAACTACACTGATAAGAGTATCATGTGTGCCAGAATGGATCAAAACCTTTCATCAAAGATGAACTAAAATTACACTGATAAGGGTCACAAGCAGGGCTTGACATTAACACCTGCCAGCCTACCAAATGCGGGTAGGTTTAGGCTGTTGCTGATTAGACAGACACCCCCACTATCCACTTTGGCTGGTTGAAAATAATTTTTTAATTGTCAGTGCTGCCTCGTCCCTAAAAATTAGAATTTTAGTTTAAGAATGTTTGTCAATATGTGTGCAAATTTAGTGGTAAATCCTAAATGTTGAGCCCTAAAATGTCATGTGAAAAAAAAAGAGGAGGAGGCATGTGGACAAAAAACATAATTTAAATCAAGTAATTTAAGCATGCCAACGTCAAATTCATGCAAACAAATTTTCCGAACAACAAAATTATGGCTAGTGAAAATGGTAAGTGGCTAGTAACGTTGGAAAACTACTAGCCACAGTGGCTGGTGATCATAACAGTTAATGTCATTCCCTGGTAACAACTTGGAGTTTCTTTTTGGGTGTTTTTTTTTCTGAACGCTACCTTAATGTATAAGTAGCTCAAACTCACTCATTGGAGAAACCGGCGAATGTGCAACAACCTTAATCATAAGGTAAACACAAAACAAAAGTTTCCATCTGGAGCTACTTTACAGGACTCGATACTTGTAAACACTCGCTCCATTAGGCTTGCGGCTCTCAACAACGCCCACACTCGTCACAGTTACCCAAGCCAACCAATCACAGAGCTTGCCCTATGCATTGTTGCGACGTGTAGTTACATTTTTTGAGAGGTGTGCATCAACGTTGGCATCAGCCACAGCGAGGACTGCACCGGACTTACATGTGGGCTTGACTGAAGTATTAACCAGCCTTGAATCAGCCTTTAAGAGAGGGCCTGTTTAAATTAAAAAAAAACATTTCCCAGTGAAAAGTAAAAGCCACCGATTCACAAATAGCAATTATTAATTCCATATGAATAATGGTGACAAGATTAGTTTGATTGATTTGTGAGTTTAAATGGTTTAAAATGTTATTTATTATTATTTTTATATTAAAATCTATATTAAACACAAATGGATAATTACCTGGACACAGTTAGTTAGTGAACTTTTTTATTTGTGAATTTATTGCATTTAATTTTACATTAATAAGATAAAGCTTCCTTTAAATATTAAAATATATAAAATATACTTTAAATATGTTTTATATACTTTTTATATACATTTACTTATTTAAATACTTTTAACCTGCATTTTATTTTCAAAATAAAACCTAATCTACAGAGATAAAAAAATCTATAGAGAAAGAAGATGTTTTGAGTTTCAATGCTAGGGCCTCATACAGTACCTAAAATAGCTTAGGTCTCCAAAGTCTGTTACTAAGTCTGCCTTTGGTCACGTACAGACAGTTTGTCAAGCCCATTCACCTGTGTGAAGAAAACTAAGAGTTGCACAATGTTTTCCAGAAATATGGAGTGCTGATAAGAAAGTTTCAGGTGCATGCGGACAGGAGAGAATGTCACTTACAGTTGGTTTGTTAAGCCCACTCACCTCTGTGATGTACACTAAGAATTGCACAATAGTTCCAGAAGCATAGCGTGTTGATAAGAAAGTCTCTGGTTCATACAAAGTAGAGAGAGTGTGTCCTACAAGTGATTTATTAAGCTTTACTTGTTTTTTATTTTTTTATATTTATTACCCTTTACTTGTTATTTAGCTATTATCAGAATACTGTCAGCAGATCATGAATAACCACAAAACTCAAACGATTGAGGCTTTCGGCGGCTATATTACGGTTGTTTTAGTTTTAGGGCAACTGTATAGTAATAATAAGACCATAATGTGTATTTCACAAGCATGTTGCTTTAAGCCTTCTCTGTCATTAACTAGAAAACAATGTTTCCTCCTTGTTGACAGGTAGGTGTTGCGCAGTTTTACCCAGCATTAGAAATATTTCAGTAAACACTACTTATAGAGATTAGTAGGAAAAAATGAGAGACAATTGCTTTTTAAAGTGCCATGCGAAAGAGACATGAGAGATTTGGAGATGAAATCATGATTGTTGTGTTTTTCATATTAATACTGAGAAAATATCTAGGAGACAGATTTTTTAGTTTTTGTTTTAAAGTGACACACCAATGATACTTTAAAACTTTTTTTATAACAAAAGTGTTGTGTGCACCATAAAAAGCAGTAACTTTAAAAAGTGAGTAAACCGGTTTCTTTTAAAGTGATTAGTTGATTTTACTTAATATTTTTATTAATTAATTTATTTTACATTTTAATAATTCATTATATTATTTTAAAATAAATGGGATTTCTCACTTTTTAATAAAAGAACCATGGTCATAATAGAGGTCTTTAAATGAAGAATCAGAAACAAAAAAATGTTGTTTGCTGTTTGTTCAAACTACTCATTTAAAATGAGGTGAAACAAAACAAGTTTAGAGTTTTCTTGGGCACAACTCAGTTGTTTTATGTTCAATCCACTTCAATTTGTAAACAAAGGATTAAGTTAACTTAATTTGTGTTGGGACAACATGAAGAAATAGTGTGAAAGCGAGCATTTTCTTACAGTGTATAAGTGCATATTTTCAAGTTCTGAGTAATAAGATTTTTTCATTTGGATTGTGAACATTATTATAATTTTTTTATTTTACTTGAAGATAAATAAAAAAAGCTTCTCAATTCTAAAGAGATCACATATTTCAGTGTCAGTATTTAAAAAATCAAAAATGATTGTGATTTGTATTTCTCAAATGTGGAAGAACGGTATATGTCCTGTTAGTGTGAAATAACAGTACAACTCCAATTCATCATATCACTTCAAACCACCATCAGATTCCTTTATCTTAGTTTTAATAGAGTAACAGAAACATACAATAAATAAATGCATACAATGCAATCATACATCATCGCTAAATATTGTTGTTTATTTAAAAAAGCTGGCGCAACGCACCAGTGTACAACATATATTATAGGTGTCAAAAGGAATTGTTTCTTCGATGCACAGCAATGCAGACGTGGCCAATTCGGTATTGGTTCAGTAATAATCATAACCGGTTATTATGTACTGATGTCATTTACCTCATATGTGCTCTGTCGCTAGGGAGGTGAGTGCGGGTATTTACAACACTCCTGGCGCCAACTGTGCACAATTTCACTGCGTGTGTGTGATTTCTGGACAGTCTTTCACTGACAATTACAGCAGAAGCCCCTATTTCTCTGGGATTGAGGGAATGAAAGTACACCATTTCTCTCTCTCTCTCTCTCTCTCTCTCTCTCTCTCTCTCTGTCTCTCTTTCTCTCTCTCTCACTCTCACTCTCACTCACTGTGGCCCATTTCACCTGCTGGCATGACTTTTCCTCCCCTCTCTTTTCCTCTCAGCGGTATGCATTCCCGCGGCTGCACCTGTGCATTATCACGGGATCCGACCAGATTTCATGCGGCACAGGAATAAATTTCCAAATAAAGCGTGGGAGCGGCCAGTAACTCTGGTGTAATTTTAACAGGAGTGGTCGGTCAAACAATATTGCTTCCGAGCAAACGAGTGAGCCAAGCAAGTGCGCGTGGCGTGTGTGTGCATGTGTGCGTGCGGGTGCATGTGTCTATGTTTGTGTACGTGTGTGAATGAGAGACACACACATACACACTTAATTATAATTTTTGAAATACAAAAAGTTTACTCACTTTTTTAAAAGTAAAATCAACCTTTTGCTTTTAAGGCATCTGGTTTACTTAATTTTTAATAACTTTTTACAATGCATTTTTATGGATAAAAATATAGCTTGTCAGTATCAGGATTATTAGAATGAATGAAAACGAACGAAAATCCAAAAACAAAAATTTTAAATCCTTTTCGTTAACTAAAATAAAAATTAAAACAAAAGTTTTTTTTTAAAAGACCTGAACAGCGCTTCGGTCTGTGATGCCATTGGCCAGATCAAGCTGATTCTCCTCCAGCCAGTCTTCGTTGTTTGCTTCCACGACATGAAAGCCGCAGGGTGAAAAACAAAAAATACAGAGACTTAAAGATATTAATTAATTACATTTGTGCCCAATAATGGGTTTTTGTTCTGTATTAGTGATCGCGATCATGAACGAATCGTTCATTTTAATAAAATCTTCTAAGTGAACTGGTTGAACTAGTTCACCAAATCGAACTGAATTATTTGAAACGATTCCACAAACTACTTACTTTTGATCATGCCTGATATACCCCTCCCTGACTCAAAGTTATTTAGTTGTTAGATCAGTACACTGAGATGAGACTGAGATGAGATTTTGGTGAACCGATAATACTGTGCATGCATGATTCAGGGAACCAAACACAACAGCACATGGCGGCCTGCTGTGACTAAACTAAACTTGATCTGAACTTCCCGTTACTGTGTATCTAACCTCAGAAGCAGCCTTGCACACATTATACTTAAGGCTGCTATCTTGTGGGCTGTTGTATTTGAATCTGAGGATGGGTAGATGGTAGTGGTAGATGACAGTGGTCATGTGTCCTCTGAATACATGTTTCAAAAATTTTTTGGTTGAGTTTAATTGTACAATATTTATTCTGATGATTTTGAATCTTGCACCTAACAAAAAAAAGTAAAAAAAAAAATTAGAAAAAAACTACTGAACGATGAAAACACTGAAACCAATAAAAACTAAACTAAAACTAAGCAATTTCAAAACATAGAAACTAATAAAAACTAGTAAATCTCCCTCTAAAAATGAATTAAAAAAACATACTAAATTAAAAAAAACTAAATATTATAAAACTATTGAAAAATCCAAAACTATCATAACCTTGGTCAGAATTCATTCAATATGATAGATGGGACTGATTTGAAATCATTTCTCTAAGCCAGAACTGTCGCCCATATTTTAAAACACAGCATAAAGTCCTCCATATACTAATAAATGCTGATACAGACACATTTGACTTGACTCAAATTGGACGGATTGCATTTTACACAAATAAACATGGGTGTGAGGTGGCAGTTGTTGATCTTCTTCAACTGAAGCTAGTTTGAAGTTCTCTGGAAGTTCATCGGAGCTCTGTGAGTGCAGACATCATTCACACCTACTGTTTTATGACTGATATCATTTGAAAGGAGGGTTTATCTTAGTTTGCTCCTGGGTTTTTCCAGCAGCGCACAGTTCAGGTGACAGACTCGCTCATTAGCTTCTCGGCTCATTTAAGGAATGATGATTGAGGTAAAGTAGGTGTGTATGTATTGAAACACTTAATATATAGTGTTTCAGCAAGATTGACAAATTCCTGTTTAAATACACTGTAAAACCCAACAGTCAACTTTATCAAATGAAATGAGTGTAGTTTTTCTCAAAATTTACTAAAAATTAATTCTACTCATTTGAAAAGAGTTTTGAACTCAGTGTTGACTGAATATCTCATTAGTTCAACTTAAATGGAGTAAGTTTACAGTACTCATAGATTATAACTCATATAAATTTAGTTACTATGACCATTTATGTGAAGCTGCTTTGACACAATCTACATTGTAAAAGCGCTATACAAATAAAGCTGAATTGAATTGAATTTAGTTTTTAACTCTAATGGTTTGCTGAAATTGGTTTCCTCATACAGTATGAGTTGACTTAACTTATTGGGTTTTACAGTACTCAGTTAGTTTGAGTTCTCTTCATTTGTCAGGTTTTACTGTGCTCAAATTGCTTCATTTACTCAAATGGATTAAGTCCACGGTACTCATTGGGATTAGTTTTTGAACTTAAATGGTTTCCTCGAATGGTCTTAGTTACCTTAACTTTTTGGGTTTCACAGTGTAGAAATCATGGAATTGAGATTTACATGCTTAATAAATGTATGCTTTTAAAAGATTTCTCAGCTCCAAAAAAGCATGTTTAACATTGCCTAAAAATTGTGAGTGCTTATCCACCAAAAGCATGTTTTAGCTACCATATTTTTGAGTTGTTTTCAATGAGAGCACAGCGAGGGGCTGAGCATTTGTATATAATGCTGAGCATTGTGCACTCGCTGAGAGTTTACCTCTGGGTAAAAGGAAACACTCATCAATGTCACTTTTTTTTTAGCCAGCTGTCTAAGCACACTTGGATGAGGGTTTGGGGCAAATATCACTCTGAGCACTATATTTAGCACAAATTGTGGTTTAATCAGGTAATTTGTTTAGTAAATGACACTAAAACTGCAAATTTACCATTAACTTTGTTAAACCAGTCACAGTTTATCACATTTTTTGAGTGTTTTCATAGAAAAATTGTTTATTTTAGCTTTCAGGCATTTAAATACACATATTTACTAGCAAAACATATGTTTGTAAAATACAGCCTGATGTCTATGGACACAGCAATAGTCATTATTTTCAAATTTAATCTTACGAAATGCTTTATCCACATCATATAAACACTGTTTAGGTTACTACTTACTTAAACAGCCACTTTCTTTACTTTTTATGTATTTCAGCAGAGGTTGATGAATTAACATGTTGTAAATCTAGCAGTTCTCAAATAATGTGGTCATTAGTAAACTGTTTATACAACAAAATACATATCAGTATTGTACATGTAAACATAGACATCACCTATATGCAATAAAACTGCAGGTTAACTATGTCTGTATGTAATAACTTATGTTTGATTGTAACTTTAACTTAATTTGATTGTAATGCAATAACATCTTGCTGTTTCGTACTTTCGTACCCAAGTTATGGAATGGCCTACCCATCAGCATCAGGATTGCCGTTTCTCTGGGATGTTTTAAGAAACTTCTCAAGCCTCACCTTTTTACCGTTGCTTTTAACTTAGATTGATAATTTTTGTTAATTTTATCATCTAATTGTATTGAATTGTTCATATTTTTTTGTTTTATTGTGGTCTTTTTTTGCAGTTTTTATTGTTCTGCTCTGTTTGTCTTGTATGCCTGTTAGCGCTTTGGGTCTGAGAAAAGCGCACTATAAATAAAATGTATTATTTTTATTATTATTATTATTATTATTATTATTATTATTATTAATGTGCAACTTTTAGTTGCTTTGAAGCAATCATTATTGTAAATAGCGCTTTACAAATAAACTTAAATTGAATTGAATTATATGACAATCACAATATCAGGCATCACACAAAATAGTTATATTATCCGATTGTTGAGTGTGACGTCGCACAAGGCAGCTTCCGGGTCCAATCGCTATATAAAACAGTACAGGGAGATTCAACTATTGTAATGATAAACATTTACAAAGGCTGTAATTCTTTTGAAAATATCAGTATACATATCCATGTCTATTATCAGATGGACTGAAAGTAATTATTAGGTTTTTTTTCATAAATTATTAAAATATTGGTGTCTGAGAGGCAGCAAGTCCAGAGACTGTTGTGTGTACACCATGATTTTATATAATATTTACTTTAATATGTGATATGACTAAAGAATGGTCATAAATGAATATTTTCTCAAATGAGTAGAGACTTGGACCCAGAAACAGAATTTCATACGTCACAACTTAATGCGCAGACATCACTTTTTTGTCTATGTGTACATGTTCAGTACAGATATGTATTTTGTTGTATAAACAGTTTAACTAATGACCATATTATTTGAGAGCTGTTGGATTTGCAACCTTTTATTTAATCAACTTCTCCTGAAATACAATCAAAAGTGCAGTAAAGGGCTGTTTAACTACAGTAAACAATCTAGTACCCTAAACAGTGTTTATCAGACGTGAATAAAGCATACAGTCAGACTGAAATAAAAAATAATGACTATTGCTGTGTCCATAGACATCAGGGTGTAGTTTACAAACATATGATTTGCTTCTAAATGTGTATTTTGATATGCCTGACATCTAAAATAAACTTTATTTGTAATAAAACACTCGAAATTGGGATAAACAGTGACTGGTTTAACATACTTATGGGTAAATTTGCAGTTTCAGTGTCAGGGAGGTCAGCGGGAGTATTTAGAACTTGCATCTGAAAATTAATTGTTAAATGGTCCTTTGTTCAGTACAGTGAGGTCTATTTACTAAGTTATAAAGATTAAAATGTTATCAAGAAAATAGCCACTTATTAAAAAAATGTGCTGTTTTGATTTCTCCATTTAAACATTGGTTAACATGGGTGGTAAATATTAACACATACCAGTAAATTGAGTACTGCGAACCAAAATGCATGATTCATTCAAATGCTCTCCTCCTATAAATGTAACGTCTGATTGTGAAACTCCTACAAATGCACATGCAATAAGACCAGACTCTCTTCATACTCTTTTTCCAACTGTATTGTATCTTTTGAACATAGACTTCATAGGTAAATAATGGGTTTATGCTGATGCAAGATGTTAGTAAATCTGCCTTTAAATCTATTAAATTTAAATAAATTGTTATCTGAAGTACATCCTTATAACTGCTTTAAAATCATTCATGAAAAAATTAATGCAGGAACTATAAATAAGTGCTAGCTAAAGATATAATGGAGAAGTGTGTAGATCTGTTGTCTGGGTGTCAATCTTGAGAATTTCACTGTGAAGAGGTACAGTTGAGCTGTGTAGCACTAACGCTTCTGTATCTCAATGTGTTCCTGTAGACACTCTCACTGCTTATTGGTCGAAAGTCAATCCACAGGACATCATGAACTTCCTCAGTCTTCTCGAGTGAGTGACAGCAACTTTCCCATGACGTGCTCTTGTTAGACCAGTTTTGATCTTATTGTCTGTAAGCTTAATTAAATTTTTTTTATTATTTATTTATTTATTTTTTTTGTAGATTCATTAAATCAAATATAATTTTTTATGAACACTTCAAAGACACTTTTGTGAAATGGAAAGATTGGATGGATATTAAGTTCAAATGAACCCACTGGAACTATTTTTAAGAGTGTACATCTTAAATGAGAGGATTTTAATGAGATAATAATGTGATTCTTTTTTTTGTATTTTTATTTGTTTGTATATTTTTTATTAATATTATTTATTTTTATATTTTGTTTTATTTGTATTGATCTTTAAATATTTGTATGCATTTTTTATTTGTTACTACTTATTTTTATTTGTTTGTATTTATTTGTTTATATTATTATTTTTATACCTTTATTTTTTATTTGTATGTGTGTATTTAAATTGTATTTATTAATTTTATTTTCTTTGTTTAAAAGTAATGTTTTTCTTTTTTAAATCACAGCTTTTTAAATGCAGTGTAGATGTTATGCCTTTTTATTAACTGTGTTAAATCAAGCTCTAACCATGACCTTCCAGTCTCTTTGGGTTTTAATTTAAAATGATAAATTATTGTCGTGTTTGCTTCAGAGAGCTTAGTTTTACAGTTGTTTTGGCAATCAATGAACTAAACCACATGCTTAAAATAACATCACAACATTATAGTGTAATGTCTGCATAAATAACCGGTCAATATTAAGTACACAGAACGAGTTTCATAGACTTAATGGACTAATTTAATTGATTAGAACTGCTTAAAATATATGTTAAGCTGCTTTGACACAATCTTCATTGCAAAAAGCATAGGAATAAAGATAAATTAAATTGAATTGGATAATCAGAATTTAAGATTTAATATTTTAGAAATACAGAAAGATAAACAATAATTATAACAACATACTATAAACAGTTTTTTAATTTTATTAAAATTTTATTAAATGTAAAAGCTGAGTCAAACTCCTACAAATGCACATGCAATAAGACTAGACTCTCGTCATACCCTTTTATGACTAAATTGTGTTGTTTGAACATAGCCTTCATAGTTTTTACCTACTAATAATGGTAAAGTAAATCTGCCCCTAAATCTATAAAACTGAAATAAATTTTTATCTGAAGTCCATCCTTCTAACTTCTTTAAACAGTATTAATTTCGTTGATGAAAAATTTTCATCATAATTTTCGTGACTAACAAGTTTCTACTGACCAAAACAAGACGAAAGCGAGATAAAAATTAAGTGATGACGAAAACTATAATAAAATTATATATAAAAACGACAAGACGAGAATGTAATTGAGGGACTTTTTTTTTATAGAAAATATCCAATCAGAATTAATCTTAGAGTGTGATGCATGACATGACATACATACAGTATTTGCTTTAGTATTCATTTATGTAAGTTAACACGGGACTGAGTGCATATTTTATGTCTACTTATTGAACATATACAGCTATACAGCTGAGAACCTGCATGTGCTGTTACACCTACTGTTACACCAACTACAACTGTAAAGCTTGGTAGCCAATAGACTGACATTACAAAGTGGACTTTAAATATTTTAAGCCTTTTTAAAGATTTAATGGCTTGAAACCTGTACAAACTGGTCAAGAATATTAGTAGTTTACCACATTAAAAAAAGGTTTGCTAAATAGTTGCACAATCCTGCTCATTCAGTAGGCTATTGTTCTTACATGTGGATTGCTTGCTGACACAGAATTTTACATATTAATTACGATATAAATAAGTAATGTGCGTCTAATTTTTAGCCTTCAAAGAAAAAGCTATATTCCATATTCAGTGCATCCAGAAGTATTTCTAGTGCTTCACTTTTTCCACATTTTATTATGTTACAGCCTTATTTCAAAATGGATTAAATTCATTTATTTTCTCATAATCCTACACTCAATACCCCATAATGACAATGTGAAAAAAAGGAGTTTTTGAAATTGTAGCAAATTTATTACAAATAAAAAAAACTGAAAAATCACATGTACATAAGTATTCACAGCATTCATTTAATCAGTCTGTTTTATTTCATTTTAAGTTAGAATAATTTGTATAAATAAATGTATGTAAAATTTTAAACCAAATATATTTTAGTCAGCTAGAGTAGATTTAGTCGACTAAAACTAGACTAAAACTAAAATGATTCAGAAGACTAAAATATGACTAAAAATAAAATGGAATTTGAATCAAAAGACAGAACAAAACTAAATCAAAATTTGCTTTCAAAATTAATACTTTCTTAAGTCATTTTTGAAAAAAAAAAACTAATGTAGGAACTATACATTAAATCACTAGTTGAATTTTGAGCCTCATTACCAACACAATTTGGCACATGCTTTTGTAGTTTGAAACAACTGCATATTTTTTAAATTTTTGTGCTTTCAGAGAAGTGCTTGAAAATATAAACTGAATCTTTTAGCTGAACCATCATGACCTTCACACGTCTGTTTAGTCTGTTCATTTTCTCTTGGTGTTCATTTTCTCTTTATTTTTTTCTGTTTTCTGCATCTGTAGGATCTGCATAATCCAGTTCCGCTATGTGGGCAGGCGAAACATCAGCCGGTATGTTTGATAAGGACTCAACAACTGCATGTTTCCCATTAGAGAGTCAACCGCATTCAGATCACACACATTTACATGAACCACAAATGGGATGATCTGTTCCCTGTTATCCTGTTATCAAAACCAGATCTTTACATTACATTACAAACCCGCTGGTACAGTACCAAGATTAGAGCTGTTGTGGATGTCTTTGTTTGTTTATGTGTGTTGTTTAGAAGCCAGGAGCCGTGGGTGTCAAAACTCTTCTCCCCTGAGAGAAAATCTCAGACCATGCCGGTTCTGCGAGGACGAGCCAGCTTAATGCAGGCCAAGCTGCAGCAGTTCAGCACTATGGACACCTCATTGACTCTGAACATGGGTAATCTGTGTGCTCTTGAACCTTTCATATTTTAGAAGATTAAAAAGATTGGCATAGGGAGAATTATTTCTGACTATTACCAATAAAGATTTAACAGTTGTGTGCTGTTGGGGATGGTTTCATGGAGATTTGGAGTCCTAATTTGGCCACAACTTTGTCTGTGTATCAGCAAATGGAAATAATTTTGGTGCAGAATCTTATTTTGACATGTGCTTTGGAAAATACTTTGAATTTTTTCAAAAACTCAGTAATACACTCAAATTTACTCAATATAATACAGTGGTCCCTTGTTATCTGCAGGAGTTACGATCTAAAAATAGCCTGCAATAGACAAAATCCTCAAAATAGTATCTTTATTTTTTTGTACTTATTATAGATGTTCTAAGACAATAAAACTCCTCATTACACTCTTTAGACACTTTTCTTCAAAAGTTCAAGCTTTCGTTGAAAAATAAGTCCAGTATTATGGAATGAAACCAAAGATCAAAACCTATTGTCAGGCGTAAACATTCATCGCTGTCAGCAAAAGGTTCATAAAGCTTTTAGCTTTTGTGCAGATAATGTTGGCGTAATGTTCTTTTTTCTGCAGGCACTGATCTACAAAACTAAAGCACAGGCGCATATTCACATGTCATTTCAAATGAAGTTATTAAGATGGCGCTCTGTGGCACGGCAGAAATATGAACAGTGTCGTGAGTCGTAGCTGGACACCGCAAATAGCTGCTGACTTGTGGTGCCGGTGTGCGTACACTGATTTAAACCTATGTTTACAATTCTAAAATGCATTACATGTCTTGGATCAAAGCTTTCCGTGTGGGACCCCTTTTCGATGGTCTTGCTGTGGACAGTTATATCCCTTCCTGCATCCTTGTTGGAACTCACACTGCTAGCGATCTGCAGTTTATGTTAGGGTGCTTTCACACCTACACTTTTGTTTCGGAACGTATCTCGTTTGCCCAGTTAGCGCGGTTCGTATGGCATATGTGAACAGGGCAATCGCGCTCTGTTCCGCGCCAAAGTAATCGCTCCGAGATCGCTTGAATGAGGTGGTCTCGGCTCGATTGAAACGAACCCTGGAGCGGTTCGAGTGCAGTGAGAAAGCGATCCGATTCGAGCGCGGTTATTTTACAGTGTTTTAGGGATATGTAATAGGCTTACAACTAAATGAAGAGAGAATTATGAGTAGGGTGGGAAGTTTTGCGAGTCTCTGGATGCCCGCAATGATCTCCCGGTAATCTCGCGTCTCCCTCCCGGTCCTCAAATAGGCATCGTCGCGCACCTTTCCCACCCCTGCCCACCGCGTCTCTCCTCAGACACGTCGCACGCGCACCCTGTCAATCACCACCAAACCACCACCTCTCCTGTCAGCTTAGCGGGACGCTGCAAAATAAACCCTGACACTCTGACCAGTTTACTCGCACGTGACTTGTTTTAGCTCTTTTGGTCCGATTAGAAACTTTGCAGTTTGAAAGTGAACCGCTTTAAGAGCAAAGAGCAACAATGGAACAATTGTAATCTGTATTTTAGAACAACTGAATCGATTCACAGGTGTGAAAGCACCCTTAATTTGGCAAGATGAACACATTCTTGATTGATTGTACACTTTCAAATTCGATTAGTTGACTTTACTTAAAGAAATGAGTAAACTCACAGTTTTAACCAGGCCAAGCTGCAGCAGTTCAGCATTGTGGACACCTGTAATTATCTCTGAACATGGGTAATCTATTTGCTCCTAAACCCTTACAATTTTTGAACCTAAACAACTTGGCATAGGGAAAATAATGTTTGACAATTACCAATGTTTACCCTTGTGTGTTCTTGGGGATGTTTTCATCCACTCTGGGGTGATTTTTAGTCTTAATTTGGCCACAGCCTTCTCTATGTTTCTGCAAATGGAACGATTTTCGGCGACAAATCTTATTTTGACACATATTTTGTGAAAATGCTTTGAAAATGTTCAAAAACTTGACAATACACACAAAATAGCAAATTTACTACCCGTTGGTTATGTTGGTGGCTGTTTTTGCCCCATTGACTTCCATTATAATTTTGTGACGCCATGTAATCATGCATTCTTAATTGTTGGTCTTTTTTTTTTCTTTTTTTTTTGGTATTTCAGGCCTCAGAATATTTTTTAGGTATACACTTTATGACTACGTTATATATCAAAATAATCACCAAGACTCTGCTTTTAAACAAATAAAACTTTTATTCTGTCTTCATGTTTTGTTTTGCTTTATCACGGCTTGAATGTAGATAGATTTAATCAAAAACGCTATATTTTATCCAAAAATGCAGAGAACAATACATTATTTTTAACTTAATACTTTTGATGATATATGACGCACACAATTATGTGCATAATTAGAAAGATTAAGTTGTCAACTTAACAGTTTCAAGGTACAACAGGTTTGTTCGCTTTTTAAAAGTAAATTTAATGGCTTTTTAAAGTGCACATGCTTTTGCTGAACTCATCTGTTAACGTTAATTCAGATTATTAAAACCGTCGTGTTTAATGGAAAACTCTTGTGCAGAAAAACTACAGTACCCATGATGCTGTGCTAAAAATTACCCAAGATATTTTACCTCTGCCAACTATTTATGTTGAAGTTTTACTTTAAAAATGCCTTCATGGTCAATCATGCAATTTATATTTTAGATTTTTACTTGTTTACATTTTGTTTGCTATTCATACATAAAAGGTATACACTAGCAGCTCTATTGCATGATATTACATTTTTAAATTTTAGTTCATGCTAACTAAGATTTATAAATGGTATAAAGCAATGGACTCTTTTCACAAGACTGTTACGATGCATTTAACAGTCATCATAATATAAAATCTGAACGTCCTTTACTTTGCAGACAGTCAGATTAGTACACTCTGCTGTTTTTCAGCTGGAGGTCCCACAGAAGCAGAGATCAATCATCAGTCTTTGCTGGAGGGCAATACGTCGACGGAGGTCTGTCTGACAGTGCTGGACGTCCTCTCTCTTTTCACTCAGAGCTTCAAGGTAAACTATCTGCAGATCTGTCCTTCAGAGTTCAGCGTTTCAGTGCTGATGATGTGATTAATGTATTCTGACAGAATCAGCTGCTGGACAGTGATGGTCACAACGCTCTGATGACGAAGATCTTTGACACATACCTCACTTTACTGAAAGTCGGACAATCAGAAACCGCAATCAAACACATCTTTGCCTCTCTGCGAGCTTTTATCGTCAAGGTGAGATCTGTATATTTCACAAACAATTAAGGTTGACTTCACACTTGTAGATTGTTTGTCTTGGTTCTTTTAATCTGGACTAATAAAGAAAATAAAGCATTTAGTCTTTGTTTAATTAGCAGTTATACTCTCATTTTTCAAGACTGAACTTTAACATGCTATACCGAAAAAATATAGTGTTTGACATATATTTTGTGACAGAACTTATGATTAGAGATTGTTTTATTAGAATCAAATGTGATAAATGTCAAAACAAGTTTAACACAACATTTAGGAATCAATTATTTACTTAGCCTCATGAAATTCCAGTCCCAATTAGTATTAACACATTTCATTTATTTATTTTTTTTATTTTATTTTAGCTTTATTATTATTTTTAAATTAATTTGATTTACATTTATTTGTTTTATTTAATTACATTTTTGAATTAATTTAAATTAAAACTTTATTAAATTTTTTTTATTGATTTGATATACATTTATTTTAGTTTTATTTATTTTAAAATTCATTTAATGAACATTTTTATTTTTACTCTTGTTATTTAATAAAGTTTTTTATTTTTTATTTTTTATTGATTTGAATTACATTTATTTTATATTTGTTTTGTTATTTATTTTTAAAATAATTTAATAGAAAAGCTCTGTTTTTTATTTATTTGATTTATGTTTATTTTAGCTTGGTTTTATTTATTTCTAAATTTATTTAATTAACATTTTTATTTTTATTTTGTTTTTCTTTTAGTTGTATTTTATTAATTTATTATTGATTTGATTTAAAAAAAATATTTTAGTTTTATTTTATTTTAATTAAATTTTACATTTATTATGCTATTTATCTTTAAATTCGATTAATTCATATTTATTTTGTTTAATTTTTTAATCTATTTAATACATTTTTATTTGATTTGATTAATTTAATTATTTGATTCACATTTATTTTAGTTTTGTTATTTGTTTTTTAATTAATTAATAACTTTTTTATTTTATTTAAGGTTATTATCATTTAGTTTTAATTGATTTTATTTAAATTTATTTCAAATTTTATATTTAAATTTTGTCTTTTTAATTTAATTTTCATTTTATTATATTATTTATTTTTAAATTTGTTTAATTTACATTTATTTTGTAAATTTTTTTATCAATTTAATTAATTATTTTATTTGATTTTTTTTTTTTATTTACTTTTATTTTATTTTAGTTTTGTTATTTGTTTTTAAATAATCTTTAATAATTAGTTAATCATTTTTCTTTTTTGTTTTGTTTTCAGATAACCAGTGTTAATTGAGGCCAATCATAACACAGAATAAAGTGTGAGAGAATGTCAGGATGTTGTAGAATTGACCTACACTGATGTGTTTGTTTCTACTTCAGTTCCAGGTTCCCCTTTTTAAAGGCCGTGTAGTGCTATGCGGCTCGCTGTGTTATGAGGTCTTGAAGTGCTGTATGTCAAAACTAAGTGTCCTGCGAGGGGAGGCGTCTGCCCTTCTTTACCTGCTCATGAGACACAATTTTGACTACACAAAGAGGAAGAGCTTTCTGCGTGTGCATTTACAGGTATAAAATAAGACTTTCATTCAACTGTATTGCATTAGTTTGTAAAATAATCCAAGGAGACTAATGTTTCCCATCTGTGAACTTATGCTTGTTTTCTTTTATTCCTTAATTTCCATGACCCATCGTTTATTTTGTTCATCGTCTCCTTGTTTTTAAATCGTGAACTGTTGCCTAATAATTTGCGATAAAAGACCATGTGAATGTGGAGGAGGTGTATTGAGTAATAAGGGGGAGTAGTGTAAAAATACGGCGTGGCTATTTGAGAAGTTGCACGTTTCGAGCACACAAGGGGTGATTCATGAGCTTGCGGAAGATTCTTACAAGGGCGTTTACTCAATCATTACATTTACATGGGCAACAATACTTTGATTTTAATACAGTAAATTAATACAGTGACTAATATTACAGTGATTAATGCAATACTCTGATTAAGAGTCCATGTAAACAGCGATTTTTGATTACCTTAATCTGTCTAAAGTCATAATCAAACTAAACATAAATTAAGACATGTGGACAGGGCTTGACATTAGCACCCGCCAAATGCGGGTAAAATTAATCTGTTGCGGGTAAGACAGCCTGTTGAAAATAATTTTTAAGTTGCCAGAGCTGCCTCGTCCCTTAAGATTCAAATTTTTCTTTAAGACAGTTTGTAAATATGGGTTCAAATGTGCTCTTAAAACTGAGAAGCAGGATGATTGATGACTGTTCATACGAGCAAAAGAAAGCAGGTGAACACCGAATAAGAGGATGATCAAGTGCATGGTGACGTTGTGAGCGAGGCACAGCTGATGTGATGCGCATGAGTGCTTAAAGGCTCCCATTTCTTTTCACAAAACAACCGTGTCTGGAAACGCAGCTGGTGAGATGGTTTCTTTTTGAAATAGCTTGGAAAAAAGCAGCGCTCGTGCATCCACAGTGATGTTGCTTTCAAGAGATCTCCAGATTTTTGGTAAGCAGCAGCTGTTGATGTGCACGTGGTCATCCTTTCACTATTGCACACAGCATGTTTTTCACCTGCTTTCTTTTGCTTGCAGTTATTTTCGTCAATATGTTTTAATTATCATCCTTTACAATAACATTGCTTTAATAGGAGATTAGCCAGGACAAACTACTATGTATAGTTTTTTTTTAATATAATGTTTTACAGAACATTTTTGTTGAATAAAAGGTGCATGTATACAACTATATTCAGCTTGTTTTGACACATTTAAAAAAAATTGTGGCAAGAAAATAATAAGTTTGGTGTGGCCAGGGAAAAAAAGGGCAAATCCTTAGTATTGAGCCCTAAAAAGTCATGTGAAATAAAAAAAAAAGTTAAATGGACTTAACACATAATTAAAATCAAATAATTTTACCATGCCAACGTCAAATTTATGCAAATATATTTTCCCAAAAACAGAATTGTGGCTTGTGAAAATGTTGAGTGGCTAGTAACATTGAAAAAACTACCAGCCACAGTGGCTGGTGATCAAAAAAGTTAAGGCCAAGCCCTGAATATGGAGTATTCCTTTTTTAGTCGCATTATTAAAGTGCAGTATAGATACGTACACACATTAAACTATTATCGTTTTGCAGTACTTTCCGCTACATTTTGCAACAGGACGTACAGAGGCCAGTTGTCAGGTGTTTGACGACAAACAAATGTCAATGGCTTCAAGCAAGAGAGCACATTTTTGATGCGAGTGTGTAACAATGACTATTCTCTTATCTAGTACCTCCGAGTTTGTCACGGGGGGCATGGATAAAAAGCTAGTAAATAACACCCAGTAGTGTCTGACTGCTGAGGTGGCCTGTTTCTTGAGAATTTGTATCCGCCATCGTCTGTTTGCATGCATAACATGAACACAAACACACGAACACAAACTATTAAAAGTTCTGCTTGAATAAGGGCATTAACACGATCAGTATGTTTATATGGACACCAATACCTCAATTTTAACGTGATTAAGAGTCTACAATGTAAACAGATTTTTGATGACCATATTCTGACATAATAAAGTCATAATCGAACTAAACAGATTTTGGATTGAGACACGTGGAGTATTTCCTTTTTTAGTGGCATTATTGAAGTGCAGTGCAGACATGTAAAGACCGCAACTCACCCTGTCATGTAATTGCTGCAATGAAATTACGTTTACATGGACACCAATACTACGATTTTTATTACGATTAAGACAATACTCTGATTAAGAGTGTACGATGTAAACAGTGATTTTTAATTAATTTCATACGATTCAGGTCATAATCAAACTAAACAGAAATGGAATTAAAAGACGTGGAGTAAGTCACATTGAAGTGAATTATTGTTTGTGCTGATTAGGAATCTGAAATATTCTTCATCTGACGTGTCATGAGCCTAAATCCAAGCATCTGTGTACATGTGTGTTTGTATGCGCATGTGCGTCTGTGTTTGTATGTGTGCATCTATGTGTGTGTGTGTGTGTGTGTGTGTGTGTGTGTGTGTGTGTGTGTGTGTGTGTGTGTCTTGTTTTCTTTTATGTGCTCTTGTCAAGTGCATAAAAGGCTTTCTGAAAGTGCGTAAACACGCGATACAGTCTTCATGCTGGAATAAAAGCTGATGGTGCCAGTGGGACTGGTCCAGCCACATTCACTTGTTGTTTGAACTTAAACTGAATGCCACTCTCTCACTTGGCATCTGCACCTGTACTACTCAATACACGGCATCCTCATACACGTCATTTCACAGTTGTTTACACTTATTTACAAACTTGCTTTATTATGTGACACTTTCACTCTGTGAGTATGAAAAGAGTGAAACTTTAGGCGCTTTCCTTAGCTGCAGTTATTTAGCAATTGAGGCCTCGAGGGGGTTTATGAACTCACATTTCATGCTGAATTGACTAACTTAAAACAACAAACTTTCCATGAATACATCATATTCATCACATCTGAAACATACAGCGGGGAAAATAAGTATTGAACACGTCCCCATTTCAGCTGCTGTTGACCTGCAATTTTCACCAGATGTTGGTAACAATCCATAAATTCAAAGAAAACAAATCTGATTAGTTTACAAATAAAATTATGCGTAATAAAAGGAAATGACACCGGGAAAAAGTATTGAACACATGAAGAAAGGGAAGCATAGAAAAGCAATGAAAGCCCAGACAGCAGCTGAAATGTCTCAGTAGTTTTTCAGCAGCACTCTGCCCTTCCTTATTGTAAATGAATATTAGCTGCTTTAGTCCGAAGCAGATTTTAGCAAGACAATGATCCAAAACAAAGCCAAGAAAACTCTTAAACTGTTTTAGAGAAAGAAAATCAAGCTGTAGAATGGCCCAGCCAATAACCTGAATTGAATCCAATAGAGAATACACAATAATGATCAGATTTGATAGATGAGACCCACAGAACCATCAAGAGTTTTACACTCTGTTGATGTCTGTAAAAAAAACTCACCCCTGAGCAATGCATGTCTTGCATGACTTCATTCTCCATATGAGAGGCGTCTTTAAGCTGCCATCACCAAAAAAAGACTTTATATGAAGTATTAAATAGGTCTCAATAGTTCAGTACTTTCCCCTGTTTCTTTTTGTTTTATTTTTATGTTTGTATTGTTTGGACTTTTACCAAAATCTGGTTTAATTCCATGTTAACAGCTCCTCTAGAAATATTATTCCTAGGAAAAATCATGACGTGCTCAATACTTATTTTCCCCACTGTATATAATGGCAACATTTCTGAAATCAAATGACTGACCCCTTAGTTTTATAGCTAGCATTTTATATAACCTAAATACACACAATTGACCCTTGGCAAAACTGGCCACCCTCTTTATGTCTGACATGTTTAGATCAGAGCAAGATTGTTAATAATTTTAGGAAAATTAACTAAAAGGTCACAAATGCATTCTTGTGACATTCAGGATTTAGAAGTGATTGATATGAAGCAAACAAAAGGCATAGCTTACAGTTCAAAGAATTAAACTAATGAATGATTCTCTGAATGAATGATGATTTTCCAGATCATGATTTTGATTGACACATTTAATGCTTTCTGGATTGAAAGCAATGTGTAGATGTGGTTTAGTGCAGCTGACAAACGTGTTTAGATTCATTTCCTGATAATATAAAAAAACTGCATTAAATTTGGTTGTTCAGACAAGAGTGAAAGCTTAAAAGGTTTAACAATTAAGCTTTCACTTTTCATGCTTTCATCAATTTAAAGGGATAGTTGCCACAAAATAAAATAAAAAAATCTTTTTGTCATTTTTTAGTCATCCTCTGCTTGTTTCCAACCTTTAAGACTGTCTTCTGCTGAACACAAAAGAAGATGTTTTGAAGAAGTTTTGGTATTCCACTACCGTGGAAGTCAGCGGTTACAGGTTTTTAGCTTTCTTCAAAACATCTTATTTTGTGTTTAACAAGAAAAAGCAGCCTATAAAGGTTTGGAACCACTTCAGGATCAGTAAATAGAAAGTAAAATTTCATTTTTGGGTGAACTATCCCTTTCAAAAAGAGAAAAACAGCTTTGTCTTTTTTGTCATTTATAAAGTAACTTTTATTTACGTATAATCACAATGACAACAAAAAAAAAGTTGCTTATATCGTTAAGAGTTATATAGCGTGAACATGCTCTAATTTAAAAACATTTTCAACTTTACTGAGAGTGAAAAATCACTGAGAGTTGTAACAACCTATTTTAAAGTCAGGAAATTTTAAAAAGAGACTTGTGTTTCTATAACTCCAACATGACAGTAGACACACTATACATACACACAGTTCTGTCCAAACAGCTTACAAATGATGATTTTCATCATAGGTGCCCATTAATATGATTAAATTGAAAACAGAAAGCTCCTCCTGCATGTATACAGGTACTTCTAATGAGGGATGTTATAAAAGATTTTAAACTGGAGAAAATCGGATTCTCCCTAAAAAAAAATAAAAAAAAGAAAAATTCCATAAAATCTGGCAACCTTCATAGATTATTTTAAAGACATAAATTCTACAGGAAATAATAAATGGAAGAGGAAACATCATCAGATACATCACATACATACAAAAATAAGTATTGCACTGTAATGCTTTTTCACAACAAAGACCTAATGGCCATAAAAACAATGTAGTTATTAAAAAACAGTAAATGGTTGATGCCAAAAGCCTAGTGGTACTGTGCATTGACATATAGAAAGCACTAAGGTGCTCATGGCGACCCGAGTTTGATTCCCGGATCCTTCCCCTCTCTCTGCTACCAATGCAATACAATAATAATATTAATAAACAAATAATAAAAATGCTTTATTCCTCTTCGGCTTCAAGATCAGTACCGTCAGTATAATTCAACAAAGGTTTCCATGTTTTGTGGGAAAAAATGTTTTAAAGACTTAATGAAAACCCTTTTTTTTTCAACTTTAAACAAAAATATTTCTTTTATCCATCTGATATATGAAGGTGGAGGTGTTTGTTTTCACTTAAGGCTGTGTATATGTATTTACATGTGATTTTTCAGGTTTTTTATTTGTAATAAATTCTTTTTTCAAATTGTCATTATAGAGTATTGTGTGTAGAGTTTTGAGGAATTAAAATGAATTAAATCCATTTTGGAATAAGGCTGTAACTTATTTTGCTTTTTTGTAAAAAAAAAAAAAAAAAAAAGCTGAAAAAGTGCTATGAATTCTTTTCAATGCATTGTAAGCCTCCTAGCCAATAATGTGGTGCAAGTAACAATGTTCTGTGTTGTTGAGTGCAAATTTGGCCAGAAAGGAATTCCAAACAGTACTGTTAGGAGGGTTTGGAGTGGCTGATATGTTAAAGTTTTTTTTTCCAAAGTATGAAATATCACCCAGATCATTTTAATGTGAGTTTAAATCACATTAATTTTATGTATAGTATGTGAGCCAACAATATTTCTGAAACATTTCCAGTGCTGATCTTTCCTTTATTTTCTCTCTCTGATCATTAGATTATCATCGCAGTGAGTCAGCTTATCGCTGATGTGGCGCTAACCGGCAGCTCGCGTTTCCAGGAGTCACTCTCCATCATCAACAACTTCGCCAACAGTGATAAAATTATGAAGGCAAGCAGTCCACAACAATCAGTTTCTCTATTATTAATTCCTCCCTCCGTAAATATTTTAATAACATGAAACCTTCTCCACAGACCACAACATTTCCATCAGAAGTGAAGGGCCTGACCATGCGGATACGTACAGTGCTGATGGCCACAGCTCAGATGCGCGAGCATGAAAAAGACCCAGAAATGCTGCTCGACCTGCAGTACAGTCTCGCCCGATCCTATGCCAGCACTCCAGAGCTCAGACGGACCTGGCTTGACAGCATGGCACGAGCGCACAGCAAGAACGGGGACTTTTCTGAGGTATGCATCACGTGATGCCAATGTTGTTTTATTGTTAGTACAGGTGCATTAGAATAGAAAGCATCATCCACGTTCATGTGAAACTTGTTTTGGTGTCAACTCGTTCTAAATTAGTATGAGATGTCAATCATGCTGCCTCGGGCTAATTCTAAGTCACACCCTGAAGCTGTGCGAGTACATTATATATATCGAATGTCGCTCTTCACGCTGGGTGAAGATCATATCATCTGCTCGATGGTGAAAATTTCAGAGGAAACATCCTCAATGTTTGTTTTCAGATGTTTATCATGATGCAATTCATTGTTTTGTTCGGTCTTCACTTTATTGGTTATAAATTTGCATCAATTCGACAAAACCGTGTATATTTTCGGTGCGGAAATTTGCATGAATTTGAGAGAAAAAATATGTAAATTCTCCCATATATAGGTACAGGTCATTTTGATCCAAAATTGCCACTGCTGTTGCGTGGTTTAAGTAATTTTATGATATTTCGAGTGTACATTTATGAAAATATGATTGATTAAATATGTTAAATATTGCTGTTAAATATTCCAGTAAACACAGACTGTATGCGACAAAGAGTTTGAGTGTCTAAGAATTAGGGTTGGGTATCATTTGGGGGCATTTTGATATCAGTGCTAAATCAATACTTTTAAAACAGTACCGGTGCCAAAAAGGTGCATGAACTGATACATTTGAGCCATAAAATTATGGTGGATGACTCTAGAAATTATATATATATATATATATATATATATATATATTTATATATATATATTTATATATATATATATATATATATATATATATATATATATATATATATATATATATATATATATATATATATATATATATATTTAAGATTTGCGTTATGAAATTACATTAGCTTACTACTAACCTGTGGAAAGGCTGTCATCAAAATACTGAACTTGTTTTTTTGTTTTGTTTTTTCTCTCTCTAGGGTTGGGGCTTGTGACTATGTTTACATGTTTATCAATTTTCTAATGATTTACCCTAATCTGAATAAGATAATTAATTATAATTAAGGTGTTTATATGAGTTGCTTTTTTAATGTTCCTTTCATGATCCCGTCGTAATAAATCGATTAACGTCATTGTGTCACCAGGCTATCCATGTTTCCTCCAGAGTGTCATGTAATTTTGGGCGTTCCTTTTATTCAGGAACATTTTATTCAGACGCGGGTGTCTGTGGTCTTTTAAGGTAATCAAAAATCAGTTTACATCGTAGTCTAGAGACTTAATCGGAGTATTGTCTTAATCATAATAAAATCGAAGCATTGGTATCCATGTACAGTAGGTACTCATTAAAAGTGCCAGATAATGTCGCAAACGTTTAGAGACATTTAGAGTGCATTCTTTTGCCCTTAAGTCGATTCCATGAGGCCTCAAATGTTTCATTAAGTTTGACGTGTTTCCCCCTTATGCTGTGTTCACACCTAACATGGAATGCGCATCAAGCGTGAGTAATTTACATGTTAAGTCAATGCAAACATGCAAATAAACAACATGCGGCATGATACGCGCAGTGCAAATGATGTGAATAGCATGATACGTGCGAATGGCGCGACGCAAATTGAGTGTTTTTGCCAGTATGACGTGCTTAACGCGTGTTTCGCGCAAATCACTCAAGTTCAAAAGTCTGAACTTGAAACGGACATTCGCGCTGCGTCAATCAATCAGGAGCTTGTTCTTGGTGTCCCGGGGTAATCCTCCTGCCGACGCCAACAATAGTTCATCAAACTGGCCTCGGCTCAATCTGAAGCACCGCTGAAAGCCTCCATCATCCAGGTTAAGTTTCTGGAGGAGTTTATGAGCTCTCAGAGCTGGATGCACCTCTGAAAGGATCTAGTGGACTCAGACAAGGCCCTAAATGTATCAACGCTGTTTTTCAGCCTTCATAAAGCACATAAACACTGTTATTTTCTTCATAAAATCCATGTTAGCCATTTAGCAACGAAGCTACAGTCACCGGGCAGACAGAAGCCCTGCCCATCACACAAATCCACGTCTGTTCTGAAGTTAATTTGACGCGCAAATGAAGCAGGGTTTGACGCGCGAATGAAGCGAGTAAACTCAAATGTTCACGCATCTGCTTCACATTGCTGTGTCAGAATCATTGCTTGTAAAATATGCCTTAGATTGCTTAGTTTAAGCAAATTTGATGAACGCGATCATACTCCCTGTACTGCGTTCGTTGCGTGTGTCCGTTCCCTAAGCAACAAGAACAAACGCCTGACATCACCTGTCCGTATTCCTCAAAGTTGTTTAGAATGAAATGTTTAGAGATGGTGTGACAACGCGTACCTATGTGTGCCTTTGATGCACCTCTTGATGCTTCTTACGTCCTTGTCGTAGCACCAGTGGCACTGAAATTAGGCATGGAAATTCATATGCTCTTTCGGTCCGGTACATACCGGTTACAAAGGTACCGGTGCTATAATGGCTCCAGGTTTAGGTACCCAACCCTTCTAAGAATTTGAGGATTGTGACAACACCTCATAGTAATGTTTTTATCATAATTACTCTAGGTCTTCTATTTTTCAATCTAAAATGGGAACAGCTTCTGTAGTGAACATTATTAAGTTGTCAAAACCTTTTCTTTTTTTATAGGTGTGTCCACTTAACTTGTCAGTTGGTTTCAAAACAGCAGCTGGCATTTGGGACACTAATTTTTTTCTGATCCAGTCCAGTTAATCTACATCAAAACAGTTGCCAGCAGCTATTGATTTAAGTTGATCACACAAGTAAAATAAAGTTCATTTTTTGCACATTTAAACATAAATTCAGCCTCACTTTGTGTCAGTCACTTTGACCTGTTACCTGTGAAACTTTTGTCTGTTTTTGGTGTCAGTGTTTATATCTTATTGATAGCTGTTTTGTCACTAAAGCACACTGAAGTCCGACATGTTTATGTGCATTCGTATTCATATGCAAAAAATTTGTAACGTAAGCAAACCTTGCACACTGAGACCAATGCGTATTAATCCATTACAAAAAAAGCTAAAACATTTCGGAGTCAGTTCAAGCAGTGCTAATTTATTCTCCTTTCTTTTAGAAAACTTTTACACAATTCCTCATGATAATAACAGAACAACATATCACTTTACATGATGCATTATACTCGATCAATTTGGACCAAAAGCCAACAAATGTATATATTTCATTATTAATGTCATTGTCTCCATAATAAATATACTTTTAACAATGTTAAACTTATCATTAAAAAAAGAAAATAAATATTATGTTGGAAAAAAAGTGCACCCAACTAGAGTTTGACTTTATTTTGACACATTAAAAAATGTTGTTAAGAAATATATGTATTTTTTTGTGGCAACCAAATGCCATTACAAATAATCATTAGTGTTTATAATGTACCTGTCTAAGTATTTAAATTAAATTTGTAATGGTAGTAAACGGGTCTTAAATTTGACTTGATTAAACCTGCAGAAACCCAGAAAATGCCAATTTTGTTGAATGTGTGCATGCTCAATGACTGATTTATGCTTTTGTATGAGTTCTTTCATCATAAACAACCAAGTAGAGATACACTGAGTCATTTGAGTTTGAGATTTATTTCACAGCTTACATTTCATCTTTTACAGTAGCAGGCTGTTTTATTCAAAGTAATTTACAAAGCTCGAGTTTTAACAAACCTTTTAATTCAACAGTATATTAAAGTTTAAAGCAAAGGATACTCAACAGGCAATGCTTAATTTTTGTGGCCTGCATCATACTGAAGATTAATGAATCGTTAAATGATTAATTGCTCTCAAAAGTAGCACAAATATTAGGCTTTGTGCTTTCATTGCAGATGATACTTCTACAGTAACACTTTGCATTGTGTAAACGGCAGATGGTTCGCTTATAGCAGAAAGAAAAACAAACATATTAAAATTGCAAAGTGCTCCAGTAACAATGGATAGAGCTGTCATCACGTAAACAAGTTCACAGAGTTTGCTCTGTTGCGAAATTTTATTATAATGAAAGCTGGCTGAGCTCCACAGTAAGCCTCTTACTATCATTGGGAAGGAGATGAAGAACCCAACATATTTAGGGATCAAATTAAACAAATCAAAACATTAGTAGCAGCCTGATCAATTATTAAATATCACAATTACATAGTCATTTAGCATAATGTTTTGTCTTTTTACAGTTGAGGAGGCATTCAATTAATGTATTTCAAGTAATTCAACAAGAAGAGGCAATACACATAAGAGCTACAAATTATACAAAGGAACAGTTTGTGCACAGAGAATTGAGTGCTAGAGTTAGGAGGAAGAGTTTTTTTTTTTTTTTTACACGAGTGAGAAGGGTTTCTACAGGTGGTTTGTCAAGCCCATTCATCTGTAATATTCTATGTTATCACCTGATATAAATATTAAAACATATTATTAGCATAAATATTTTCCACTTTTTATTTATTGGTATTTGACAAGACCAATATTAGTACACAGAAGGAAATGTTACACACTGTCTTAGTTTAAAGCTCATACCCACGAAAACATAGGGAGAAAAGGCAAATTCCACACAGAAATGCCAACTGACCCACCCGGGACTCGAACCAGCGACCTTCTTGCTGTGAGGCAATTGTGCTAACCATTGAGCAACCATTTTGCCTTAATTTATACATATTTAACCTATTTAACATAAAACTTCTGAGTGTCTGATGTTGTTGCACTCACAGACTCTGTTCTTTCATTTTCAACACATTTGCTAGGTTAGTTATTTTATTTTTAAGATCTGAGGTAAATCATTTGCTGCTGCTTTCAGTAGTATAGCAATAAATGTCATGTAAAATGGTGTTCAAACTTACATAATCTGTACCCGAGTTGATAATTGTCATGAGCCCGAAACTGAAGACGAGACATCACTTTTAAGGAACTGTTTCATATGGATTTATTAATCATTCTAACTTTTCAATAAACTCATGCTGTCATAGTTTATTAAAGACACAAACCCCTCACTGCACAACAGCTGCACCTTCAGCAAACCTCCTAATACCTGCAGCAAGAGGACTTTATGATTATTTATGAGCGTCAAAAGTGGCTGATCTGTCCAGCGAAATATTTGACTGCATGTCACTGCCTTCCAAACGACTAAAACAATATAACTAAAGCAATGACACTGAGCTGAACGAGAGCACTGCTCTTCTGTTAAACTGAACAGTGCATTGTCGATGACTTAAGCATGCTCAGGCTCGGACACAATGTGAGTGCAGGCCATCGGGGGAGAAGGGAGGGGGGACAATCATGCTTCAGCACAGTTCAAGGCAACTGTACCTAGCGAGAGTACGCCCTTAGTCTCTTATTTATGAGGGCTCACCACAGCAGAATGAATCACCAACTATTCTGGTATATGTTTGATGCAGCGGATGCCCTTTCAGCCGCAACCCAGTACTGGGAAACACCCAAACACTCCCTTATTTTCACACACAGTCTGAACATGCAAACTTCTTCACAGAAATGCTAACTGGCCCAGCCGGAACTTGAACCAGTGACCTTGCAGTGAGGTGACAGTGCTAACCATTGAGCTGTGCTGCTGAACTGCAAATATTTGGCAGTTTCAATAATATCAGCAAAAAAAAAAAAAACATTCTACACCAGCTTAAAATTCTCAGCAGTTCTTTTGCAGAAATATAACCATAGTTGCTTTCTCAAAAAAAAAAAAAAAATGAAGTTAACTCAATTGTTTTTGTCAATTTAAGTGGATTGAACAATTGAAAAAAATTAAAAAAATTAAGTTATCCCAAAAAAACCTTAATTGTTGTAATATTTCAACTCATTTTAAAAAGTAGTTTAAACAAGCAGCAAAACATTTTTTGAATATATTACAGGGTTATAAAAAAATGGAGTACAGAAGACATTTCATATAAATATTACATTTTGACAGAACAGTAAACCTGATCCCAACCTGATTTCCTGACAAAAGTTTACAAAGCTCATAATCATCTCCCACAAAATAATTTATGCCATCAAAAAAACAGCACCACTCCCAAAACATCAACAAGTCTAAATTACTTTTATCAACATCTGTGTCTCAATTAATGAATATATTAGCATAATAATTAGCTTATTAGCATAATTTAACAATATATTGCTGTAGAAGTATACACACAAATACACCATCTGATTATCAACCAAAAATACGTTTACCTTAAAAAACTGTTATGCACGTAACTGATTTATGGTGCCATCTGGAAAGCACCTCCTAGGTTTAACGTTCTGGTTATCATTCAAACAATCATTTAAGCACCTGTCACTCCCTTTTGTCTGAAAGAGCGCATGTCAAACCTTAATCTTTTAACTGTAGTTAGAGACTTCTGCTGGACTTTTATTATTTACTTGGTCATGAATTATTTAACAGTTTGGCAGTCGCGTGTATTCATATGCTCTTCTGATATCTTTAGGTTTGCAGCAATGTTTGCTTCTTCATATAAATACATTCCCCCCATTATGACCAAAAACAGGAATTGAACTGGAGGAAAGGTCACATCTTGGCCAGTGCTCTCAAGTGTTCCTATTTTAGTCACATGCAGGAAATATACCCATGTATGGGAAAGATCATGCAAGGACATTGCCTTCTAAAACATAAAAATGGCATGCAAACATATTTTTACCAGTTTTGTACTAAATCCACTTGAATATTAAACAAGTTACACACAAAAAAGGCAGTTATTATTATCAGTAGACTCTAGTAAAAATCAGTCAATGCCTGAGATTTGTGTTCTTGATCCTGTAAGCCTCTTATGTTTTTCTTTTTCTTCTATTTCCGCAGGCTGCCATGTGTAATGTTCATGTTGCCGCTTTAATGGCAGAGTATTTGCACAGGAAAAGTAAGTTTGCAAAGATTCTTTACAGTCAACAGTAGTTTCATGCTCACTTGTTTGGGTCAAATAAATTCTTCCTTAAACATCGATTTTTACACTGATTGCTAATCTAAAATCACAATGAATGTCTGAAGTCGGATTAAAATGCTGTAATTAATTTTAAAAAATTGTCAAAAACAGCAACAACCAGGGTTGGGCATGTTAGTTAAACTCAACTACCAGTCCATGGATCGGTTGGTACCGGGCCACACAAGAAATCATGAATTATTTCAGCTTTATTTATGATCCGAGTGCGAATAATCTTTTATTTTGAAAAAACTTTTATTTTGATAAATGACCATATTCTCTCAGTTACATTTCGGTCACTTGAGTGCCCAAATTCCACCTACAAGCAGCAAAATGAGTAAAAAACAGACGTCTTTAGAAAGTTTCTTTGCCAAGCAGAAAAGGCCCTGTTAAGGACCTGCAAACTGCCAAGAAATCCATTCGCAACCCATTTGTCAACAAATTAGGTGAATCCACCATGTCTCTGCAAAAAGATGATCAACTGCTGGAGATCACAAATGATGGCGGCATTTTAGGGGCGCCTTCCAGATGCACCCAGTTGAATGAATGCCATGATCACACTGCATGTCATGACTTTCATAGCATGTCATCCTCTGAGAATACGTTTGATCGTCGCCTTGCAACCTATGAAACCCTCCAACTCCCTGGTCCAATGTAAAAATGTCAAGCGTTGACTGGTCCGCAGTGATAAAATGTTTGGGGAGCTCTGACTAAAATTAATAAGTTACTAGCTACTTCAAAGAAATAACAACGCTCACACTTTATTTTGATGGTCCGTTTGTTGATTTTAAGTTACATTGCAACTAATTCTCTTTAGATTATAAGTAGACGGTTAGGTTAGGGTTGGGGTGAATGTAAGTTGACGTTGTACCTGCAAAGTTTCTTATAGGCAGTTAAATGTCTGTTGAAGGAACAATATCAACAGATAGTAAGCAGACAGTCTACTAATACTCAAATAGACCATAAAAATAAAGTATTACCCTTTACAAATGCTGTATATGTTAAAAACAAAAAACTTGACCCCCGATATTTCATACTGCATGTTGAATTTAATAGACAGTAATACATTGTTGTTATTATTATTATTATTGTATTGTATTATATTGTATAATTGTATTATATTGTATATATTGTATACTATTCTATACTATATTAATGTTGCTGTGGGACAATGTAAGAGTCACCTATCAAATTTTATATTATATTTTATATATATATTTATATATTTATTTATTTATTTATGTTTTTATGTAGCCTAAGCAACAAATAAAGTGCAAGTAAAGTATACTTGGCCCCCACTCACCCAATTGGATTGGAAAAAACGGATTGCAAATCTTTTTAAATAATTCACCCTTCCTCTCAAAGAACGTGTGAACTTCTCCAATGAAAATAAATAATTTCTATAGTGGAATAATATATAAAAATAAAACACAATAGATGGCTTAACACTTTTAATATTTATTGCACAAACAATACTTGGTCAACAAATAAGTCTAATAAATATAAATATTACAGTATTATTTTTATATTATAAAAAAATAACATTGACATCTTTCCATGGTTGAAACTCTGATTTGGAGATTACACAAGATACTGTAAGTTAACAATTCTTCTAGTGTCCAATCATGTGTTAATCTTGGTATAATTTAAGTCAATCACTTTCGCGCTCACCATGATTACTGTAGATTTTATTGTTAGTAATGCCGTTATAACGGGGTAAAGAGTCATTTGTTCTGTTTGTCATTTCTGAAAAAAATTATTCTATTAGTAACGCCATTTATTTATAACATTATTTATTTATAATATTATTCCCATCACTGGCAGCAACAACAATAAATACTTGTGGCTTGTGTAATTCCCCTCATTTCTACATGCAAATCAGTCTGCTGCCCAGGACAAATGCTTTACTGTCGTAGTCTGAATTAGTGGTTTACAATGCAAATGGAAATGCAAAGTCTTGAACAATGCGTTTCGAGTACTGGAGCTGTTGTAGATAACATTATAGGTCTTTTTTTTTTAATTGAATTGGTTTTTGGATTATTTTTTGCCAGTTTAAAAAATATAACCATTAGCAATACAGTTTTGTGGCAGACTAAACTTGTGCCAATGCAAAGTTAAAAAGGAAGTTGCAGGTTCTAAAATTTGCATGCCTAGAAACCAGTAAAATAACAATGTTGAAATGCATTTGTGCAGTTTGTAATTGGATTTATAAAGACAGAAAGTAGGAAAAGATAGAAATTTCAGAGTTAGTTGAAGTATTAACGTGGACACTTTACATACAAATTAAACCACTTTCATAAATGTACTTTCATGTTTAAAGAGACCCTATTATACATGAAATAGCATAATTTTTTGGTTGAAATGGTCTCCAACAACAGTCTAATATGCATGCAATGTGGACTCACAGTTTCACTTTTAGGTAGAGAAAATAGCAGTCACTAACTTTTCCTTACACTTCCAGCTGAGCACAGTGTTGATTCAACCGACATCTGCTACAGTGTTTGTCTAGCCTCTTTTTCTCTTTTCTACTGTACTAGTGGGTGAGACCGCAGGTTTAAATTTTCCCGGGTTTGTGCACACAACAACTGGGTGGGGCTTGAGTTTTGTATCCACGTCACGCCGAAACAGCTAAAGACTCGTTATTAAGAAGATTAATTTGAAGTACTACAATTTGACTCTTTTATAATTTAATCAATAGTTTTAAACACTGTCCTCTTTCAGATTTAAGACTTAGCTTAATATTTAACTTCACTTAGAGCTGTGTTACACACTACATGGAAGGTCATTCTCAAAAACCCATAATAGGGGCTCTTTAATCTCTCACCCAAATATAACGAGTTTGCTAATTTGGTTTATGGCACGTTCACAACATGAATAATAATGAGAAATATGCAGATTTAAAAAATTATTTTAATGCTCAGTTCAAATCAGATGTGAAGCATAATGTCACTGGCTCTAGATTACCCGCGGAATATTTTTTGCCTCATGCATGTTTTCTGTTTAATTAAATTGTTTGAATTATGAAAGACACGGTTGAGGTGAATTCTGCAACCTTGTGATGAAAACCTGATTAACAAGAAAACCATTGACAGCCAATAAGAATCAATTGCGCTTTTATCAGACAGAAGTTCATTATTGCTCAGTTCACATCAGATGTGAAGCATAATGTCACTAGCTCTAGATTACCCGTAGGATGTTTTTCGCCTCGTGCGCATTTTTTGCTCAAGTAGAATTGTTTGAATTTGCACAAAAGACATGGTCAAGGGGAATTCTGCAACTTTACGATGAACACCTGATTAACAATAAAACCATTGACAGCCAAAAAGAATCCATTGCACTTTAAAGAGGGTAAACATTTAAAGTACCAGACGTCAAAGCTCCTGCTCCTGCCTATAGATGTAATTTACAGATCAAAACTGTTGACTTGATGTGGATACCAATTTAGTTATCAGTATAGTTATTGTTTTTGTTTCAAACAACTGGCTAATATAGTGCCATGCTTTTATATCTACAGTATAGTTAAACAATGTATCTCAATGTTTCAGAGCTATTCCCCAGTGGACTGGCAGCTTTTAAGAGAACCACTCAGAACATTGATGAGGAAGGAGCCATGAAAGAAGACATCGGCATGCAAGATGTGTACTACACTGAGGTAAAACACACTAGCTTTCTTTATCAATGCTAAAAAAAAAAAAACGTTTTATCAGCAGTGATTATTGAAGCCTCTCAGAAATGTTGGTTTAAAAGTGGCATTTTGCATGACAGGACGTCCTGGTGGAGCAATTGGAGGTGTGTGTGGAGAGTCTGTGGAAAGCTGAGAGGTTTGAGCTCATAACACACATCGCCAGACTCATCATTCCGGTTTATGAAAAGCGACACGAGTTTGAGGTAAGAGAGAATGAAGGGGTGGCGCAATCATGCTGTGCTGCTTCAAATAAATGTGCTAATATCCTGGAAGTTCCACTTGCCCAATTCTTTGATTTCTTTCTCAATGCTGTGACTCTGAGACTCTGCGGCCCCTGTGGCAGACATCAGACAGAAGCTCATTACTTAGGCCTGGATTAACAATGACCAGACAAGAAGCGAGTCGGTTTGTTTGTATGAACAATGAGGGATTTTTCTCAGCCATTATAAACCGAGCTTTCATCTGTTTCACTTTTACTCTCAGTTAAATGTGGAGAAGGTATAAAGAAGTATGAAAAAACATGTTGAATGAAAATAACGAGCAATATCTAAAAAGCAAAAAGTCTGATACTGTTATTTGGACATCAGGGTGGTAGGGTTTTGTGGTTTTATAGAACATACAGTAACTAAACTTTTTCAGTGTACTATTTATTTCCTGCTCTGAAAGCCCTTAGATGAATTCATTTATATGACTACTATGTTATTGAGCTAGATTCTAGTTGCCAGCATACTTTCTCCTCACAGATAGTCATGTCATTTGTAAAGTGAATCCTTCATCGGTGGTAACTGTTTAGAAAGCCACTCACACACAGTCTTTCCCATGGAAACTTTCCCTTAGTGCCAGTGCTACCATGAGAAGTCTGACCCTTCCATAAACCTTTTGTGTGTTTAAAACGAGCACAACAGATCCTTCAGAAATCATTTTAATATAATGATTTGCACCTCCCATATAGTCAAGCACAACATTATTCATACCTTTGACAAAATCTGACTTAAAAATACTTTTATTCAACCAGTAAGCCTGTAAATGATGAGTAAGTGAAGCCACCCAAAAGATAGTTAGACAATGTACAAGAGGCATCATTGTGGAAAAAATATATACGTTACGACAAAAACTTTAATCCAGAGTTTGCCAGTTTGGGCTTGTTTACATAAACTCTTTATTAGGTACACCTGTCCAATTGCTTGTTTGATGAAATTTCAAATCAGCCAATCACATAGCAGCAACTCAGTGCATTTAGACATGGGCTGTTTCTCAATATGCTTTCTTCAGCGATTTTTCCTCCTTGTGTTCTCTTGTGACGTCGTCATTATCAACTGCCAAAGGTTAGGTCCAATACTCAAGACCGCAACAGAGGACCCATGAAAGTTCCCAGATGTGTTCTTGATATCGAGGACGCATGGATGCAGACTTGAGCACTGAACTCACTCTAGAAGTCCCGGAAGTCATTGCGAATGGAGGTGGAAAGCGCAGCCTTTTACAAAGATTTATTATTAAAGTTCAGAAATATATTACTTATTTATTTGAGGAGTTTCCCTAAATTATACGATATATATAAACGTTACCATGAAAATCTTAAAGTAATAAATACATTAAAGGTTTATTTGCTGAAATTCGTATTAAAATCTGTTTTGTTTGTGATGTGCAACGTATATTTGTAAAGTCTGCATGCATAGTTTACATTTTGAAAAGGGAAAAACACCAAATTGTTGTATGAATGCTGTAATGTTTAAATCTTCTTCCATTAAAGACACGTGAAGGTCATGTGACCATCAGGAAGAACGCAGCATCTCATTTCTCACAGGACGCGTTCTCTGTTCTCAAAGTCTCCCAAGTTCGTTCTTCCAAGGTGACCTGGCAAGACTGCTATTTACAAGAACAAAAGTTCATTCTCTGTATTCTTTGAATTGAGAAACAGCCATGGTCAAGAAGATGTGCTGCAGTTTGAGCATCAGAATTGGGAAGAAAGGTGATTTAAGTGACTTTAAAAGTGGCATGGTTGTTGGTCCCGGATGGGTTGGTCTGAGTATTTCAGAAACTGCTGCTCTTCTGGGATTTTCACGTAGTTAACGACAGTTCTGTGGGTACAAATGCCTTGTTGATGCCAGAGGTCAGAGGAGAATGGCCAGACTGGTTTGAGCTGATAGAAAGGTAACAGTAACTCAAATAACCACATGTTAGAACCGAGGTATCCAGAAGAGCATCTCTAAACGCACAACACGTCCGACCTTGAGGTGGATGGTCTACAACAGCAGAAGACTGCACCGGGTGCCCCACCTGTCAGCTAAGAACAGGAAACTGAGACTACAGTTCGCACAGGCTCAGCAAAACTGGGCAACAGAAGATTCAAGAAGTTTAAAAATTCTCGATTTCTGTTGCGACATTTGGAGTTTGGCATTAACAACATGAAAGCATGGATCTATTCTGCCTTGTATCAATGGTTTAGGCTGGTGGTGGTGTAATGGTGTAAGGGAATTTTTTTTTACACTCTTTGGGCCTATTAGTACCAATTGAGCATCGTGTCAACGCTACAGCCTACCTAATAAAGAAATAGACCATGTCTATTTCTTTATGACCACAGTGTACCCATCTTCTGATGGCTACTTCCAGCAGGATAACACACCATGTCATAAAGCACGAAACTTCTCAGACTGGTTTCTTGAACATGACAATGAGTCACTGTACTCAAATGGCTTCCACAATCACCAGATCTCATTCCAATAGAGCGCCTTTGAGATGTGGTGGAACGAGAGATTTGCATCATTCATGAGGAGCTGACAAATCTGCAACAACTATCATTTCAATACGGATCAAAATCTCTAAAGAATATTTCCAGTACCTTGTTGAATCTATGCCACAAAGGAAAAAGTCAGTTCTGAAGGCAAAATGGGGTCCAACCCAGTACTAGTAAGGTGTACCTAATAAATTGGCCCATGGGTGTATTTCTGTGTTGAAATAGAGCAATCAGACTCATTCTCTTCATATTCCTCTATCATGCAAGCTGTAAAATCTAATTTCCAAACCAAAGACTGCAGGATTTTATGAAAGCAAATATAAATGTATGTGTTTTTATTTATACTGTTGCTGTGGACATGTAAACATTTAACACCTAATGTCATTATTTAATCTGCTGTGAGTTTAAGTATTTAATTAGATCATTTATTTTTCCATTAGATTTTTCCATATTCGTTTGTGACACCCATTAATTATGAATAGTGATGTAATCGTGATCATCATGTTGACAATTTGTTGTGACACTTTCTCCTAGTCGGGGTTATTATGATATAACATAATAATTAGCAAATACTGAAACCAGTTTTTCTTTGTTCTGTCTCCTTGTGCAAATAGACTTTTAACACCTCACTGCTAGTCATTAATCAAACTGCTTTTAATGATTTAATTTATTTGAAGCGTTTATACAGTTCAGTTCCATTTCTTCCATTAGATTTTTCCATGTTTTTTTTTATAGATGATGACACTTATAAATTATGCATATTGTTCTCTATTTGAACAACAGTTTGTTTTGATGCTTCTTTCATGTCGTTGTCTGTACATGTAGATGTTTGTTTAGATGGCTCCACAGTCTAACATGGGATGTGCAGTATTTGAGGAACACGCATGCTAATGATGCTTTTAGCATAAGCCAATTTACTTTACACTGATAAAAAGACTCAGCTCAGAAAAAAACTGTATGCAAGAAACTTTTACATATGTACGATTGCTAGCAAACACATAAGCATTTTATATGAGTGTACATACTTCAAAGCTGACATACAGTAGCAGTCGAAGACTATTGGTTGTCAATTCCTCTCAGTTCCTCTTGAAGTCCAATGTTTCCTGAGGTCAAAAAAGAAACATTTTACTGGATTTTACTTGGGTATTTTCGCTGCAACATTCAAGAGTTGAAGCATAGGTGTCATAAGTTTTGGGAAAAGTCACAAAATCAGTCATTTTAGGATGCATTTCAGTGCTTCCCACACATGGACTTCTCTTGCTGTTCAGCTATTTTAATGGCTGCCCAAGTACATTTACTGTAGTAACACTTTTTTTTTACTATTATTATCATCCTTTACGCGTTTATTTTATTGTATCCACCCAATATAACTAAACATCTTTGATCATCGATTAAATAGTGTATAATCACTTGTTTATCCGTATTGTTCAGTGTGCGCGTGACCTGTCAACACTTGACAGTCTCACATGCTTTACAGACCCACATGGGCTAGCCTTTTTGGGACTTAAAAAAATGGTCTGGCTAGGGCTTCTAAATCTCCTAACATGTCCGGGATTCAGCTTTTGTTTTTGCTGTTTAAAGCTGTCGTTAATAATATGTGTTTTTTTGCATCAGCTTTTTACTTAAGCCTTCGCTTGGCTTCAGCTGACAATGCGCACAGTCATAAGAGCGAGAGAAACATTTAATAATGCATTCTTTAATGTAAACGATTCAGAAAAACTATATGTTTGGAGAGGATAAAATGGCTGGTCTAAACTGGCTTAGGGAGAAAAGCAGATTTTACCAGTCAGTGGGGACACATAACTTCTGAACAGGCCCGGATTGGCTAATCGGGAGGATCAGGAGAATTCCCGGTGGGCCTGTTTATTTTTTGGCCATGAGGGCCGGTGTCCCTAGCTCCAGACTCTGTTGCTTTCAGCTGTTGCACTTTTTTCATTTATTTATTTATTTGACCACAGCCTTACCATTTTTAATTAGTATTTTCTCGCAGCCCTGTGAGCACAATGCAGCCTGCAGGTTTATGATGATGTAACTTAGATGATACACTCCCGTAAGAAAAGCCGTTGTGGTCCAGTGGACACCACGATGCGTGCTCTGGTTCAATCCTTACCTGAGTAATTTTTTTATTTATTTATGTATTTCATTTTTATTGTTAAGACATATAATACTGTTAGGGTTGTTGAACATTTGAAGTTCTAAAGCAGCTGTTTTCTTAAAAAAGACGTGATAGTGCCATTAGAAACGGATTTGGAAATGATCTTATTTTAATATAGTCAGCCGTGAACTGAGGTAGGCCGGTCTGAGGCTTGAAACTCCAGGGCTGAAAAAGAGTCCCAATCCAGCCCTGCTCCTGAATAGCATATAAAAGAAATGGTGGATTCCTGAATCTGCTGTTAATTTGCTCACTTTTTTTTATTTGCTTAGGCCATTCAACTGTGTGCTTTAATGATTTAAAAAAATACATTTATACAAACAAAATTCATATTGTGGCTTCTATGACTTGAGAAATTGAGGTGTTAAAAAAATGAATCCATCGGTCTGTCTAAGAAACTGAACATTATTTACAACATTGAGCAATTCCAGAGTTGTGACATTTAATTGATGTGACATTTGCAGTAAAAGCTTAAAACATAAATACACAGAGAATTTATGTTAACAGTGTATTGGAACATCTTTTTGTACTTTATTTGATAGTGAATGATATTGAATGATATATTGATAGTACTTAGTTTGATAGTGATAATGCTGTGTTTTTTTCCAGCCTGATCTCACAAGGAAACGTAGCTATTTTACATTTTGTCAGTTTAGTGGCGTATTCGTTCAGTCATACAAAAATGTACAATTTAAAAAGAGGCGTGGCACCCAACCCCACCCCTAAACCCAACCATCACTGGATGATAAGCAAATCATACTAAATTATACGACTGAGATCAAATTAATTCATACACATTAGCCACTAAATAAAAACATCATGAATTGCAGTGAGATCGTGCTGATTTTTCCAAAACCAACAACCATTTAGAGATGATATTTTTTACTTGAGGGAGTTAAAACATGCATTACGGATGTGACCAAAAATGTATGCAAGTTTACAACATACCTTGTAAAGATTATGTGAATTAAACAGCACAACCCAATAAAAATAATGCTAACCAAAAGGAAAAGACTTGGCTCTCTATAGAATATTATTTATCTTATTTTATTTGAAGTGTTTTGCATTAATGAGGAAAACGCTTCGATATGGATGTGACATCTATCTATAACCAGATGTGAAATTGCCACTTGTGTGACTTTTGTAAGTCAATTAAATTAGTTTAAAAACCTTGACAGACATTTGAGTATTTTTACAGCTCTGTAAAATAAAAGCCTACTTAAACAACTTAGAAAGTTTTTTTTTTTTTTTTTTTTAAGCAAAAGCAATTGCTATTTTGACTTAAATGTACAACTTCTGCTTTTTGTAAAATGTCAGAGATGTTGTTTTTTTAGGAAATGATGTCGTAAATAATGTTTTTTAAAAAAGGATTGTGGTATAGCAGCTCCAACATCTCACACACTCTTTCTGTCTCGGTCCTGTAGAAACTGAGGCGATTGTACGACACACTGCAGCGAGCTTATGCAAAGATATTGGAGGTGATGCAGTCGGGTCGACGGCTGCTCGGAACGTATTTTAGAGTCGCCTTTTTCGGACAGGTGAGTTGAAGCAATAAACAAACCACCTACAGTACAGTACAGTACAGTACTCAACCTATTGTATGTTAATGCTTGCATCATTTTGGCTTGCGCTCTGCTACCACTTCACAAAATCACTTCTCTCTGTGTGTAGACATTGTGCATTTCATAAACAGCTGATATTTTAATGCGTCTAGACATTGTTCATAAATCAATGGCTCAATTATGGGTTATCAGCACATTTTAACTAAAATGTACGCTTTTTCTTTTACGATTACCAATGTTGCATTTATGTGATCAAAAATATAGTGGAAAATGTGGAACATTAAAGTTTGAAATTGCTGTTTTTTTGCACTGTATTTGACAGCACATAATATTTTACTAGTTATATTGCAAGATAATAGTGTTCAGCCTAAAAGGCTTAACTAGGATAAATAAACTAATTAGTCAAGTCATTGGACAACAGTGGTTTGTTTTGTAGCCAGGCTAAAAATATTGACTCTATTTTTTTATTTGAGTTGTACATTCTCTCTGACCTCTGGCATCAACAAGGCATTTGCGCCCACAGAACTGCCACTCACTGGATATTTTCTCTTTTTCTGACAATTCTCTGTAAACTCTAGAGATGGCTGTGCATTAAAATCCCAGTAGATTAGCAGTTTCTGAAATACTCAGACCAGCCTGTCTGGTACCAACAATAATGCCACATTTAAAGTCACTTAAATCACCTTTCTTCCCCATTCTGATGCTCTGTTTGAACTGCCGCAGATTGACTTGACCCTGTCTACTGCCATGTTGACATGTTAATTGCTGCCATGTGATTGGCTAATTAGAAATTTGCGTTAACAAGCAGTTGGACAGGTGTACCTAATAAACTGTCCGGTGAGTATACATCAGTGTCACACTATCTCTTTAAATGCTTCGGAAGCATTTCTTGTTATTTATGTTCTGAATAGGCACAACAATCAATATAATTGATTGCAATATTTATACGTGACCTCAATAATTGTTGCCTTTGCAACATATTTAGATTCTCAAATAATGGTAAAACCATTTTGGGAGAACATTTACATTTTACCTCACCGATGTCAAAGTTAAAAATTGGACAGTTACTTAATATTACTTTTAATAGGTTAAATAATAGGACATTTTGATTATTTTTTACATCAAATTACAGAATCTTAATGACATTAAGAATAAAAAAGCCTTGGTCATATGAAACTGTTTGTGGCTTTTTGCTTCATATTGTTGTATAATTATTCTATAATCAGTGGCATAAAATGATCTCAAATCTAATTGCTTAGCGCTTATCCCAACTATTTCTGCGACAATATATTGCACAACAAAAATAATTTATTGTAACAGGCCTGGTTCAGAATGCTTTTATCTTTGTAAAAACAGTAAGTTCTGAAGAATGGTATTTATTTGTAAAAGAAATCTTGTAATACATTAGTCTTTTCACTTTTAATCTAAGTGCCTACTTGTAGAATACTTGTAATATCTTTGGAACAAATAATTTCTGATTGTAGCCTATTAAACAGTATCGTGTGTTAATACCACAGCACAGTAAACAGCAGAAATATTACATCAGTGTTCATTTGGATGCATTTGTTTGGATAATCAGGGCTTTTTTGAAGAAGAGGATGGAAAGGAGTACATCTACAAAGAGCCAAAACTCACAACTCTGCCTGAAATTTCCCATCGTCTCTTAAAGCTCTATGGAGAAAAGTTTGGCTCAGAGAACGTCAAAATCATCCAAGACTCCAACAAAGTGAGAAGTCATTTTTTTCCATTTATCTGTGCAGCTTCCTGTATTTAGATCAAGTGACCCTGAAGGGCCAAAGACGCGAGTCATCGTCCAGGAAAGAGCTGTTTATCTTAAAAACAAACATTTGGATGAATATCCAGTTTCCTGGTTTTTGCATAGATTTGAGTATTTAACATTTGCTTTGGATTATATTTTGTTAATGTTATCTTTATTAAATGTTGTCATTTCACATTTTCATTTTCAAAGTAAACCAGCTCACTTTGTCTTTTTCTTTTCTTTTTTAAATGAAACTTGTTACCAACAGGTTAACCAGAAAGATCTGGACTCGAAGTTTGCGTATATTCAGGTCACGTATGTCAAGCCGTTCTTCGATGAGAAGGAAATGGCTGAGAGGAAGACGGACTTCGAGAAGTGCCACAACATTCAGCGTTTCGTCTTCGAGACTCCATTTACGCTCACAGGGAAGAAACAAGGAGGAGTTGAAGAACAGTGCAAGCGGAGGACTGTACTTACCAGTAAGCTTACAACAAACTGCAGGAGATTTAGCTTTTCTCTCAGTACAACTTCTTTTTTTTGACTTTCACAATATTTTTATAACCCGCACAGTTGGCGAACATGATTCGGTTATTGTTTATTCAGATCCCCATCAATGTAATGGCTATGATTTCTGGGCTCCAACAAATAAATGACAAATTAACATTGTCATTAAAACCCAAACATAACAAAATACTTATTTACATTGAGATAGCGTACATGATTTGTAAGATGTTTTAGATCTCCATTAGCTATTTACCAATGTAGTGGCTATTTTTCCTGCGGTCTAACAAATAAAAAAATACAAATTTACATTAAATCATCATCAAAACAAAAAACCAATTTACAGTAAGATAAAGCAATAGAAACAATACCAAAACCAAATAAAAAGACACAATAGACACTAATACTACAGCCAAATAAAGACAAATTCACATTTAAGCATAACTATAGATAACAACACATAATTTGAAATTCATTTAAAAATTCAAAAGTGTTAATTACTAAAAATTGTTTCATTAAGTGTTTCTTTAATCGTTTTTAAAACCTTATTTACTGATTTAAAAGACGTGTAATGTAACTCGTACATAGCTATAAACTCATAATTGGGAGTAACACATTTGTTTTAAAGTGTTCAGAGAATTCTAAGATATAAACTCAAGAGTTCTCATCACGAGAGCCTGTAAACTTGCAATGACAGGAAATTAAGTCAAAATGTTGTTTTTTTTTTGTCTGGATATAAAATAAACATAAGACAATGGTGGGGCTCAGAGGATACTCAGAGGACAACACAAAATCCTAAGCAATACATAAATGCACTTCATTCAATATGTATTATACACATTAGAGGTGTGAACCTACACTTTTCTCCTGGTTCGGTTAGGTTATGATTATCATGATTCGATTCAATTCCATATCTCGGCGCATCACTGTGCATTGACGTTGCTTTCCATGCACAATTTTACTAACCCGAACCATAACCTAATACAATAATTAAAAGGCATAATTTATAAATACATTTTATGTATATTTGTAATGCAATCTTGTCCTGTAACACAAGCAGTGATATATATGAACTGTCCTTTAATTGTACCTGCTCACAGAAAACACTCTCCATTAAACATAACTGAAGGACATGCACAGAACAACATGAGCACTTAAAGCAAATAACCAAACAGAAATATTATCCCACTTGCTTTTTGAGAGTTGTCGAGTGAGTTGTTAAACGCCTATGATTGCTCACGAGCTCAACAGAAAGGGCTGCGATTGGCTCTAACGCTCTGGCGCTGTTCACCAATAAGTGACACTAATAAACGGACGTGGTGATCTCAGCTGATCCATGATAGATGCAGTGGAGAAAATCGCTCTGCAGTCATGCTGGTGTCTGGATCAACGAGTATCGCTGTAACAGCCGAGAGGAGAGGAAACGTCATGCCAGCAGGTCAAAGGGGCCACAGTGAGAGAGAGAAAGAGAGAGAGATGAAGTTTGCTTTCACTTTCTGCACAGCAGTGAAATAGGGACTTCTGCTGTAACTTCAGTGTCAATGAAAGACTGTCCAGCAAACACACACAGTTAATTGTGCAGACTTTTAGCATTTTAATTACTTGCACTCGCCTTCCTCACTAAAGTATTCTACTGCGACATAGAGCATATGAGGTAAATGACGTCAATACATAATAACCAATTAGGTATGTTACTGAACCGATACCAAATTGTCCGCATCTACATCACAGTGCACCCAAGAAATTATTGATTTTGACACTCCTAATACACAGACATCACCTTTTTGGAAGGACACCATATACCAGGGGTGTTCAAACTCGGTCCTGGAGGGCTGGTGTCCTGCAGATTTTAGCTCCAACTTGCCTCAACACACCTGCAAAGTTGTTTCTAGAAACCCTAGTAAGAGCTTGATTAGCTAGCAATAGGTGTGTCTGATTGGTGTTGGAACTAAACTTTGCAGGACACCGGCCCTCAAGGACCGAGTTTGAACATGCCTGCCATATGCTGTCAAACTGGAATGGAATGATGTGCACCTTTTGCAAATCTACCTTGGGATGATAATTATTGCAGGGTATTTTATCCTTAAATAAATAAATGAATAAATAAATAAATAAAGTCTTATACTTCATAGTGTAAAGATAATGGGCTATATTTAACGATCTAGGTGCAAAGTCCAGCCGTAAAAGCATTAAGGGCATGCCCGAACCCACTTTTGCTATTTTTAAATACATAAAATATTTTTAAAATTTGTATTTTTTAAATACACTCTGCGCCACCGCGCATGGTTTAACAGGGTTGAGCTTATTCTCTTAATGAGTTATAGGTGTGTTTTGAGAATACAACAAATCAGAGTCTTATCTCCCATTTTCTTTAAGAGCCAGTTCAGTCGCACCATGGTGCATTTGGCCCTCACTTTCTCTTTCTCTCTTTCATGTATAAGGAAACGGTATTCTATTCTATTTGTTTCAGAACTATTTCTAAATTCAGTTCTAATCTATAGCAAACGAATAAATGAACAATAGTTATATCCAAACACATGTGCTATGCCCCATATGGTCCAAAACCTGACAGGTGAACAAATCTAAGCTTGTTTTTAAAAAAAAACAAAAAAAAAAACAAATATGCATATGATAAATAATACTAATGATAATAATAACATTATACAAAAGCTAATTGTAGTGAATAAACTGAAAAAGCCCCCCGGGATGATGAAGGCATGGAGGCAGTGTTTTTTTATATCTACAATATGTAGAAAGTAATAATTGATTAATTATTGATTAATTAATAAGGGATTTGCTGTCTAAATAACTTGGTGTAAATTGCGGTTGTGTGGTCTGAAAATAGCAACACGTTGGGGCAAACCGGAGAAAACACGTCTTGCGCCTTATTGCACCGGGTGCATGATAGGGTCCAAGGCATTCATTAGTTTTTAATGTCTTAAATCTCTAAAGTCTTTAAAATAAAGATGATTAGAACAATAAGGAATTATAAGGTTGTAGTAAAATAAAGAAGATTTCCCCATGCAGAAGATTTTGCTCCCATTTTGAAATCTACTTAATCTCTGTTTGTCACCCAGATTTAAATAGATGGATCCCAATAAAATAAAAGCTCATAGAGATTTTGTTTACGTAAGCAGATTTTGTAGGGATTTTGCTCCTATAATAGCTGTTATCAGCTTTGTCAATCTGCACATTAGCAAATAAAGAACTAGAGATGCGCCGATCAACTGGATAGGGACCGAAATCTGAAGATTTTTCACATGATCAGCCTGAAAGGTAAACTGTGATTCGGCTGCATCCTAATTATTATTAATATTTCTGTTTTCAGATTTTCTATTGTTTTATATATGATAAAGAGTGTTTAGTAATTAATTAGTTGTGTTAATGTGTGCTTTTTAATTTTTTTTTTTTTTTGCAAATTCTGTACTATACAATTATACCTTATAATTAGTTTTAAATGTCTTTCTTGTGTGGTATTAAAAAATGTCTTAAAAACAATTCTTAGAAACCTGCAGATGCTGTTATTGTAAAAAAAAGCTTTTAAAATAAATCTGAATTGAATATTGCGAGGAAGACAAGAGCAGCTTGTATAATTTTGCACTACATCAAAAAACAATAACTCCAATTGTTAAGCATTTTGAAACTTTGTTGACATTTTACATCCACTAACACTAAGCTAACAAACAAAACTCTCACAACAGAGGCCCCGTCCCACGTCATTAACATTTCAGAAGTGACTCATGTTGTTGAAAGTATGCTGAACTAATTAACAGTTGAAAGTTGGCTAGCTTAACATTCTACTTCCTCATCGTCTGCACGACATGAAGATGATTCAGTCAATGTAAATATTTGATGGAATCAGTTTTGCATGATCATTAGCAATGGCACGTTTCCCACGGGCCAAAAACACAGCTATTCAACGCACTGACACGCATATGTGTGACAACTATTGTGCACCAACTTAAAACATCACCTAGAACAATGGCTGTTGTGTCACACAGGGTTATTGTTTCTCAGTCGTCAACACTGACAACAGCAGGTGCGTGGCTAGCTGTGATCTCCATGACTCAGACATGAAAACTTATCAGATCCTGATCGCTATCTTTTGTTTGGGTGATGCTGTTTGTTTGTTTTCAGATTCAGCAGCGTATTGTTTTGTTGACCATTTGTATTTTGTGTTTGTGTGTCTGCAGCCGCCAACACATTTCCCTATGTAAAGAAGCGCATCGAGGTGGTGGGAGAGAAGCACACAGAGCTGAAACCCATCGATGTGGCCATAGACGAGATGAAGGAGAAAAGTTCTGAACTCGCTAAACTCTGCTCTAATCAGGAGGTCAACATGATCACACTTCAGCTCAAACTGCAGGGCTGTGTTAGTGTTCAGGTACTAGTGTGCATTACAGACCTTTTTAACAATGGTACAGCTATTGAAAACATTTAGGAGAGCATTTGGAGTTTATCTGTTTTTCTGGATGTACACAATATATAATTTTAGCATCAAAATCACAATGTGCACATCCGCAATAGTCGCATAACAGGATTACGCAATGTTGAGTCTGAATTATATATTCAATTTTTTTTTGTCTTTTAGTCTAAAAATCTCAATTCCAAAATGAAAACAAGATTATTTTACTTAACCCATTAGCAAAAGGGTGGAAGAAATTTTTTTTTAAGGGGCCACGTTAGTTTCTGGAGCAGTTTTAGAGGGCCAGACCAATACTAGTGTTGTCACAAAACTGGAATTAGATACCAATCTGCCATTGTGTTCACATGCTCAACAGAAATGACTGTGCATGGCTGTGAAGGTCATCCGTTCACCGAACTCACCGCTGTTTACTGAGTGTAACCACAAATACAAGGACAATAGAGCATTTTGCACGGTCAATTAAGCTTATTCAATTTACCTGCACCGCATGTCTTGGGAAAACCGGTGCACCCAGAGAAAACCCACACGAGCACGGGGAGAACATGCAAACTCCACACAGAAATGCCAACTGACCCAGCCGAGGCTCGAACCAGTGACCTTCTTGCTGTGAGGCTATCACTGCTACCCACTTTTTAAAAAATTATTACTCAAGAGTACACACCTAGATATTGCTTGATGCTATTAGCAGGTTTGGCATGCTGTCCCTGGAGAGAACCCTGAGCTCTAAGATAATTGAGCCCAGGGCTCCCGCCTGGTCAATAGAGCATGTAAGGGGAGTATGAGATCAGGTGCTTCTCGAGAGCTACCCATGGCAAAGGAGGAAAGGGGGAGAAGGGGTGGATTTAGGGTTTCTTTGGAAAACGGAAGATAAGAGAGTAGTTTTTGCTAGGCTACTTATAGTGAGTTTGGATTATCTGATTGGCTAACTAATGATTGCAGATGAGAGACCAGCTGCAGTCAATCATTTCACGTGCTCCTCTCGAAATTAGTTTGTGAAACTTCACTTATTATTTAATTTATTTTTTTGTGTAAATTGTGAAATGCACTGCCTCTGCACATTTGACAGGCCTTCTCCATTCTTGTTTTTAAATCTCATCTATGCGCATGCTCACTTTGGCTTTTACTGTAGCACAGCATGAGATGTTATGAGATTTTAATTGTTATTTTATTTTTCATTACTGTTTTTAAATTTATTTCTTTATACTCTTTTTTTTTTTTTTTTTTTTTTCCTTTTTTATTTTATTGTTAGCACTTGGGTCAAGTTTGTTGTTTTAAAGTGTGTTATAAACAAAGTTGCATGCTGAGTCGAGTACCAATTTTTCAATCCATTCAGGTGGGAGCCCTTTTAGCTTCGCTTAGCATAAATCGTTGAATCTGATTAGACCATTAGCATCTCGTTCAAAAAATGAAAAAAAATTAATACATTTTCCTATTTAAAGCTTTAGCCTTTTGTAGTTACATGATGTACTAAGAGTGATGGAAAATGAAAAGTTACTATTTTGCTGCCGTACCATGGCTGCAGCAGGCGCAATAATATCATACAGTGCCGGAAAACACTCCACAGCTAGGTCAAGCTTTATGTTATACACTAATACAATTATAAAAACTCCTTTTTTTTTCTTTTTTTTTTTTTAAATGAGATGCTAATGATCTCATCCAATTCAATGATTTATGCTAAGCTAAGCTAAAAGTGCTTCTGGACACCGACTGAATGGATTATTACTGATTAAACTTAACTGTTTATCTCTAGGGTAGTTGTAAAATAAGTGTTTTTTCAATAATGTGGAGTGTTTTATTAAACATCTTAAATGTTGTAAATGATCAAATGCCAGAAGGTAAACTATTATTATTATTATTATTATTATAGATTAAACAGTACCTTTTTTTAGTAATATGTAGGTGGAATAACCCTGATTTTCAATCACAACAAATTATTATTATTTTTTAACAAGGTATACAATATAATACAATAACTGCTGCATTCAAACTTAAATGTTTGTATATAAATGATAACAATGTATATATGCGTCATGCACAAACAAACAAAGCATTGACAAATATAAAAGACAGCTCATGAATGCCAGTAAAAGCTTTTACATCTAAAACAAATTTCATTTCATGCAAAAAATAATTCCTGTTAACCTAGGATTATATTAAGACCATGTTTCTAGTAGTAGTGCAATATTTGTCATTTGTTGTAATAGTCTTTGAGCGGCTGGTCATTGATGATACTTTATAGGCATTAATACATGCATCTTGTGCTGTTTGTGGCGCAGGTGAACGCAGGACCGATGGCCTATGCTCGAGCTTTCCTAGATGAGTCCAAATCAGGTCAATCCAACAAGAAAGTCAAGGATCTCAAGGAAATATTCAGGTATGGTTTAAAGGGATTGGATTACCGTGTGGGTAGATGACAGGGTAAAGCCATGGTTTGGTAACAGGAACATAAAGGCAACATCTATACGAGTAACAGATTAGCATTTGCATATCTATATGTGTTACAGATTTGCATTAAGCACAATAAAAAATGTTAATCTTTTTTTATTTCTATATTGCTGTTTTAAAATGTAGATTGTGTCAAATCAGCTTGTCACAGATAAGAGAAATGTGAAGAGACTTAAATGACAATATGTCAGATTGTGAAACTTTCTAGCAAGTCAGACAGGCGGGAGAGTATTGGTAGAAAGAATGTAGAATGGATATCATGTCATGTATATTATGCATGTAGAAAGCATGTTAGATGTGAGCAAATTAGTTTGGTGGACACAAATGTTCATTGTCAATAAGTATAACGTTCTTTTTAAAGCATATTAAATGTTTTTATCATATTTGAAAATATGATATGTGTAACAAATGGGTATTAAACTGGCTGCCAAATGGGTAAAACCTAGTGGTTTTATGAATAGTGGCAAGTATTTAAGAATTAAATTAGCAAATAAACATTATAATTTTGCAATTTTGTTCTAAATATGCCTAACAAAATGATCTGTTATGTAAATAAATGTTCTTTTAAGTTAATTTAGTCTGTGTCTGCTGTAAATCATGTTTAATAAAATTAAAAAGGACATTACATTGCAGATAAATACAGTCATTCATTTATTTATTAATTTTCCTTCGGCTTAGTCCCTTATATAACAGATTCCGCCACAGCAGAATGAACCGCCAACTATTTCGACATATGTTTTACACAGTGGATGCCCTTCCGGCCGCAACCCAGTACTGGAAAACACCCATACACACCATTCACATACACTATGGCCAGTTTTGTTTGCCCAATTCACCTCTATAGCATGTCTTTGGAGTGGGGGAATCCGGAGCACCTGAGGAAACCAACGCAAACACGGGGATAACATGCAAACTCCACACAGAAATGCCAGCTAGCTCAGCCAGGATTTGAACGAATGACCTTCTTGCAGTGAGGCGTGCACCATATAAATACATATACATATAAAGGACACATTCTAATATCGATTTTTAATAAAAAAAAATTTTGTCTTATTGCTTGATAGCCAGAAGTTTCGTCTGATATATGTGAGAGATTCCAATATTAGTCCTAACTCCCTTATCAATGAGCTTGGCATTAATTTGCCTTGTTTTAATGCTACTTTCAAGCTTGTCCTGATTTTAATCTCGTGATTGGCTCATCTGGGAAGGTTTTCCTCTGCGTTCTAGAGAACTGTAGTTCAAGAGAATAGTAACCGTTCTAACAATAGCTGCCTAACCAACTGCTCTCCCTGTTTATTTAAGAGCACGTATCAACTTGCCATTTTGCAGGAATGTATGTATGCGTTATCACTCTAGAGCATCTCATTCTTGGAAACGACTCAGGAATTTGAGGCCATGGCACTCTCATTGACAAATATATGACAGTTTTACTTTTCTCTTGTTGTATTACAGCTTTACCTTGTAAAAGAACTGATTGATCTACTTGATGTTGGTTCATTTGTTGCTAGAAGCGACTGCTGCTCGTGTTATTAGCATATAATGTTTTTGTTATTCATACTTGTTTGTGTTTATCTTTGGTGCAGGCAGTTTGTCAATGCTTGCAGTATGGCTCTGGACATCAATGAGAGGCTCATTAAAGAGGATCAGTATGAATACCATGAAGGACTGAAGGCGAACTTTAAAAGCATGGTGAAAGAGCTTTCTGAGATCATCCACGAGCAGGTATGTAGACTGGTCTTAATCCAAAATTGATTTTTTTTCTGCACAACAAATTAATATTTTAATAAAATTTAAAAACTTTTTTACAGGAGGTTAACCCACTTGAAACTACAATTTTATTTATTATTAAGTAACTACAAAATTCTTGAACTAAGTACTTTTTCAAGTACACACTGCATAGTACATTAATAGTCGATGTGAAATCAAATTTGTTTTGTTTATTTTTTGTTAATTGTGTTTATTTTGCTAGCGTACATTGGTTCTCTTTACGATTGTTAGTTTATAACTGTGTAAGAGTTGCATCACATGTGTTTTAATTAGAAAATTAAGGTTTAAAAATTAGTAATGGAACATTATTTAGTTAATCGATATGTTAGATGGTTTGAATAAATTTCATTTTGAACAAAAATTGAAAAAAAAGGTTGTTTGGTAATCTTCAATCAAAGTCTGTTGATGTTAGTTTAACGCCCCACTCACATGGGGCGTCAGCGTCAACGCTTCCCATTCACTTTGAATGGGTGATGTCAGGCGTTGCCGAACTGCATTGTGGATCCGTCTGCACCGTTTCAGAGGCGTTGTTAGCTGCAGAAGTTGGGACTAGCTCAACTTTTTAAGCGCCAACGAAAGCGTCAGCGAATCAGATCACTGTATGCAAATACACCAGCTAGACATTGCCCTATTGCTGACTGAATTTCATTGGCTGACGCTGCTATGACGATTGCTTCAGCCCCAACTTCAGACACGCCTTCAGTCAAGCAATGACGATGAAGCCCTGTGTGTATGGGGCGTAACAGCTTCATCCACAATAGTGTATTCTTAACCACACCCCTCTTGCTGTTAGTTTGCTATTTGGGATTGATGTGCAATACATTGACATACTGAAATTGAAGTCTCTGCAACATCCTGTTTACACAGACTTTAATTTGCTGAATATTAAATTAAGTCACTTACAGTATATCTTTGCAAAATATCTCATTAAATGCATCTGGCAAACAGTCTAAAAATCTCCTACTGTATATATTCTGAAATATGCATATTTATGTATATTTACTCAAAATCACCAGTAGTGAGCTATTATTAACTCCAAATTGCAATATGCTGCACTGCATTTTCATGTTAACATGCTTTTGACAGACATGCTCACGTCTTATAAAACACGACACATGATGTTCAGGGTCAGAAAGTTTGCACTTTCTATTTTCCTTTCTGCTATTTGCGCCTTGTGTTTTTCTACATGCATTCTGTTTTAAATTCCTCATTCGATTTAGTGATATATTTTATGTAGCTGTACTTGACTGAGCACATTCACATGTGCATCACATTTTTTCCGTTTTATTTCATTGGTTTGATGGTAACACTTTAAAGACTTTTGGGTGAACCTGTGCTTTTATTCTCAAAGTTTAGTCATCATTTACTTGTCTTTCCATCTTTTTCAGACCACTGTTTATTTTTAATAATAGCAGATAATATTGAATGACCAAAATAAAAAAATACAAGGAAGGGGCTAGTATTTTATAAATGGAGGAGCCACCCCTGAAAATATGAAATACAATCCACATACTTTTATCTATGAACTAAATATATCTGTTGTGTTCATCATAAAAAAAAATGTGATGAGTGATTAATAGTGAACTGTGTTGCTGATTAAGAACTCATGAACGCTCAGTCATGCACAGAGACAAATGGTAGAAGTCTAAATTTTCATCAGATAAAACATTCAGTTTAGGTTTATTTTTCAATATTGTAACTCCACTGAACACTTGGAATATGTCAAGTGTCAATGTGATCCTTTTGTGATATTTTTTTTTTCTTCAAATTGTAATTCCAGTTGATTTTCCCAGCCGTTATAGTGCAAACAGGACTTTTTTGTGTTGTCCGAAATTCAGAGATTATATGAATAAGAATTTGTTTTAGGTTAACTAACTTAGTTTATGTAACTAGCATCAGGGGTATCTTATAGTAGTCAACATATTTACACACACATCTACTGTAACAGCCTTTATGGGGAAAAACCCACTTTTCATCAAAATGTCGACCCATCATAATTTGGTTCCTCGTTTTTTCTTTTAGTACCTAAACCCCAGAAATTGATTGCCACACTAACTCCTTAGGTTATCTGACTCTACTAAAAAACGTTGAAAACGTTGCCTAGATCATTTCTTCGAAAAAAAAAAAAAAAAAAACTAATTAATAAGAAGATTGACAAGCTTTACAGTTTACATCCTTATCAAGCCAAACCCCAACTTTCACACACAAGTGCCAGCTTTTATTTGTCTCTTGGCAAATTTAATTTTCAAATGCAGTGTTTTAGTTTTACATTTTTGCAGTTGAACAAAGTTTATAGCAATTACAGCCTGAATGAAGATAAATCTTTGATCTTAATGTCTATTTTGTTGTCTATGCAGACTCCAGGAAATGGGCTAACTGGGCATTTCCCTCAGTAAACAAATGAAAAAATAAATTCGCTGTGAGTTTGCTCGAGGACTGAAAACATTTGAATACTGAAAACATTTAATCTGTAAATGTAGGGTTATTTTTTGTCCTCCTCTTATAACTAGCAGCGGTGTGATTGGCTGACAGGTTTTTTTTTGGGAGCTGGTAAAGTTAAAGCACAACAGGTTTGATCTGTTTTGCTCTGCACGCCATCCTGGAGTCGCTGTGCCATGACACCACATAATTGACTTGAAATGTACTTTCTATTGTTGTTTTACTTTCTTATATATAATTAATATTGTTTTTGTGCACTAATATTACTATTTAATGTTACCCTCAATTTCCTGCGCTTGTCTTGTATAACTTATTGACTTGTAAATAATAGGACCTTTTATGTGTTCATTAAGTGCAAATAATTGGCATTTAATATTTGATGCCTTCAATTGGAAGTCTGCAATATACATGAATGATGTGTTTATTAGTGCTTATAGTGTCGAAGTTTAATAAATTGACACCCTAACGTATTACACTTAAAATGCACATTTAAAAAGAGCAAGTCATGGAATAAATGTTTAACCCTAGCTGCCTAAACTACTTTTCGCTCTTCGTTGTTTTGTTCAGAAGCCCCAGATCTTTGCTTTCCAAAACTTGACCAAGGACCGGTTTCTCTAGTTCCCATTAATTATTTGCTATAGCATTTTTATGGCTCTGTTTACAGCTGTGCCTTCGCAGTTGTATTATATAACTAAAACAAGAAACCATTCAGAGTCATGAGTGGCTGCTTGGTTGAACACTTTGTTTATAGATATAATTCACACTTTAAATGACAATACAAGCTGGTTCACAGCAGCTGCAAACAGTAAAACAGTGTATGCATGTGTGCAGTAAATGCAAACAGTAAAACAGACTTCTGAAGTAACACTTTACATTAGGGTTTAATTTGGTAACACTAATTGACATTATCTAGCATGACCAATATTTTTCCTGCATTTATTTATCTTAATGTTAATTTCAGCATTTATCTTTACATGTTTGAAGTTAAGCTTAACTAGTTAGAATCTGTATCAACAGTAACACTTTAGTTTAAGTACTAATTACATGTGTATTGTTAAGATATTGGCTGTTTATTAGTAATTATGAAGTACAAGAGAAACAAAAAATGTTACGTATATATTATTATTTTTTTATATATGTTTATTAAATCTGTTTTGTTTAAATGCACCAAAATATATTACCCATATTCATTGAAAAATTGATGTTTAACAGAGCAAGGAAATTTTCCGTTTGTCTAATAATATTTTATCTTCTGGAGAAAGACTTATTTGTTTTATTTCGGCTAGAATAAAAGCAGTTTTACATTTTTTTTTTAAACACCATTTTAAGGACAAAATTATTAGCTCCTTTAAGCTCTATTTTTTTCAATAGTCTACAGAGCAAACCATCATTATACAATAACTTACCTAATTACCGTATCCTGCCTAGTTAACCTAATTAACCTAGTTAAGCCTTTAAATATCACTTTAAGCTGTATAGAAGTGTCTTGAAAAATATCTAGTCAAATATTATTTACTGTCATCATGACAAAGATAAAATAAATCAGTTATTAGAAATGAGTTATTATAACATGAGTTATTATGTTTAGAAATGTGTTGAAAAAAACTTCTCTCCGTTACACAGAAATTGGGGAAAAATAAACGGGACTAATAAATATAAATAATGAAATGATATACATTTAAAATAAAAAATATTACTTGTATTTAATTTACATTCAACTCAAGTAAACACCCTTGATTATTCATTTAACAGCAGATTACACATCAAAATCCTTAATCGTCTCCATGATGGCAACATGTTCAAATTCTCATGTAAGATGTATCATCAGGTTCAATTATCTTACCTTTCTTCACAATCTCATACATTTCTAGAATAGGTCTTTTCACTTCCCAATCTAGAATGTTTAAAGCATTCTGTGCCAACCAAGCAAGTGTTATTTTTAATTGAACAGTCGGATTTCTACACCATATTGTTCCTCCATATCTTATCAGACTTAAAAAAATAAAAGTTTATCTCAAATTAGAAGGTTATGGAGTCATAGTTAATGGTCTATTAGTAGCAAGAATTGTACCTTAAAATGAAGTGTGACTGTGTCAACTAACATTAATGACATTTAAGTTTTGTTAATCTGTCACTGTGTTGGTAAGTTTTTAAAGAAAAAGTTTTAAAACAGCATTTTTCCAAAGCATTTTTGGAAAATAAGGTTTTCTCTAATCGTTGACTTTAAAAAAAAAAAATCTTATTTAAAATATTGAAACTAATAGATTTGATTGTTTTCGCTCCTTCATAAAAAAGAACAGTGGCATTATATAAAACTCCGACAGGTTATTAAATTCATTACAATTGTTAAATTGTTAGTTTTGGTAAGAAATCTTATACTATATATTAGAACATCTCTTGTAACACCCCCTGCCACCCCTGTTCACTGTGTGTACTCTACTCCTAATACTCTGTGTGCTTCTAATATGTTTGTGTTTTTCCTCTTTATGCTGCCGTCTCCTATAGATTGAGTTCTAGGTAACTGCTTCTGTTGCATAAGAGTATTGCTCTCGTTTTCTTTTAAACTCTTGTGCATGCAGTTTCTATATGCCATGATTATATAGTGTAATTGTGTGTGCAGATTTGTGTGTTTGTTTCTGTATGTGTTTTTGTTACATGTCAGGACACACACTTGTGTAATGACATGAGTATGACACAGCTATTACAAGGACTAGGTGATTTATGAGGACATTGCATCATGCCCATTTATAAAATACTTATAAGACATCCAGAATTAGTTGGGGGTTTTATTCCAGAAAGTAGAATTATCTTAAGTGAGCGTTGGATTTAGGGATGAGCTTGGGGTAGAACAATAGAAATACGGTTTAAAACACAATAAAACCTAAGGAATGTTTACACAATTGACAAAAACAAACGTGTGTGCGCATTTGCATACTTTGTTAATGAGGAATGCTTTTGAGGCACTGCTTCATGAAGCTTCAAAAACTGTTACGAATGTTTCGATTCAGTGGTTTAGAGCATGTACGGTATCAAACTGGCCAGATCACTTGATTTCAGTAAGCACGGCTTCATAACTCCTCCTAAATTTTGAAACGTTTTGAATATGTAATAGTAATAGTTCTCCACCGGGGGTGATCTGTCTCTCGAAAAGCGCAAGTGATCTACATGTGAAGGCAATGCAAAGATGAGATATAGACATCCTGTGGTGCAAATTGGCCATTGAGTGCGTTAGATGCGCTTCAGACTGAAAAAAAAGCAAACAGAGCAGTGGAACAGACAGAGAAGCAAGCAGCTTACAATGAAGGAGATTGATTTAAGAATGACAGCTGGATAGGACTGAATTGAAAGACATTATTTGTACTTTACATATATGTTCAACTTATCAAATCGATAAATGATTTTGAAACTTTCCCTGCAGTTAACGAGAGAAAACGCTTCCCTGCAACAAGTTTTGTGGCGGTTTTAGGTGTATTACGGTAGGGGAAGCCTTAACGCATGTTCTATGGGTGAGGTACATGATGTCATCAAGGGTGTCAGATGCTACAGTGAGGGAAATCTGAGAGAGAGAAAAAGTTCGTACAAAAAATAAAACCTCATACAACATTCCTTGGGCGGTTAATTCCTTGTGTTGTAGATCTGTTTTAGATCTTGTCTTGACAAGAGACCAAAATAAAAAAGCTTTATTTTTATGATTTGTGTTATTGTCAGTGTTTGAGATTGCACACCTAACATAGTAGCTACCTAATATAGTAAATAATATATAAATATATTTATATAATATTTATATTTATGTATAGTTTTTTAAATCACAAAATTGTCTTGCAAAATTCTGGGAATTACAACTACAAAATCAGTCAAATCACAAAACAAATTGTGAAAAACTAGAGGGTCTGATATAGGTGATGTCCATACATGTTTAAAGGAAGCGTATACAATTGCATTAAACAATTAATGCCTTAAACAATTTAGTGCTGCATGTGCTGTCCTAAAAGCTTTATAGCAGTGAATCCTTTTGCAAAGCAATTGATTCAGTTGCTTCAAAGCTAAAAATGTTTCTCCCACCATTAACGTGTGTGTGTGTGTGTGTGTGTGTGTGTGTGTATGTGTGGTAATCCAGTGTCCATCAGAGTTTGAGATTGTCATTTTCTTGCCATTGTCAATAGATATTGAGATCGTGGTTTTCTTGTCATTGTCATTAGAATCTGAGATTGATTTGCTTCCCCTCTCCCCAGATCTTCCAAGAGGATATGATGCGTTCTCTGCTCCAGAACTCTCTCCATGTGTTCAGAGCCATCAGTGGAACCTCCACCGACCTCAGCTAAATCCTGATGCTGCTTCCAGATCCTCCAGTTCTGCTCTCGACTGAATGTACAAATCCAGATGCTAGGCCTTCAGCTCGTGAATGATTGTCAGCGTTCTCCACCGTGCCATGTCGTGTACTGCTAGTTTGTGTATATACTGCTTTTATCATTTGTTTTAATGTCAAAATGGACTATTTTAATGCACATTCCAGGTCTTATTGTGTTTGTTTGTAGCAACCTTCCTTTTAGACTCATGTCACCAAGTCGCCTTATTTTCCAGCACTTGCCCTCGGTCCATTATGGAAGCCCATTTATCACACAAAATCATGCATTGGAAAATTGAATTAAATATTAAAGTAATTAATAAAAACATAGAGTCAGCTTTAATGTATTATAAATATATTGCGAGTTAAAATTAAAGCTTGCCGCATTCTGAGATAAATAATTGAACATACTGTACACTCTCAGAAATAAAGGTACAAGAGCTGTCACTGGGGTGGTACCTTTTCAAAAGGTACACATTTGTACTTAAAGGGTCCATATTGGTACCTCAAAAGCATATATTTGTACCTAAACATTTTAAAAGGAATGCTTTTGCGCGTTTTAGTAATAATATGTATCCTTGAGGTATTAATATGGACCCTTTAGAAGCAAATGTGTAGTTTTTAAAAAGGGACCACCCCAGTGACATCTCTCATACCTTTATTTCTGAGAGTGTATAGTCAAAAAGGACAAAATGTTGATAATATGAGATATAATTATGACCAAAACAAGTTGACATGAGAAACGATGGCACAATGCTTCAAGCTAGGAGAGAAACATCTCTGAGTTGAAGACTTTTAAAAAGAAATATATAATGAGTTATCTCAATCTCATCTCATAATTATGATATAATTTTACATGTTCATGCTAGGGTTAATCAATTCAGACACAAAGTAAAAGAAATGTTTTATGTTAAACGTTAAAGGTCAGGGTTATCACAGTCATATTTGGAAAGAAAAGTTGAAATTAGTGTAATGAGTCCTAATTATGAGATAAGAGTCAAACTAATCAGTAACAATTATTTTGAAATTGAAACTTTTTTGAACATACTTTACAGTCAAAAAGGTCAAAATGTTGATAATATGAGTCATACTTAGGACCAAAACAAGAGAGCATGAGAAATGATGGCACACTACTTCAATCTAGGAAGGAAAAGAGTCAGAGTTGATACTTTAAAACAAATTCTAATGAGTTATCTCTATCTCATCTCATAATTATAACATCATTTTACGTTCATGCTATGGTTCATCAATTAGGACACAAAAGTAGAAATTATTTCATATATTAAACGTTTAGGGTCATAACAGTCATAACTGGAAAAAAAAGTTGAAATTAGCTTTCCAAGTCCTAATTATGAGATAAGAGTCAATAATTAATAACAATTATTTTGAAATTGAAACTTGGTGCATTCTGAGATCAATTGCTGAACATACTGTATAGACAAAATGTTGATAATATGAGTAATAATTATGACCTAAACATGAGAAGTGACTCACTACTTCAAGCTAGGAAGGAAACATCTCAGAGTTGAGACTTTTAAGAAGAAATATGAGTTATCTCAATCTCATCTCATAATTATGACATAATTTTGCATGTTTATGCTACGGTTCATCAATTAGGACACAGCGTAGAACATATTGTATATATTAAATATTAATGATCAGAGTTATAACTGTCGTAACTAAAAGAAAGTCATGTATCGAGTCCTAATTATGAGATAAGAGTCAAACAAATCAGTAATAATTATTTTAAAAGTTCAATTTGTCCCTTTTTGTCAATTAAGATTTTAATATTTTTAAGTTTTCTGACAATTATGGCCTTCTAAAACCTAATTATGAGATGAAAGTTGTCCATTCATAGTTTTCATAGTTTCCAATCATAACTATGACTTGAAGTTTCAATATTTAAACTTTTTACCATAATTAAGACTCGAGTAATAAAATCATAAGCAATGATTTTCTCATACAGTGAAAATGGGCTTCCTTGGATCAGTTATCCAGCTATTGACCGCTATATGACCGCTTTATATGATTTAATAATTTATCAGTGGATAAAATCAAGTCCAATGTAATTTTTTACATATTCTTGAAAGTCTGTCACATTTACAGTAAGAAAAATGGGTCAATAATGCCATCATAACTTGACTGTAAATGATACGTTGTATTTTTTTTTTTTCAATCCCAGCCAAACAAGCCATTTAAATAACACCACTGGGAAAAACACCTACTGGTGCAGTGATGATCAACCAAAGATCAGGTGCACAGTTTATGCTGCATGCTTGCGTTTCCATATTATATCACTTCTTCTGAAAATTCCAGGTGATCTTGAATCCTCAATCCGTGACATTGTATTGAATGATGATATTCAGGATTGTAAAAACGCCTGCATTTTAGCAAAATATGTCTTCCGAAAATCTTCAGTCTTAACACACAAACCAACTTCAAAATTAATCACATCGCAAACTTTCATGACATGTTTGGAAGGTAAATATTTTTTTTTGTATTGATTTTTATAGTAATTTAATAAATTTTTATGTATTCAAATCAAGCAAATGAAGGTGCAATTAAAATTTGAGTTTTTTATTAATTATTTTTGACTTTTTTACTGATCAAAATGATTACATTAGTGTCCTTGTTTACATCACCTTTCATTTAAAAAATATATTTTGTTGCTTGTTGAAACTACTTATTTAAAATGAGCTGAAACAACACAATTCTTGAGATTTTGATGGGCCAACTAACTTTTTTTTTAAAGTTCAACCCACTTAAATTTGTAAAACTAATAAGTTAACCTAATTCCTTTATGTTGTCCCAACACAAATCGGTTGTGTGGAACCAGCAGTGTTTATTTATATATGTTTCCTGGTGCAAACTGCATAATAGTCTGATAGATGCATCTTTTTTTAAGAAGGTCAGTGCTACTGCCATCGAAACTAACTGTAAAACTAGCTGCTACTGTATGTGGTCAATCTGTCCCTCTTCCCTATTTTCAGTACTACACAGTGGTTACCAGATCATTTCTCTCATTAAATTCAACTGAAACCATCTGGAGTTATTATATGCAAAGCTTTTTCATTTGAATGCAGTAGGCTGTAATCACGGATGTTAAAGAATGTCTGATTTCATTGGCGGAAATGCAGAATGTACAGTAGCAGCAGATAGATTTTTGTGATTCCCTTTGTTTTATTGGCTGGTCGTCTGGTTTTCCAGGACATCCAGGGTTAATTTATTGACGAATGCTGTTAATGCTTATCTGCTGCACTGAATATGCAAATTACAAACAGAGGATGTGTAGATTTATATAGGAAAGCTGTCCGTTTGTTGTAAATGTACATTATGTAAGTATGAGCGCATGGAAATGTATACAGTATTGAAAGAACAGTATTTGCGAGCACTCGTATTGCTCAGATGTCTGGATTTATTAGTCTAGAAGCCATCTGATAAACAACGGACGGTTAATTTGCTAGAAAGCGGATGGTTTGAGACCATTTCCCAATATTAGTTTCAACATTTCCTTCATGTTTTGTCAGCATATATTGTGCGATTGTTGATTCTTTCTTTTTTTCTCTCGGTCTCATCTGTAGTTCATAAGATAAAGGGTGTATTTCTAAAGAAAAGGTCTTTTGGTGGTATTTATTCTTTTAAAAATACATTTTCCTAAGTCAACACATTTGACAAAACCTGTGACCCTTCCAAAAAGCTTCTTCTGTTAAACGCAAAGGAAGATACACTGAAGAATGGTAGAAAAAAACTGCCTTTGACTTCCATAGTATTTGCTGTTCTTACTATGGATGTCAACGGCTGCTGGCTTCCAATATTCTTCAGAAAATCTTGTTTGCATGCCTTTTCATTAAAGCACTTATTGTTATGGTGTACACCTCTTAAATCTTTCTCCGTATAATGTTATTCGATTGATTTTGATGCTGAGTTTCTTTAATTGTAATGCATATAGTCTATTTATGATCAGATGGTTTAAACTTGAATTGCAGCTTAATCTGTATATTTTGTTGTATTCTAAAGCAGGGGTGTCAAACTCAGTTCCTGGAGGGCCGCAGCCCTGCACATTGTAGTTCCAACCCAACCTCAATACACTTAATGCCGAGTTGAGACTGCATGATTTTCAAAGTCGCCATGTCACAGATGTTTTCACACTGCATGACTATCCTGGCTAGCGTTTTGTAGCTGCTTTGTTTACACGGCGGCGACAAGGATTTCACACTGCATGACTTTATAATAGGAAGAATCGCCGACAACTTTATCCAAACTACATCTCACAGCCAAAAACAAATTGTATATTGTTTGTTATTAACTACATGATGAGAAAGAAGCCTTTAATAGTGTAGAAAATTTATTTATTTTGCTCACCTGGGTTTGTAGGAATTAGCAATTTCTCCTCTGCTTTTTGTCTTTTTCGAGCTGGTTGTGGTATTGCTCAGATGACATGTCAAACAGACACTGGTGCTTCTGCCAAATTTCTGCTAGTTTTTCCTTCATTTCTTGTGTCTGAATAGACTGTAAAAGAGCCCTTTCTCTGACAACCTCCCGCTGGCCTGCAGATACGCACACTAATGAACGCTGCTCTCTCATTGGCTGCAGGTAATCACTGATGTTATTTTCAATCAGAACACATTTTACACGGCATGATTTTAATTATGGACAGCTCCAGGTATTTAGCATGACAAATATCGGCGACTCATCTACGATTCTCTCAGATTGTATCTTTGATAGTTTACATTGCGGGATTGTTACTCGCGTGCACCAATTTGCCTGTGATTTCAGGCATTTTACTGCGATTTATCAAAACCAGTCGACGAGTCCAAACCCGGGCTAAAATCATACAGTCTGAACTCGGCATAAGCTGTGGTCACACTACACTTTTCGCCCATAGACTTCCATTCATCAGCGTTGGCAAAAGTACAAATCCTTTACTCAAGTAGAAGTACAGATACTCATGTTTAAAATAACACTGGTAAAAGTACTCACCACACTTTTGTACTCAAGTAAAAGTAAAGAAGTAAAGCCTGAAATATGTATTTAGGTAATAAGTGTGTTTGTGTGTGTGTGTGTGCGTCTGCGTGTCTGCAAAGTAGCCAAGCAACTTTATGGCTGCTAAGAACAATAGCTGCCATACTCATTCATATACTCTAAAAGAGAATTCTGTAGGCCTATATATTTAGTCATTCATTTTCCTACGGCTTAGTCCCTTATTTATCAAGGGTTCCCACAGTGGAATGAACCACCAACTTTTCCAGCATATGTTTTATGCAGCCGCAACCCAGAACTGGGAAACACCCATAAATGGGGAAAAACCACTGTGCCGATCACCTATATATTCATTCATAATAAATGTCTTAAATTTACACTTCATTTTGTCAAACATATTTCAGTTTTTTTTTTCTTTTGATAAAATAAAACATGTATTTTACAAATTATTATTTGCATTACGCTAAATCTGTTCTTCAAACGGCACACTCTTGGAGCTCATGATTTCACCATTTGTTTTTGGTTTTGTTTATTTGTTTTTTAGACTATTGTGTACATTTGAAATCAATAATGCTCAAAATACATTTTTACATCATATTTGTTTGCGTGATAAATTCCTGATCCTTTGCATACCCAGTATAATTACTTTTGATATCCTAAAATATTTACTTAACAATCTAACAAATGGAAACAAAGACTACAGTGTATATAATAATTATGTTAAAACTATAAAACAGTATTCCGTATTAGGAAATATGAACTTGTTGGAAACAAAGGAAATAACCCTCAATTCATAAAGTATTTAATTGCTTCTTTCTAACTGTACAAATGTTGGCAAAAAAAAGCACATGATTGTTAAAGGTTTTGTTTTCGCAGTATTGGATTGAAAGATCAGAGAAGTAGTCTACAGTACTACAGTTGGAAGTGGACAAAAGACTTTAAGCCAGATTTAATCAAGAATTTAGATTTTAGCCAGATTTGATCAGGAATGTGTCTCTTAATACCTGTGATCCAGTCCAGTTCGCTGCTTTGCAGAGTTCAAGATTGGTAAACTCTGACTTGCAGAACTGCATCATTTGAATGCATGAGACTAACTGAAGATCAAAACAAGACCTCTCTAGCAGTATAAAATATGAAGCAATTTCGCAGCGCCATATGACAGAATTTCGCAAGCTCAAACTCTAGTGTATGGATCTCAAACTCAGTTCCTGAAGGGCCGCAGCTCTGCACAGTTTTGCTCCAACCCTAATTAAACACAGTTGATCCAGATAATAACAAGTGGTGCTCGCTGCAGAGCCATTTGGGCGAGCTGAGCTCCAGCGAGGGGGAGCTTGAGCTTGAGCTCCACCTTTTTTGCACTTCTTCTACGAGTGATGTCACTGGGGGTAGGGTTAGGGGTGGGGTTGGTGTACGCATTAAAACAGCTTACAGGAGGCAGAGCGAGAGCTCATGCTCCCCCTCGCTGGAGCTCAGCTCTGCTCAAATGGCTCTGCAGCGAGCACCCTCTCGATAATAAAGGTGTTCAAGACTAGAGACTAAGCTGCAGCCCTTCAAGAATTAAGTTAAATACTTATAATCTAGCATGATCGCAGCATTACGTAAACATTTAAAACAAGCCTAACCGACTCAATTAGTTTGATCAGGTGTGTTTAATAAGGGTTAAAACTAAACTGCAGAGCTGTGGTTCTCCATGAACTGAGTTTGACGCCTGTGAATTAAAGAGATAGTTCATCCAAAACTGAAACAGTTGTTACCATTTACCCATTCTTTAATTGATTCAAACCTGTTTGAGTTTCATTTTTTTGTTGTTGTTGTTGTTGAACACAAAATTAGTTTAAAAAATGTTGGAATTCTGTAACCATTGACGTTTATGGTATTTGTTTTTGCTTGTGTTCAACAGAAAAACTAAACTCATAAAGGTTTGAATCACTTTGTGGTGAGTATATTTTCATTTATGGTTGAACTATCCCTTGAAAACAATGTCTGAGGTGTATTACATAAAGCAGGTTGTGCAATATTCCCACACATAAGAAAGCAAATTACCTCAAGTTTCAGTTCCATAAATGGTGGCAAATTTCAGGACATGTGAGCAGCAAAAGTTACATCTGGAAGTGCCCTCTCCCCAAACACACACACGCACACACACAAACACACACACACACACACACACATAATGTGAACTAAGTTAAAATGGTTCATTTGATTTAACTTAAAAAATTAAAGCAACCACATTAGTATACTTAGTTCGTTAGCAGAGTTGTAGCAGTGCAAAATGTTTAAAAATACTTATAATTAATTACTGTTACACATAAAATAACACTTTTACAAATTATAGTGCCTAGTTGTCAGTAATAAAAACAATAGACTCACAGTGGCCAGTGCTAGCCAGCTGAGTGTTGTAACAGGAAATGATGAAATGCTCATTTTAATCACTTTTCGATTGACTCAATATTTTCTCTTTTTGAAATGCTTAAAAAAAGCTAGAAAAAAACATTTCTTAAATAAAGTGTACATCTACAAGGCCACAAAATGACTTTTTACAGTGCAGTAATACAATTACATTGATAAAAGTGAACTTACTAGGCCTAAATGTATTTAAAATATACTTAAACCTTACTTAATTATAGCTTACTTAATAAATGTTCTGTTCACCACTCACAAACCTCTTCCTGTCAACAAAGTGTTTTAAGTAAAGTAAATCTCATTCTATCTGTATAATTTTGTGAATACTAAATCGACTAGAACTTCATCAGAAACTTAAGTGGACGTTCAGCAGACTTAAAGGGATAGTTCATTTCCTCCCCATTTGGTACTAAATATTTATGAAATTCTTCTCTTGAACACAAAGCGAGATTTTTCTAAACGCATCAAAGTCAATTAACAAAAATACTAAGTCAGCATTCTTCAGTTTGGCCATCTTCCTTTGTGCTCAGCAGAAGAAGAAAACTCATGAGTAAATGAAGAGCAAAACTTTATTCTTAAATGAGCATTTTTCTTCAGCATTTTGTTTATGTTCAGTTATTTCATTTTAAAGTGAGAGAAAATAACCAATTCTTTTCTATAAGAGTAAAATTACTGAACCTACGCTCAGTACAGCCTGAGAAAAATGCCAATATAGCCTGAGAAAGTTTTTATTATTGCAATAACAACAGGCAATTACAATGTAAATACAACAGATAAAAGCAGAATGCAAATTACAGGAGGGTTTGGGGGGGATTGACCCCCCTAATTAGGGCTTGATCCCCCTTGAAGGACGTCAAAACAAGATAAATGGGGGTGGAGGAAGTCTCTGATCTGTATATTAAATCATCTAAAATTATCTATCTATTATCTGTAATAAAATAATAGATTTCCATTTGACCACCACTATAACGGGTCATACCAATCAGTCTATATAAGAAAAGTAATTCAACAGTCTAAAACTGGCAGATTTAGAGCACCGACACCGTAAGAGTTCACAAGACTGATTTCTCAAAAAATATGTGTTTGTTTCTAATAAAGCCTAAAAGTAATGCATAATGATGCATAATTTGCATAGTTGACCTAAAGAAAGCCGAAATAGCTAATCAGGGGTGCATTTCCGAAAACCATCGTTAGCCAACTAAGGTCACAAGTTGTGTCATTACAAACATAGTTTGTTGATTTGGCATTTCTCAAATCTGTCATTCCAATGAACATGCGCAAACTGCTTTGCAAACTTGTATGCTTGCAACTATGGAGCTGTAGTTAGATGCATAGTTCCTGGGTGTGTTCTATTCCCTGTTATTCCCCCTATGCCCTATTCGTTTAGAACATTCTAACATTTAAACTTGGAATGATTTTTTTTAAAAGCATTAAAGTCATCTCTCTTAGGTGTAATTTGCTTTCAACATATTTTTACAGTTCAGTTTTA